CCTTTAGTTCTGTTCATTGGAACACTTTTTCAATCCTCTCTCTATAGGGGAAAAAAATGATTCCCTTACGTTAGTTTTAATACATTTTTGTTTTGCGCTAGTTCCTTTTAAAAATTCTCCTTTATCGTTGAGCTTTAACTTAAAGCCCCACTGTACTACTTGTAGCTACTTGCCCCCTCTATGTAGAAAACAATGCCTAAGCGGTGCCTGTTGGTCCCCCATGATCCTATTTTTCTTATGTTAATTGAGAGCTGAGTTGTTGACATAGCCACATGTCAGTGACCACGCTGGGTGGTCTAATCCCTCCTGGCCAAACTAGTACAGACAGGCTTTAAAGACCTTTCCATAGCTATCTCAATCAACACTCTCGTATACTTTGATGCACTTTCCTTTCATCATTTGGGTCTGGTTATAATAATAATAATAATAATAATAATAAAAACAGTGGTTGTTAGACTAAGCCGTGATTCAGACTTAAAAAGCAGATGGCACAACTGGTTTCTCCATTCTAAGCATGACATTTTCATTGACCTTCAGCCCATTTTAAGTGAGATATGTCATTGTGGTCGACCTTGTCCCGAATCCTGCGAGACGAGCTTGTACAAATTAATTAAAACGACGCCACCGCATACCATAACGCGACCTATATAATTGGCATGTGCGCATAACGACGACCCAATACAGGCCTAATTTCGTGTGTGAGGTCTGCGAGCTAATTCAATAGTCCTTGAAATTGAAATAGCACAACACTCATTAGACCAACCCACTGTTCTAATTTTACAAACAAGTGTTCTAGTTTTATTTTTTTCCTCTCTCTCTCTTTTTTCATTATTGCCTGCCATTCAGTACATAGGCAATCAGTCCCGTGTCCCATTTATAGTAATTATCAAACCGCCACTAAAGTATGAATGGCATTGGAAATGATTATTTTTCATTATGGTTATGTTATTTTAAGTATGGGGGTATTGTAGCAGTGATTTCTCTATTAAACATGATTGCTGTGTGAGTTTATTTTGATCGAAACAACAAATTCACTGGAAATGATGAGTCCTTCATGTAAATAAAGAATGTTATGCGGACAGTCAAAAGCAAGACTTAATTTATCCCTATCCTATCAGGCATCCCCCAAATAAATGAGGATAGATGCCTTTTCTATTTGACTAAAAGAACAGTAAGTACTAGTAAACCTTCAACTGTAATTTCAAAAGTTCATTAAATCAATTCATTATAAAATATAAATATTTTATTTAAGTGTTTATTATTATTTTGATTGCGTACACTTGTATGTTTCAAATTTTATGGCATTACCTTTACTGGTTGTATTATTATTATTATTTTTTTTTAATTTTATTTATTTATTTATTTATTTATTTTTTTTGGGTGGGGGAGGTGTTTACTTCCAAAATTAGTAGTTAAAATTCTATTCAAATTATAGTCATTTAGACCAGGTGATTCCTCTTCCCTAACAACCAGAATAGAAAACCGAGCAAGTGTTTGTTTAAAGTGTGTTTTGACAGTGTCTGACATCTGTCTATAGACAGAGAGCGGAACAGGTGCATTCATGTTAATAATCAACGATGAAACGTCTGGCCGAACGTTGCCTGTCTTTGGGGCAGAGTGGGTTTTCATTTTAGGTTGAGTTCTGGGAAGAGGTGAACAATAATTTGTGAGCATTATCATTGTTATTATTATGCAAGTGTGGAAGAACATCATTAAAATGCTGTATGCTGTCTGGGATTATTAGACCATGCCCCCCCTTCCCCCTTCCCCCTTCCCCCTTCCCCCTCCCCCCTTCCCCCTCCCCCCTCCCCATGTTCTATGAAGTGAAGAGTTAAATTGTGTGGAGTAGGATTGTGTACTGCTTCATGTGTTCGTAACTATTTTTAGCTGAAAGGGAATATAGTTGAAAAATATTGATTAAGAATGTCAAAACCTTAGTCACCTTTGTTAAAATCCAGAAATATCAGTCTTTCTGGCAGTCTCATCCTTGGTGAGAAAAGAGGTCTATAAATGTCTTGGTCATCAAACCTATTTATGCACACCACACCCTCGATAAAATACTAAAAGAGTATACTGTTCCGTGGTTTTGATCACCACTTTAAAATAGAATGCACTTATTGGCAAAGTCTAGTTCATAAACAAAGTATCACAAGATAGGACAAATAAAAGTAGGATCATCGTTTTCTAATGGAAATCATGAATGATAAAAACGGGGCATGCATTTACATGTACATATGTCATTAATGATATATAATTATCAACTTGACCTCATTTATGTTGGCAAAACCTTTCCAACAATAGGACCATCATTTTTTATCGAGGCGAACAACAACTTTCAAAACGGGTGTGGTGTTACTTGTTGAGATCTTACATATACGATCAGACGAGGAAGCGATTTTGAAAATAGAACGATATGATATGCAGGCAACTCATGTTTCAATCTCAACTATGTACATGATAGCACTTTGTGTTGTGAATAACACTAGTAATGTGATAGTTGATAGAAAACTAGGGCAATTATGAAAGTTTACTTCCTCGTTTATTGACACTCTTAAAGCTAATAACTTGCTTTTGCTATTGGATTTTGATTTTGAGAGAAATTTGTGGACGATGATTCTGCATTGCAGAGCTTTGGGCTAGTTGAAGCAGCAAATTGTGGGCAAACTAATGCAAATTTGCTTGAAAACACATTTATTGGAAATGATTGGCTGGGAATGAAGGGTGGAGAGGGGTAAATTTAAGGAATGAAAGGGGTAAAAATTCGATGACTGAAAGAGAAATAAGGAAAGGATAGACATAAATGCCCTTTCAAATGTCTCCCTGCAAATGCGTTTAATAGGGCTGTAGGTATTGTCTGGTCGCAGGAAAATAATTGAATGTTCAGAACAGAGTGTAAGAACAGATATTAGTTTTTTTTTTTTTGCCGTACCTAAAGTCATTAATCGTCTCCTGTAGTAAAAAGTTTTTATGCTACATGAAATCGTTTTCAGTGTTGTGATTCAGAAAGATACAATTTCACTGCAAGAATCAAGAAAGAGTTAAACCTGGCCCAAAGTTTTTGGACATTTTTAGACCCAAATTGCTCCATTCTCATTTACATACTGGAGTGATAATGACAGTCACAATGATGGTTCCTTGTCATTGCTTCAAAATGAACCCTCCTAACCCCACCCCCACCCCACCCCCACCCTCTTCTCTCTATCTATGCCTTTGTATATCTTGTGACTTTTGACCTATTTCTTTTCCCATCCCCAGACCACTTCAGACTGGACCCTAACGCCCTATCGTCAAGAACGCCGGGAGTGTTGCCTGCTTGAAAGTCACCTTCACTTCACCTTCAAGATGTCGCCGCTGTGTGGGGGAACTCTCTGACAAGGGACTGCTTGAAGGTATGCTTGTTTTAGACGAGTGCCGCATCCTAAAAGGTCAGCCGTCCCTAGCTCATCACCCGCGGCCAAAAGCATTTTGAATTTTCAAGTACGGGCAACAGTTTGCTGTCAATTTCAAGCAGAAATAGTCCACAAACCTGTAAAAAAAAATCTATTTGCAGAAGCTCTTTTTGGTGTTGTATTTATAAGTTCACTTTTCTCATAGTGACATTGAAGTATTTAATTGTTTTTTACTAGAGCTTTTTCCCCCAATTTACCAGAGCACTTTTTTCCAATTACTAGAGCATTTCTGGAGCTTCCGATATTTAAAAAGTGCTCACTGCTCCTGTGTATAATTGCTTTTGCTGGTTTACATTCTAGATACATGTATATGAATAACACATCAGCTATAATTCTCATTGCTTTCTTTCAAATGCATTTTAATGGATACAAGTATAAAATGCATCACAACTTATATTGGAGGGATAATAACATTTCTTTTGTAAGAATATGGAATCGTACTGTATAAAAACAACAGCCTTGCTTTTAGTACGGATTAAATGGGAATGATATCGGCATGGTGAAATGAAAGAAAAATTATTCTGTTTTCATTTTCTGTTTCAAGAATGCAAAGTTGTATCAATAATATCCATTATCTATGTGAGAAAGAGGGATTGCTTTCCCTTTTAAATAAAATTTACTGATGGAATACAGAAATGGTGTGGAGAAAATTGGCAACTATGTAACTGCCTGTAGCCACTTGGTTTATCTCTATCCTGTAATACACAAACTCAATGCTAATAGCATTGGAGCTTGCATAATATAGCATGAATTGGCCGAGTCGGTCGCAGGTTATTTCCTTCTCACTGTAGCGCCACATCTGCGCGAAAATAACCTAATCAATTCAGACGAGACTCAATTAAGAACCAGACTAATTAATCCAAGTTGGAATAGAAAGTGACGGGAATTAATAGCGGCACTTCGGCTTAAAATAAACCCGGAACGAGACGAGAGGAAAGACGGCTTGGCATGAATAATGATGGTTTTAAAGGGTATCTATGGTATTGGCAAGACTCTCAACAATAAGGAAATACACTGTGATGAATCTAATGTGAAACATTATGACATGGGTGAGCGAGTAGTCGACTTGTTTCCTGATTTGCCACAGGATGGGAACTGAAAATCTATTTGAAAATGGTTTGTTTATAGTAACAGGAACATTATTTGTTGATTGATGATAATAATAGAAGATATAGCCCATTCATTTAGCGATAAGGGTAACAATAAAGACACGTTGAAGAGCAAAGTGCTTCAAACTAATTCTCTACCATTCCAATCACGCATACTATCTTGCTTCCCCATAATCTTTGTTGTACATACATTTCCAACTCATATTTATGACAACAATGCTGGCAATTTCTTTCTTCTCATTTATGAGCTACTCAGCTCTATGGAAAAGTTAAATTTTAATCTATTTCTGAATTGTGATAGAATATTCAGAAGTAGTCGTATTAATCCTAATTTCCTCCCCCTTTTCTCTTCCAGTTCATCATAGCTTGCCAACTTACAAGTTGACAAACGTATATTCCAAGATGGCAAGCCAAGAGCTAGAGCTACTTGTACCTGTACATGCATTCTACATAGGAACCGCAGCCCTCGAAGTGACTTCAAGGCAGTGGATAGAATAAGGACTATATCAACAGCGAGCTTGGACTTTCACAGAAGGTGAGAAGGGACATCATTTAATAATCAATCTGCGCCAGAATTATTCACTCGCATCAGTACAGACTCGGTAAAGATTATTTGCAAATCAGGGAAAAATAAACGGGGGCTTGGGGCGAAGTAGCCCCTGAAAATCATAAAAGAGCCCCTCAAAATTTGCATAGAGTTCAATTTAAAACAAATTAAAGAGTGTTATTTTCATGCAAGTAAGTTTGAAAAGTAGCCCCCCAAAAAATTGTTAAATATTTTTTTCCCTGTGGCAAATGTTCGGGGAATCGTCTGTACACAAAGAATATGAAAGTTGATAGCAAATCGGTCCTACCTGTACTTTTGACGACATGGTTTGTGTTTCACGAGTTGTTATTGAACGTAGCTAGAATGGCTTTGTAAAACATGTAGTGAAATCCAAGAAATAGTGTCATGGATTTTGTTTTGTTTTCCATTTGTGGGAGTTCATGGGAAACCCATGGAATTTATTCTTGGAGGAACTGCAGGAACATGATTAAGAATTCTTTCCTTGGCCACTATTTCCTGCTCTTCTCAAGATTTTTGCTTGTGATTAAAGCCATATTTATCTTCTCTCTCAATCCCCAAGATAGTTCCTGTGCCTGGGAAGGACTGGAGGGAAGAAAGGATTAATGGAGGTGAGGGATTATCGGATCTCGGAGGATTAGGAAGAGGACTTACGAAGAGGCGGATGAAAATAGGAATTCTCTTAACGACGGATGCGAGCTTTCTGTGGACCATGAATAGAATACGAAGGCTTGGACAACCAAACGTCAGAAACAGGTAATAATATTCTCCGCACAGCGCACATTGATTTATGTACCTTTAATTAGGCCATTCTTGAAGAACTCTCAGAGGTTAGAATATATTAGCTCGGTGATTTAGTAGGGGAGGTTGAAAATGGGGAATTCCCCAGAATAGGCGGAGCTCGTCTTGGACAAGAATGGATAGATAAAAAAAAAGGTAAAATGCATTTCGAATGCAGCACCTAGTTGTCAGTCGATGTTAATGTATCTTCATGTAGGCCAGTATCAAATGACTTTGTGAGGTAAAAATATCAGCTCTGTGTATAAGGATTACTCAATGAAGGGGAGGAGGAAAAAGGGGAAATCCCTCAACAAAGGACCGGAGCTATAATCTTAGACATTAGGGAAGGGCTAGAATGCTACTTATGATTAAATTATTCAAATATCAAAGAGGTTTATGAGGTGGAAGAGGATTAGCTCTTTAAGAATTACACAAGAGCAGAAGGATGGAAATACGGGATTCACTGAACATCGTTCGAAATGCATTTTAGCTTTTTTAAAAATCTATTCATTCTCGTCCAGGATGTGAAACTTGTCTCTGACAAGGAAGGGCCAGAAATTGATATTAATTAATATTTTTAATGTCACACCCTGAAAAATGTGGATGTACTTTTAACCAGGGCAATATCAGAGAACGTCTGGAGTTTAAAAATTCTTGGCTCTGCAAGAATTGCACAAAGTCGTGGAGAGGAAGAAAATGGGGGAATTTCAGTAATAATAGGAGCTCGATTGTCTTGGACAGGAATAGGACAATCCAGGTTTTTACAAATTTCTTTGATTTTTCCCCCATTTTAGAGGGGGGGGGGGGGGGGGGGGGGGGTATGCCGATCCCCCAAAAAGGAAAAAAATATGCTAAATTGAGGAAATGTTTTTACCAAGCATGTGTTGGCAAAATTGTGCTATACAACTTCATGTGATCATTAATATGAATCTGTGAGTCCTCCTCCACAGTCATATGACTGGGTCATGTGATCGACAGCCTATATGTCAGGTGACATTTCTGGCATTGATATGATGCAAGCTATATGGTAATCATGTGATGATTTGGTGTCATGCCAGCATAGAATATGCTTTCTTTTCCGGTTTCTTGAATCATTCTTAAATGGAATGAACAAACTTATAATGAAACAGAAATGAATCAACCTAATGTAATCAATTAAGAATATCTCTTGGTTTCTATTTATTTTTTTTTCAAAGGAGCCTGTTCTTATCCTCATGGCTTCTCTTTCTTTAGTTATTTCATTGCTTTTTCTCTCTCTCTCTGTCTCTCTCTCTCTCTCTCTCTATTCGCTTGCTTTAAAGCTACACATTAATCCTGTAAAAATGTGCAGTCTTAGGGGGGGGGGGGGCATTGTCAAAATAGGAAGGGGGCACTTTACCCCCCCCCCCCCTGTAAAGTCAAGGAATCTGCCCATTTTTAGATCATCCACTGTTTCCTTCAAGACCTTGAGGCTTTTGACAAGATGAAGACCTTGAATCTAGAATCCCAACAAATATTCCTTTCTATAATTCATAGGAAACCATCATTTTGTCACATCCTCATTTATTATGCAATGTTGCTGTGTGGCACGACATCCAACAGGATTATGTCTTCCATGAATTACCCCACCGTGGGTGTTTATTCCTCATTACCAAGTCAACATCGAAGAATGCAAAATATGTCAACGGATGTGCTCATTAAGATTTATTTAAAACCCCAACAAAAAAATAGGTACATTTGTATTACTTGCTTTGGTAGTGATTATGGTAATAGGTTGACATTGTCTCTTGTATTCATCAATATGTTTACTTATTTTTTCTTTTCCTTTTTCTTTTTGTCTCCTTCCCCAGATCATAGACGTGGGCAGCTGACTGTGAGGGCTGTCGATTCACGGATTACATCGCTCAGATTTGTATCAAACCTCATTTTTCTTTCATCCTGTTGAATAGGAAATGGATTGCATTTTTGAAGAAATGCAGCCATTGTGATTGTGTACCCCCACCCCCTTATCTCTCTCTCTCTCTCTCTCTCTCTCTCTCTCTCTCTCTTTCTCTTTCTCTTTCTCTTTCTCTCTCTCTCTCTCTCTCTCTCTTCTCTCTCTCTCTCTCTCTCTGTGCTATTCCTTTATCTTTACTCTGTGTCTCGTTTCCCAGATGATAGATGTGGGTGGCTCAACTCTCTGCACCTCTATTTTTGGTTGTCTATCTTTATATCTGTCTCTCACTGTCTCTCTCCGTCCTCTGCAAAAAAACATTTTTGTAATCAATCTCTTGCCCTCCCTCCCTTAGTTTCTCACTTTTCTTCCTTTTCTCTCTTTTTCCCCCTTTCTCTCTTCTTCCTTTCTCTTGTTTTCCTTTTCTCTTTTCCTTGCCTTTTCTCCCTCCCTTTTTCTCCCCTCTCTCTTCTCTCTTTCTCTCTCATTTTTGTCTTGCTCATTCCCTCTCTCACCCTGTAATTCAAAAGAAGAGAGAGGGGGAGAGAGAGAATACCTGGACCAAATCATGTCTGCTTCAACTTTGTCTTGCGCTATTTTGGTGAACTCTGGGTGCCCCCGTTCTCTTTCCTCCCGCGCTTCCTCCTCTGCGTCCCTCGGCACTTGTGTTTTTGCCGTTCCTAAACACGTGCATCGGACGCGGCCCAACCCCCGCGTCACAGACTGGGCAAGAAAACAAGGGTAACCCGGGCAACGCAAGTAATCGCAATCGGCTCACCTCAAATAGCCTGCCTCTTCCTTCCTTGAATTTGTCCGATTGCTTGGCGGGGTTTCCTCTCTCATATAGACCACCCTCTCTCAATCCTTGTTTCTTTCTCCCTCTCCAGCACCTCTCTCCTCCCCCCCCCCCCCTCTCTCTCTCTCTCTCTCTCTCTCCATTGTGTCTTGGTTACAAATTCCCCTTCTTTCCTTGCTCTTGTTTTCTCCGCATCATTGTTTCTCTTTCTTTTCAAAAATATTTAATTGTCTCCAACTTATGTAATTTCTGTTTACCCTCTTGCCACTTTCTGCTAATCCATCCCTATTTCCCCACCACCTTTAATCTGGCTCACTTTCTTATTCCCTCCATCTCTCTGTTTTTCTATCCTAACCAACTTGTAAGTTATTTTGCTGTACGTCTATTTTCTTTTCTCTATCTCTCTCTTTCTGTCTCTCTTCCTCCCTCTTTCCTTCCATCCCTTTCTGCATTCTCATCTCTCCTCTAAATTGCTCTTGCTCCCCCTCCTCCTGTCCCCTTCCTTCCCTTCTCCCCTTCTCCCTAACTCTTCTCCCTTTCTTCTCACTCCCTGTCATATATTGTCAATCCCCTACCCTCTCCTTCTCTTCCCCTTTCCCTTTCTCTCTCTCTCCCTCCCCCTCTCTCCCTCCCCCTCTCTCCCTCCCCTCTCTCCCTCCCCCTCTCTCCCTCCCCCTCTCTCCCTCCCCCTCTCTCCCTCTCTCCATCTCCCTCCCCCTCTCTCCCTTCTCTCTCCCTCCCCTATCTCCCTCCCCCTATCTCCCTCCCCCTCTCTCCCTCCTCCTCTCTCCCTCCCCCCTCTCTCTCTCTCCCTCTCTCCCTCCCCCTCTCTCTCTCTCCCTCCCCCTTTCTCCCTCTCTCCCTCCCTCTCTCCCCCTTCTCTCTCCCTCCCCTTCCCCTTTTCCCTTACTCTCATATCTTCTCTACTCCCTACTCTTTCCATCTATCTCCCTTTCTTTCTCTCCCTCTCTCCCCAGGTGAACCCAAAAATTTGTTTTGCTAATCTCACTTTCCTTCCTTTCCCCAGTCACCCATAGGTACTGCTAGTCTTATCAACCAGACACAGTTGGTACACAAATCTGTAATGGGGATATTTAGGTTTCATGACACTTGCTCCGGCAACCGCTGTCACACTAACCAAAATCTCAACACTATACCTAACCCTAACCCTAAACCTAATCCTAAACCGAAACATAGCCTAAACCCCACATGAAACCATAACCCTAACCCTTATACCTTTGACACATGAAGCCTGGGGGCAATTGTTGGAGGAGCACATGCTATAATAATATTTTTTATAAGCAAAACCATTCTTACCAATCTTACGTGGTCATTAAAATACTAGGATTTGAATTCTTTATTAACAAAAGCCTTCTTTTGGACAGCCAGCAATATATATCCTGCAAAACTTCCGGAAAACAAAAAATCACAACTTCTTTTTGAATGTCCATATTCTGGAAATTTGATGCCAGATAATTGAAACACATCATTTTACAAATTCATGAATAATTCTGGTTTGATAAGATATATTGTGAGACATTTGAGGGAGCAAGCCGCAAGCCACAAGCACAAAAATTATTCAAGAGGGCCTATTTTGTTTTTGATTATCACAAACAAAATGGCCGCTCCCTGGGGGGCAGGTGTAGCAGCTAGCCTTCCTGTCTATTGGTAGATGAAATTGATTGTAGACGGCTTTATCTCATATCTCAACGAGACAAAAAGGAATCGAACGGAAAGGGAGAAATCGAGATATGAATTTGTTTGTTTCCTTCACACCTGTCTCCCGCGAGACTGCGAGGGGGCCCTTGACCTTGAGCTAGCCAGTTTCGGTCTCGCTATATTGTCGAGATTCCGATAACAAGAGTTGCGATTCCGATCAGACTTCCGTGATAGATTGGATCTTCCTCATCTAAATTAGAACCATGACCACAGCCAGCAGCCTGTTAACTTGAAAGGGCATGGACCTTTGCGAAGGGGTCATTTTGAAGGCGTTGCCTGAAACGATTAGCTCTTTATATTTCTTGTTAAGGGATGATTTTCATACTAATATACTGATTATTCTAATGAAATCATTTAAGAAATCACTTTTTCACCTAAACCTATGTTAGTGTTGGCCCCTACATAGTTATATCATTAACGGTATACCATATAATATTTTCATTTTGAACATCATTTATTTCCTGTAGAAGTGAAGGAAATTATGAAACGTTAGTTAATCTAAACTTTTGTTTCTAAGTGGCCTAAACATTGTGGAGTGTGTGTGCAGCGCTTTGTAACTGCAAGGAAAAGGCGCTATATCAAATAGCTTTTGGATTGGATTGGATGGTACACATGCTGTAGATATTTGCTGATGTTTGCTTGTTTGTTGTTGGTTTCTTTGCTTTTTTTTTTGCTTTTGCAGATCATCTTTAGATGCAGCACTCACCATGCAGACAGACAGGTGTGACTTCCCAGGTACCACATCTCACCTACCATCTATGTTCCTGGCTGTGCTCCACAGCCTAGAGAAAGGAATCCAGTCTGGTGTATCAAGTAGACAGGTGACCTGATCTTGGCCAACAAGTCCTCTGTTAATCCATTTGAGCCTATAGAGAGACGGGTGGTGTACAGGAGTAAATTCTTACAATGTACATCGGGTGGTAGGTTATGTACTATGGAAATATACTCGACTCGACTGGTGACCAGATCTTCCCTCGTCAAGCCCATGGCTGGTCCATGGGAGTCTGTAAGAAGACTGGTGTACATGAATGGTCCTTACGTGAGGTAGTAGGTTATATAGTTTGGAGATACACTCAATGGCGATAGCTATACAGCCTGCTAGCTTTCCTTGGGCCATTCACAAATCTTCAGTGCGGTAAAAGTGTCTTTGACGCTGTCAGGTTGAACTGCTAGGATGTCCAGTATGTATGAATAGTTTCTTTCATTACATTCTCTCATTTCTGGGTACCATGACAAGGGAACTATCACTCTCATTCTTTTCATTCTCTCCTTCGTTTGTTCTGACCTCTCTTTTTCTCATCACTCTCTCTCTCTCTCCTCTTTCCTCTCACCCGCCCACATCCCCCTCTCTCCCTCCCTCATGCTTTTTCACTTTCCTCTCCCTCTGCTACTCCCCCCTCTTTTCTTGACTGGCTTCTAAGTTTCTCATTTGTATTCATACCGTCACTTTTTATTTTATTCTTATTTACTTTCGCATCCTTGTTTCTGTCTTGCTATTCTCCCTCTGTGTCTTCTCCAACTATGATCTCTCCTTTTCTTCCTTGAAATAGCCATGAACTTTGGCAGCAACCCTGAGCATGTACCGGTATTCTACCATTTCTTTCCAGTCTTCTGTTACGCCTCCTTCCATAACCATCCCCTCCATTTAACATAGTCCTCACATACAGCATTCAGTAGTCTTTCCCCTATCTCTCTCTCTCTTTCTCTCTCTCCTGTATTAACAAGAATCATTCATTCTCTCCTTTGCTTTCTTATATTCCCTTCCCCCGTCTCCTTTCATATTTTTTTCCCCAAGCTATTTCCTCTCATTGGTCAATGCTCTGAACTTTTCCTTACTCTCCGTCTTTTTGTGCTGGAGCCATCATTTCCTCATATCTTCCCATCGATACTTTCCTCTCTCTTCCCCTTCCCTCCCTGCCTCTCTGACCATACTAATTTTCACCATCTCTCAACCCTTCTCAAATGCCCCTCATTGCAGAAAAAAAAAGAGAGACTGCCCCCCAAATCCCTGAGACCCTAACTTGTGATGTGCTTTTATCAAATCACACAGGTTGGTATCTCAGGAATTTGGTGGGCGTGTCATGCCAACGATCTCACTTTCGTTACCTTGGCGATAACCCTTTCTCTTCTCCTTTGATATGTTGGTCGGTTTTAGTCTAAAAAACACATCAAAACATGCAGCTCAAGTGCTGTCAAACTTTGCAATTTACACAGAAATTCATGAAACACGATCATGGCTACTTTAGAAAAATCTTTGCAGTTGTGTCATCAATAATAAAGTTTTTGGATTAAATTTTTTTTAAACAGGATATTTAATTAATATAATTTGTTTTAATTTTTTAATTTGATATAAGTTGTTTTGATTCGTCATGCTTACAAGGTTCAGGGATTCAGGGAGAAATAGTTGATAAACTGGAATGTAGTTTGGTTCCTTGAGCAGTAGGTAGATAGGACAGTCCCATCTGGCTTAAAAGAAATCTGTTGAAATCTTAGCAGCCTGCAAGAGTTTAATCATAAAGTAGGAGATCCATAATCGTGTAATTCCATTTCTAGAGTTATTTTCACGCTCTCTCTCTGGTTTTCGATACTGCGAGATTGATGGGCTGATTGATGAAAGATTCTTATATTTGCAGATCAAGCATGCTATGAATAAGATCAGGAACCAAGCTTAATATCTGTCAAAAATGTACGCCTACATGTATCTGTACAGTCAGCCCAACACAAATTCTCGTAACATACGCCACTTATTTTATTAAGTTACTTCATACATGTACATTCTTGAACAAACGTAGCACTTACTCAATGGGTAAGTATATGATAAGTTGACAGTTTTCCTCAAATTCTCTCGGGCTGATGATGATGTGTTCTTGTTTAATGGATAAAGTGTAAAGTTGTCATACAATTTACCAAAGATTTAGCATATTGTTTACTACTCTGTGTCGTAATGTTACCATACTGTACCTTTAAAGTTATACAGATTGAGTCGGAAACTAACTGTTCACCTCAATGTTTACCATAAGTTTTTTTACAAGGTGTAAATAATTTACTTACCGGTACATATATTGTAATTTGTTCTTATTTATTTGATTCAATGTCACTTTCTGTAATTTGTCAAAAATTTACAGTTTACCACTTAATGTTACCATACTTTACCATAATAAGTTGCAGTTTATTATACTTTACCATGAATGTTACCGTAGGTTATTGTACAGTTTATCTCTTTGTGTCACAAAGTTTACCTTAATTTACCATGGTTTTAACCACAAGGTGTTGTACAGTTTACCACAGTGTTTAACATGTTTTACCATTGTATATAAATTAATATGGTTGAATGGTCTATGTGATAACAAATGCTGATCTATGCCTATGACCTGACACTCTGCACACACGACTGGAGCCAGAGGGGTTAAGTTCTTCAGCTATCGCCAGCAGCTTGACCCAACTCTTAAAGGTGGTCTTTGAATTCTGGTAACACAAACAGCTACTGAAACTTGGAAAACAACACCCAAACAATGTGTCAAGTTTCTCTCGAAATGCATCACCAGAATCAAAGATTGCCTTTAACTCTCTGAATCTCGTATTTTTTGCAGTGTGTGTGTTGAGTGCCAGGATCATAAGGGCTCTAGCAGAATGGTGCAGGCAGACATGGTTGTCATTTAGGCCACTTAGTTGTAAGCAGCATTATTGTATGCCACAAATTTGTAAGCCTCATTATTGTATGCCACATTGGCTGCAAGTCACATTCATATAGTTGTAAGACACATGTTTGTTAGATAATTTGTTGTATGTGGTATCATTTTAAGATACATTGTTATATGCCACATCTTTTGAAAACAAGTTGTATGCCACATTTTGATAATTCTTATTGTTGTAAGGCTCATGGTCTAGGACATAGTCAAATTTTAACATCATTGAGATCTAAATTTCATGAAAAGATCATTACAGTAATTCCTCATAAATACCTCACTAGAATAAAAATTCATCTGTTTTTTGATAACAATTAATGAAAAAACGTTTTCTATTTTTATTTCATTTAAAAAAAAAAACTATTTTGTTTATTTCTTATCAGTTATTCATGATTAGTTGTTTGTGGAAATGATGGATTTTGTATTTCTTTCTGGAGTTAATAAATCTACATACCTGTATTATCATAACAAAGATTGGATGTGTTGTCTTGTTTGCGTCAATTAATGTGGGGATATTGAACAGGCTCAGGGAGATGAAGTGAGAAAGAAGGAGGGGGTGGGAAGAGAGAGAGAGAGAGAGAGGAGAAGTGGTGGGATGAATAAGATAAATGAGAAGATAAAGTGAGAAAGTAGGATGGAGAGAGGGGATAGAGGGAATGGGAAGAGAGAAGTGGGTGGGGATGACTAAGAGTAGATGAAGATAAGGTAAGCAACAAACAAAAATCTAGAGGGGAAGGGAAGAGATTAAAGAAGTGCAATGTGAGCCAGGATAAATGGGACAGTGGGTGGAAGAACAGTGGTAAAGATGAGAATTGAAAGTAAAACGGCTAATGGGAGAGATAGAGGAATGATAATAATAATAATAATAAGATTTCTATATACCGCAAATTGCACAATGCATCTAAGCGGTTTAGAAGGAAAATAGTTGATAAGTAAAGAAGACAGAAATTGCATTAGAAATTGCATCGAATCAATTAACATTAAAAACTTTGCAAATGACGAGAGTGCATGAGCGACGACATGAGAGAGAGAGAGAGAGAGAGAAAGGAGAAAAGAAGTAAATGTACAGTCGACCCTGTCTACAGAGACCGTTTAAAGGAAACGCGAAAAGTGGTCTTTGTAGACAGGTTCCTTTAGTAGGCCTACATGTTTCAATGAGAAACCATTTTTTTAAGGCAAACTAAGATATGGTCTTTGTAGACAGGTGGTCACTAACGCAGGTTTGACTGTATTATGTGAGGGAAAGAAGAGAGGAAGGGTACATGGCTTTAATAGTGGTAAAATGGATAGGAAAGAGAAGGTATGGGAGGGAAAGACAGTGAGGAGGAGGAAATATTGAAGTTGAGAGTCGGGTGGGATAGAGGGGGAAAAAAAAGGGGGGGGGGTTGAAGAAGAGAATGACTCGATTCAAATCCATAAAAACTCACTTTATGAAAGTATAAAATACATATCTACAATTTAGAAAACGGAGAACGCGCACAAAATGGAAAATGTTCAGAAATATACCATTGTTATAAAAAGTTAGTCAATAGAATGAATTGGAGAAACTGCAAATAAAACCGTAAATTTATGTCGAGGTAGTGCCTGTTCTCATACGATACGTGCAAGTTCCACCAATTCATCGCCTATAAAAGATATAACAATAACAAAAACAGTGTGCAAAACGTAGTAGATGGTCTAGAAAGAAAGAAATGAAGTTGTGTATATGCATGGAGCAGAGAATATAAGGTTGATATGGGAAAAAATTAGATGCATGAGAATGCTGGAGAAAGGGAAAGGTACATACAAAGAGACAGAGAATAGGAAAACGGGAAATTAGGAAATAAAGACCAGAAGACAAAAAAAAGGCAAGGTGCACAAAATTGCACATTTAATAATAATTTGGATTTTACTTAAATTCTCTGTATAGGAACAAGAGATGGCGCTAAACCACTCCTAACATGACCGATTGAAAGAACGTTTAAAAGTATACACGAATGAATGAATAAATATTTTAAATATTTTACTGTGTCATTGGATAAAGATATTCCCTGAAGTCTAAAACTTCAAGAACATATAAAATTAATATTCTTATCCACTGCTCACACTATGTACAGTCTGAGGTAAAACGTATTATCTGCGTTTCGGTCTCCAAAAGAGAGGAAAGCTATTTTGACATTAAACAAAAGTGATGGATTAAAAATAACACAAGTTTGGCCCCTCCCCTTCCCCTTCAAGTTCCAGACAATGATTTGAAATGCCATTATTGCTAGGCCGTCTAAGAAGACCGAATAAAGAGGGCCGAATAAAGATTTTAAATAACCCGAACGAATACATGTGCGTCAGTTCTAAGTCATCAAAAGATTAAAGTTTTATTGTTTAACCTCCGCAGACAACAAAGCTGTCTGGCCCTTTTAAAGCCGGGGCTTTAAAGTCTATTTTTAAACATTTTAGAAAGAAAGGGAGCGGGTACAAAATCCATTCACCCATTGTTAGTAAAAATGTATTAATCAAGATTTACAATAGCTCTTTTATCGATGCAAATATGTTTTGCTCTGACGTGCGTGAAATTAGGATAAAAATGCATCCATTTTCAATGTTTTTACCAGCTTTGTTATTGAATTTCTTAGTTTTAGTTCCACAAACCTAGACTAATTCGTGTTGCCTTTTTCTTTTCTTCCACCCCCTGTGTTTTTGATAAATACTTCCTTATCTCATTATTTTCCAATTCTTTTCCCCTCGTTTCACCCACCTCCTGTTTCCTAAGTTTTTTTTTTATCCCAATATTTTCTCATTTCGATTTATATCATAAGGCCTCTTCCTAAGCCTTAGCTTTTTCATCATCCTCATCTTCCCTTTTTCCTCTTCTTCTGCTTGATCTTCTTCTTCATCTTCTTTTTTCTTGCTTTCTACTTTCCTTTTTCTTCTTCTTTTCGTTCTTCTTCTTCTTCTTCTTCTTCTTCTTCTTCTTCTTCTCCTTCTTCTTCTTCTCCTTCTTCTTCTTCTCCTTCTTCTTCTTCTTCTCCTTCTTTTTCTTCTTTTCCTTCTTCTTGTTCTTGTTCTTGTTCTTCTTGTTCTTCTCCTTCTTCTTGTTCTTCTTGTTCTTCTCCTTCTTCTTGTTCTTCTTCTTGTTCTTGTTCTTTTTCTTGTTCTTGTTCTTGTTCTTCTTGTTCTTGTTCTTGTTCTTGTTCTTGTTCTTGTTCTTGTTCTTGTTCTTGTTCTTGTTCTTTATTTTGTTGTTGTCAATTTTCTTCGCCTCCTGAGGCCTATAATCACATTCACATAATTTTGTTTTTCATCCTATGTTCATCTTTAGTTCATATCTTTTCTCCGGTTTCCTGAAATATCTTTCCTTAATTATTTTTCTTGTCCACTTTCTAATTTTCCTCTCATGTGAAAATGTTCTTATTCTCTTCCCCCTTCTCCTCTCTTTTCTTCTGAATACATTTTCCTCATCTATTCCTCTTCCATTCCTCACCTCAGCATTTTCTGCCGAGTGAATCTAATTTCAAGTTTCTCATCTCCTCCTCATTCGTTTCAGCTCGCCTTAACTTTGTATTAGATATTTGTATAATTCTTAAATGTAAACACAAATAAGAATTCGGACACAGCTAAACAACGAAATAAAACAATCATTAATATGATGCTTTTTTAAGATCATTTATTTATTTTACTCTGATTTGAGCAGCTAAGTGCATGCACAAAATTTAATGAGTCTAAATTAAGACAATTGGTGCTGGAATTGATCCATATAGAATTTGTATATCAATGATATATATTGAATGACACCTTGGCCTGATCACACATTTCTCAATTATCTTTTCTTCCATACCATTCTCTTCACAATTACTCCTCTGTTTGTTTCCTTCTGGGAGGGGGGGGGGGGGGGGGGGGGGGGGGGGGGGGGGGGGGGGGGTCAATCCCAACATGACTGGCTACGCACCCGCGTTCAGAAAAGGCATCGAAAGGGTGTCTTTTTTCAACTATACGGCGTCGTCGGCGTTTTCCAAGCACTGGTCGCACACAAAGGGTACCTTTTCAGGTTCACATGTTTCGAAAATTTGAGATACATACGCCATTCAGAAAAGGTGCGATACGCCGTTAGGGTCCATTTCAGAAAAGATGCGATACGCCATTAGGGTCCATGTCAGAGGTTGATGGCCGACACGGGTGGGTAGCACTTGTGTATGAGAGTGACCCCCGGCTTTCCTAACTACTATATCTTCCCTTTCCAGTTCTTCTTCTCCTTCCCGTCACATCATCTCATATTCTTTCTTGACATCCATCATCACCTTCTCATCTCCATGATTCTTTTCTCTTGACATGACCTATGAAACTCAATAATGTATTTAGTCTGTAGCGCGCCACCAACGTAAACAAAGTCACGAAGGGTAATGGTTATCTGTCATCTCATTCGTTCTAATCGAAAAATCAAACGAGTTCCCATAAAAAAAGAAGAAATTGATCCGAAGAACAAGAAAGTGATCAAGCGAGTAGAGTAGCCTAAAAGAAAGTGATCTGACACCGTCCCTACTTATTCGATGCTGTCATAAGAAAAGAGAAAATGATCTGGGCAAAGTTTCACGAAACCGTCTTAAAGTAGATATTCATTGATTTTAAAAACTAACTTAATTTCATTATTGCAAAGTTGAAACTTTGATTCGACAAGGTTATCAAAATTCAATGCTTGGAAACATTCGAAGTAATGATTATTATAAATTATAAAACGCTTAAATAAAGCCCCGGCATAGCACATGAAGAGCTCTCCGAACGCTGCTGAGATGTGTGAGATCACATTATGGACACGTTTTGCACAAGCAGACGATGTCCTATGACATCTCACACATTTCCAGTGCCTGTGTTTTCATCTTCTCCTGAGTTCTTTCTCTTACTTCACTACCGTCAGGCTAAATGTATAATCTATTGCCTCACTCTAAACCCCGCATATGGTTTTATTTTGATGACAAATGCAGCGATACAAACATAAAGGAATCTGTCGCTTGTAAACAAAATAAGACGCCATAGAATATTCAGCTGCACACACCGCGGTATGTTCGGCGTTTCAAAAGGGAACAAATGCCGTCCTTAATATCATTCCGGGGGGTTTTCAATTCGAAAATCTGGTTTCTTTGATTGTTAATTAACCCCTATTCTGTGTATTTACAAGCAAAAGATTTTAGTTATCGGAATCGGGTCATATCCCCTTTTGAATGGTTTGACATGCCATCACATTTATATACACTAAACTCATTATAATTTGACAAATAAAAGCTTTGCATTAGCTCATTCTTTATGGGATGTCGTCTGCTTGGGCAGTATTGGTCCATATAGTGACGTCATTAAAACATCGTTATTTTTCCCGCGAATCTCTCGTATATCCCAGCTGCTATGCAGGTTGTTGTAATAAAATTTTATAAATCACCCGATATTGATTTGACCTAAAGCTTGTACGATGGCCATCTGTTAGCTAACCAGTTTCTAGTCATACATTAGTTGACATATTTGTGATTTTCTTTGAATTTCACCTTTAAGTACAAGTTCACCGACATCCAGTTGAAACGCGTGTATTAATGTATGTTTAACACACGTTTCACTGGGATGTCGGTGAACTTAAATGAACTTAAATGACGGTTTCATGAAACGCTGCCCTGAAGAACAAGAAAGTGATCAAGCGAGTAGCCTAAAAGAAAAGTGATCTGACACCGTCCGTACTTATTCGATGCTGTCAAGCTATGCTTTTGTTTCCTGCTTTCTGATATCTTTTTCTGCCCAGTGAGGGCGTAGCGTGAATTCAGAAGTTGCAGGGGGCACTATCATAATATTGGGGGCAACGACCGAGCTCAGTCAGAAAATGATATGCTTGTTTACAGGGACTCTGATTGTTTTTATTTTTTATTTGGGGGGGGGGGGATGGGACAGAGGAGCATATTGTCCTCTTTTGGGGGGTCCTTTTCCTAATTCTCTATGTTTATATTGGTCTTTTCCACTTTTTTTTCTTAGTCATTCAATTGAAGGAAGTTGGGGGGGGGGGGGGGGGGCCTTAGGCGATTTTGCATTTCTGTATCTACGCCTCTGGTTCTGCCCCTCTGTCTGTCTTTTTCCCATTTCTCTGGGACTCTCTTTAACAAGATGTACTTATTACGGCCGTCACCCCCCATGTTTTCTGATTATCAGGCCTTCTTGATTCTTACACTCTCTCTCTCTCTCTCTCTCACTAACCTCCAACTCTCTGGTCTGTATCTCTGAAAGCAAGAGCTCTGAATTGCCCTGCATATTACAGGTTAACTTTCCATCAGCACATGCAACACAATTTAATCAGCGTTCACTTTGGCTTCCTACCTGGCCCTGCCTCCCCCCCCCCCCCCTCCAGCCACTCAGCCACCTGTACATCGACATGAACAATCTGACTACACCAATTATAAATATCAAATTTCCCTGAAATACAAACAAGAACAAAAACAAAGGAGAATGGGGTTTTGGTTCCTTTTTTTATATTTTTTAAATTTTGCAATGAACAATAACACTACAATATTGCATTATTTATGTACAATCTATCATACTTTTCTAGAGAAATGTGTTATCTGGTATTTGATTTTGTTTGTTAATCCCAAACACATTCAAATTTCGGGGGACCTACCAACAAATGCAACATCAAATGACACATTTTCACAAGGTGCCTCTTCAAATTACACTTAGCATTAAAACCGAGACATACAATAGAGAGGTAGCAACTAAATGATTCATACCCATACTCAATTTTGTAATTTTGTAAGTATGTGAAAAATTGATTTGCCCTGATTTAGGTTTATTTAGAATGTTGCTTATTGAAGCTTACATCTAAACGTTTTCAACACAGGTCCCTATTCAACGAATCCATCTTTCATTCTTGAGCTACAAAAAATACACAAAAACACATCAAATTTACAAATGGTTTGAATGATTATAGAACAATTTCAAGTTGTTCAATACCAAATAAATTATAAAACCAAGGTTTATGGAACTTATGGTAGATTTTTGCATTAAAAAAACAAATATTTTGATTGCCTTGAACTGTTTCATAAATGTACTGAGGAAAAAGAGAGAGAAGAGGGAATGATTTCATTCATCTTCCAACACACAAACCCATGATGATCTTGTTAAACCGACCGCCTCAAATAATCGTTTAACTATTAAGGGATTGGGTATCTTTGCCTCAGATTCTAAACAAAAATTGGACCTTAAAGTAATCAGTAAATGTATGATTAAAAACACTTACAGGGCACACCTGTGGCAATTAAAATTTATGGCACAATGTAAAAACATGATAGTTTTCAGCTGATACATCAATATTCCATTTTTTCAACAACTTTTAAGTCAAAGTATTAGGAATTTTAAAGGGTTGCAAAAGTTGTTAACATTTGTTTCTGCTTGAAAAGAAGAATAAAAAAGAGTATTGGAACTATCTTGGCAAATTTTAAAATCTCTGGAAGAGACAGGAGTGTTTAACCTTGCCAACATACATATTAAACATTGAGCCGACAGTGGAATCAACACCCCAACCCCAATGGTCTGCCCCTGACATAATGGCACCTACTGTACGTTTATTCATTTCTTCCTTTGCCGCTGGTCGAAACAGGCTGGTGCGTTTCAGAATGAACACTTCCAACTCCTCAATCAAGACAAATTGGCAATCAATAATCCATACATATGCTATACATTTGCCACTCTCCACCCAGGTGTAAATGGATACCTGATATGCTTGAGCGCTAGTTACTTTGGCAGCTCGGCTTTAACCAGGGTAATATGTGTAAAGCAGCATGAGCATCAGAGCCTGGCAGTTACCGGCGCCACATAAATATCCATATTTTTATTTGTATTATTATTATACTTGTATTACTTGGTGCAAGGTGGACATGTTTACGAGCTGCGGAAGCATATAAACACCTGTATCTTAAATAATTTAAAAGTATGTGTGAACACTATGAACATTAAAACCTGAGCAACTGCTTTGTGTGTACAAAAAACACTCTAGCCCAGGAAGATTCACACATCAAAGAAGACCGCGCTTCAAAACATTTAAGGGGAACGTCGATCGTCAAGAACCGCCGACGCTCTTCTCCGGTGCCTGCTTGTGCGCGAGGTAGAGGAACGCGATACTGGAGAGGGCGCTGATCAAGAACATGTTGTCGAACCAGCGGTGGTAGAAGTTGAACTGGAGGTCACCGAGGACTTCCGTGATTATCATGCGGTACTGGGGTGGCACGTTCATACGCATCAAGAGTACGGATGATACAAAGTACATGCCCTGAGAGAAACAATATAAATTTTGATTTGATTGATTTGATTTTCTTCTGCATTCATATAAGTACACAATTTTTCGATAACAATATAAAATACAATAAGCATTTTTCTGACAGTGGATCATAAATAAGAAAATATGTATAACAATTGTTACTTAAAATGAAACGAAATGATTAACTGTCATGAATACTCAATTTGATCAAACATTATACAATTATTTGCGGAAGGACTGTCATTGTAAGAAGAATATTGCACTCGTAATTAAGGACAGTGGTCTACGGTGAAAAACCGGAAGAGGGCAACATGGCAAATTTTGCCAGCTTCGGTTTCTTATTCGGAGTAGCATGCAGAATATGGCCTTTTATTTTGCAGCTAAAATGCCTTGTATAGGTAATAATGAATAATATAGAACCCTCTTGTCGTAACACTATGTTTAAAAATATTTGTTAAAATGATAAACTTTTCAAGTTAGCCACCATCTTCAATTATATTGCAGGGTTCAGGGACCTTCAGGGTTCCCAAACCCCTACTGATAATCCTAATTCCACTTCAGAAAATAGTGAAATTCTGGAAGAAATGCCCATAAGATTGCTTGACGTAATTCCTTCGAAAAAATTACACTGTACTCACCATTATCTGAGCGAGTCCGAGGACAATGATGTTGGAAGACTTGGCGCTAGCCATCGTATAGAAAAACTGAACGAGATATAAATTCAAACGATAGGATCAATACATAGACATGAGATGGCATAACATGGAAATTCATATATTGATAAGTGTGACTTTAAACAATGGATTGAAAGTGATTTGCGCTCTTCCTTTGGGCTTCATTCTCCTCTCAACTCTGCTGTGTGTGATTGGGTTTTCACAGACGTGTATCAATCAGATATGATCATTTACGTCTGGGGACCGACCTTTAACGTCACCATCTGAAAGACGTGGCTCAGTTTCGAACCGGGGTCACCTGAGCTGGAATTAAAAATTATGGAAAGCCGTTAGTATCATTGAAAATATTTTGTAAAAGTCATTTGAAAGGCATGAAATGTTGATTCCAATCATTCATATTTTCTGTTATCAAGGAGATTTCTTGTTCTTGATGTGGAATTTATGAAAAGTCTAAAATACTTCAGTTTTTGCTTTGGGAAATATTTAATTTTAAGGCTACAAATGGCTCTCCATAATTTTTAAGTCCAACTTGGAGTTAAGTTCGACTTAGGATCTTTGTGAAACACACCACCCCAGGGGAAATGGAGGAGATAATTTACCTTAGTGAGTTTGATGAGTAAGCCTCTTATCTGAGTAACGATGATGATTCCCACAACAATAAACGAGATTTGCTGAGACCAGAATTTCACCTGGATATGGATCAAATACAGAAAAGGAAAAACAGAAAGGATACCGTTACTAAAATGCAGGAAAATCAAAATCATTTTACAACATGTAAAGAAAACTGTAAGCATTTATGTTTCTCAGATTAACTAATATTAATGATATTACATGAGAGTATCTATTTTGTATATTCCTTTTTTTAAATATAAATGCAATTGTATTATGAAATATGGTGTTTCGAAATGAAATGAGATGTTATCTTTAATTTGACTGTAATTCAGCTGAGGCTGCGATATGATAATAAAACAAACTGAACTGAACGAATGATCAGTTTGTATTTGTAAAGGGCATTTAATAATAATCACAGATTACATTTCCTTGATAAATACAGAATATAAAATGTAATCAGTTGAGGCACTCATGCCTACTTGCTGGCAAAGTAGACTGCCATTTTCACATCTATTAAACATCATTGCAAAATAAACATTTGAAAATATTAGAAAATAATTAAAAAAAGGAAAGAAAATAAGCTTTTTTTCTCTGACAAATCAAGACCATAAAACTTGAGTTTTTTCAGATGAAAATTATTTGATCGTTCATCAGATATCCTAAAGACGTTCTTGTTACAAAGAGTCAAGAAAGTCTGTAACTATTTGAACAAAAAGGTGGTTAATTATCAAAAATAAAGAAGTCATTTCCCTTTTTCAACCTGCCACAAAGGCCATCTCTCTATATTAATATGATCCCTCTTTAGTGCCTACTCAAATTGCATGTCATTAGCTGCAATTTTATTCATTTATTTGTTATTGTGGTGCAGAATGTATTTAGAAAGGCTATCTGTTTACTATACCTCCCCCTCCCCCCCCCCCCCCCACCCAACCCTGTTACCCCTCTGCGGAACAATCATTGATACTGCAATTGGCTTACAGTCATGATAAACTTACATCAAAATCGAACCCCAGCCAACCGACAAAAATTTCAAAGAATTTTGAGATAGGGTCCGTCTTTCCGACCCTGTCAAAGATGATGTTGATGGTACAGATGGTGATCTTCCAGAGGCAGTAGAGTGAGAAGAAGTACCCTGATAAATTGAAGAATTGGCCCTTCAGAGTCTTGGTATACTCAATCCTTTCCTGGAAGAAACGGAATAATACAAAGTATTAATACATTCAAACCTGCTTTAGTGAACACCTGTCTACAAAGACCACATGTCTACAACAAGCACATTTTTTTTTCCCTTGAAAATAGTTCCTCATTGAAACATGTACTAAAGGAACCTGTCTGCAAATACCACTTTTTGTGTTTTCCTTGGGCGGTTGCTGTAGACAGGTTTGACTGTTTAATCATAAATTGATAATATAGTTAACTAAATGATTCATACCCTTACAAAAGTTTTGTAATTATTTTTAATAGGTCTTTGTGAAAAATCAATTTGTCTCGATTTAGGTTTCTTGAGAATGTGGCATATAAATGCTTACATCTAATTCATCCAGTCTACTTGTTATTCTTGAGTTTAAAAAAAAACCTACAAAAAAAATAATATACATATTTAGTTGAGGATGTGTGCATGTATCGTACAAAGCCAAATATATATATATAGCCTCAACAAGAGTCGATAGATAGTTTAGTGAACAAATTAAAACATACATCCTTTGTTTTAAATATAGTGAAACTTTTAATAGATTCTTGTTGATTGATAAAACATGGGGTCATTTTTAGATTGGCCCTGTCCTTATTCGAGTCAAATCTGTTCCAAAGTGGACCACTTTAAAGAGAAGATTGAGTTCTGGGGAGAGGTGAAAAATAAACCGTGAGCATTATCATTGTTATTATGCAAGTTTGGAAAAACATCTTAAAAAGATATTGCCTGAAAAGAATGGCTCTTTAAATGCCTTCATATTCTCAATATGACATGTAACAGCTTAAAAATGAGGACCACATTTATATGCCACATTTTCATGTAGTACTGTAGTCCCATATACATCTTTCTGTGTACAGTGCTTGTTATTTTTACCAAGACTGTGCCAAATTTCTTTAATCACTTTGATGATTCCAGAATCTTGCAGTACACACCAATACTTATAATTATGATAAATGATCAACCTTTTCTGATCGATTCTTTCTTTCTTTCTTTCAATAACATGACCAGAACACAAATTGTTCTTTAAGCTCCAAAAAAATCTAAGTGAACAGCAGAAGACTCACCATAGTGCTATTGAGATCCACAAGCTCAATATAGAGTTGCCGTGACAACTCCTCATAACCCTTGATCTCCTGCTGTAGTTGACTCACATCTGGTTTGATCTCTTTCAAGAAAAAATTCGATTTTTCTGCTTCTATTGAAAGTAAATTATTTCTGGAGTGGACTTGACCTTTAACTTAACATGAGTAGAGTGTGGCTAATGTTGATTGATGCTTATTATTCAATCTGTTTTATCTAAAGGAATGCAGTATCTTTTGAACAAGTCGATGTGTACATCTTTTTAAAGAATGCAAAATTAATAAAAATGCACATAGGTAGATTTATGTCTTGCCAAAGGACATTAGTGCTGCGACAGGGCTTTGAACCCTGTACCACATGGTTCACAGTCTGGAGACTTATCCACTGGACCACAACACCTCTACATCTGTTTTTTTGGTTCTCCCCATCATTTATAAATTAGATAAAACGTACACATGAAACACATAATTTCATTGATTACATAGAAAAACACATGAATTACACTTATATAACAAAATTAATTGTACTTAAAAAAAAACATCATTATCAACATTTTGTTGCATACAACAGATTTGTTCTTTTGATATGAAAGGATACTGGCATTGTTGGATGTTGTGACACTCTTAATCATGCCCCAGATCCCACTTGGTCTAGGAGCTGTCGAAGCCCTCTGCAGTTCATCCCTCTCAGCAATCGCTAATCTGTAACGATTGTATAACAGAGATGAAATACGCTACCAATACAGTGAACCTGTCTATAAAGACCACCGAGGCAGACAAGAAAAGTGGTCTTTATAGGCAGGTGGTCTTTGTAGACAGGTTCCTTTAGTACATGTTTCAATGAGAAACCATTTTCAAGGGAAACAAAAAATGTGGACTTGGTAGACAGGTGGTCTTTCTATACAGGTGGTCATTATATAGCAGGTTTGACTGTAGTACACTGTATGTTCGGAGCAGCAACAGGGAGGTACATGGACAGGCTCTTCTTTGTCCCCTTTCGCTCTCTCTCTCACTCTCTCTTTCTTTCTTTCTCTCTCGCTCTTTCTCTCTCACACTCTATCACTATCTTTTCCTTTCTCTCTCTCCCTCTTTTGTTCTATCCAGGGGTGATAGTGATCACTTAAGTGATAGTGATCACTGTTTTCCCCTCAACCACGCCCCCCTTGAGTAAAAAAAAAAAGAAGAGGATTCGCAGGGAAAAAATGGCATCTAACAACATTCCCCCCTTACGAGTAAGAAAATTGTGGTAAAAAATAGGGCAAAATAGGAAAGAATAGAGAAAATAAGAGGGAAATCGGGGAAAATCAGGATAAAAAAGGGAAGAAATCTTTTTTTTTTTATTTTTTAAATCGGGTTTTTATCAGGCCTGGTTCTATCTCTCTCTCTCACTTCTATTCACACTCTCTTCCTCTCTCTCTTTCTTTCTCTCTCTCTCTTCCTCTCTCCCTTTCTTTTCTCTCTCTGTCTCTCTCTTTCTCTCTCACTCCCCCCCCCCCCTTTTGCTCACTCATGTGCCTGTACTGTACCTCTACTCCATCTTTGACATGCACCCTAGTCTCATTACTCACCAGACTATTTCTCTTTTAATCTTTTGAAATCTCTCGCATAATCTATTCACTCTCTCTATACGCCATCACCCTAAGTTTCTAACCCCCCCCCCCCCCCCCCACCACCACCACCCCCACCTGTCGGCCCCTCTCTCTTTCTTTTTGTTGGTATCCTCTTTAGTATCCCCCTAATTCATATTGAAACTTTGAAAGTATTTGTCTTGGGCACGATTATTGAAGAAATTTACGTCGTACACAAAAGGTGCTCGACTATTGCGAACTTAATGAGACGATATAGTTCACCTGTTTGCTTGTCCAACATAGCAACATCCTCATATCTTACTCACTGAAACCAAATTGTCATAACTCTGTGCACAGATAGCTGTGATAATAATAATAATAATAGTGGGTTCTTGTATAGCGCTCATGTCAGTCAGATTTGACCCTCCTGGCGCTCCTGATTATTACCCTGGCTTTAGCACGGCTGCCATACGGCGCTCTAGCATTTCAAGGAATAAATTCCTACCAGGTACCCATTTACTGTGATTAACTGTGCCCTCTGGTGCTGAGCTTACCTTTTTTTCTTGGTGAGAATCATATCCATGACCTGCATGAACTTGCGATCGTGATTGTGAACGTCTGCTTCCGTAACAGGCCTAGGTGGGAGTTAAATGATGATGATGGTAGGGAATTAGACCACTTGACTAATGTATTGAAATATTAAAACATAGTTGCATTTGATGACAAGAAAGCTCAATAAAAAAGCTCAATAAGATTCGCTTGACATGGGGGCAATACATTTTTATCACCATCATTGCATTATCATCATCACCTACACCACTATTATCAAGATGATGAAGATAATGATGATCATTATCATTTTCAACACCATCATCATCACAATCACCATTATTATCATCACCAATACCACCATCACAGGCCTGCACCATCATCAAGCTGATGATGATGATGATGATGATGATGATGATGATGATGATGATCATTATCATTTTCATCATCATCACCAACATCAAGATGATGATGACAATCTACATTTCCACCGTCATCATCATCATCACCATCAACATCATCATCTTCATCATCATTATCATCATCACCATAGTCATCATCATCATCACCACCACCACCACCACCACCACCATCATCATCATCATCATCATCATCACATCACCATCATCATCACCAGCACCACCATCATCATCATCATCATCACCATCATCATCAACACCATCAACATCACCATCATCAACACCATCAACATCACCATCACCAAACCAACCTTGTAAAGTAGGCCATATAGGTATATGGGCAGTTGACAGCTCCGAATCCTGAGAGAATAGCCGCTAAGGTGACACCAATCACTCCAACTCGACTTATCACTTGCTCGATAGAAAGAATACCTGACAATAATAAAATGTTTACAAAAAGGTGTTAATTAATTACTGAAAGAGGGTAACAAGTCATAAACATGAAGAAAATAAATCTTTCTTTTTTATGTCACATATTGTACCATACAGAAAAATGGCATCTCTTACGAGTCCTTAATTTCCCCCCTTCATTTATTTTGCTTCCACAATCACGCGCCAACACAGTGTAGATATAAGAGGCAGTACTATCGGACTATCATGGTAAATCATTTCTGTGCTGTCTCTGGCAAAAAAAATCCTTTCAAAGAACTAGAAGGTTGAACTTTGCCACTAGTACTACAAACAGCGATGCAGCAGTAGCTTTCTTTGCAAATCTAAAACCAGCCAATGCCACTAGAGATTTATTCTCAATCTTTTCATTTCATTTCATTTAATTCCAATGCACAATGAAACAATGACCTTAACATTATTGAGAACTACTTATTGAATCATTGCCTCATTGAACTGGTCAGTGGGTTAACAAATTATGAGGTTTGCAGTGGAGGGCTTAATGACCTACCATGTTTTGGACTGAGTATTGGAAAAGGATCTCCCAGCTTCCAGAAGAAATAGATGAAGACGAGCCACGCTCCTGCCGTCAAGAAAACGGTCATGCGACGTTTAACAACTATAATAACAAATAATAAAAAACAAAAACGTTACTTATGAAGCGCTTACCACCGAAGTCTCTAAGCGCTATAACCAACAAACAAAATAGACTGATAAACAATTATATATTAAACAAAACAAAGAAGTGCAAATAAACTTACAAATTACAATACATATGGAATACACATCAAAGTAAACAGAGCTAATTAATCATCGAAAGCAATTTTGACTAAATGTGTCTTAAGACTAGTTTTGAATAGGTAAACAGTTTGACAGTTTTTGACAATGAAAACAAAACAAAAATGGGGGGGGGGGGGGGGGGAGAAATAATCAACTATATTGAAACCTGTCTATAAAGACCACCCAATGGTGACAAGAAAAGTGGTCTTTATAGGTAGGTGGTCTTTGAAGACAGGTGCCTATAGTGTATGTTACATTGAGAAACCATTTTCAAGGGCACCAAATAATGTGGTTTTTGTAGACAGGTAGTGACTAAAGCAGGTTTGACTGTATTTATATGGAATAAGCTCATATATGCAGATATGGTAAGCCACTCCCCAATCTCATATTTCTTGAATTTGATGAATTAAAGAATGTTGATAATTCTAAATCTATCTCCGGTGAATCATTTTGCTCTAAAAATGGAGTATTGTGAGGTGAAAATAAGTAATGTGTATGCAGAATAATAATAATAATAATATGGATTTACATAAAACTTTATACAAAATACTATCTCTTAGCACTTTACAGACATTATTAGCCCGGTCAATGGATTCATTCATGCATAATGAGCACCATCTCCACTCCCTGGGAAGCATTCCTACCGTATGGTCACTGAGGGAATATGGCGATTACTCACACAAATGCTTTCGTCATCCTACCAGGACCCCATCTCTCCCCTGGGTAAGGAGTGGCAAATGTAGATTAATGCCTTGCCAAAATTAGTGCCTACCGGTAGTCATTGTCTTTTGTTTGTCTTTTTGTAACTTTCTAACTTAGAAGTGACTGCTGAATCTACCACTAATTCAGTGCGCTCTTATAAAAACTGACTAACATGTACTTACCAAAGGGAACATTGCTGACTAGGAAGTAAGCAATGTAGAACGGGAGTACTACAATGAGTACGAACAGGATAGCATACAGGTCGATGCGCCAGTGGAAGAATCTTGAACTGTGAAATGATCAGAAGAAAGTATGGAGAGAGAGGTAAGGTCTTGGTTGAATAGAGTAAGAACTTTGCATAGTACATTTCTATATGTAAAATGTACAGAGGAAGGAAAAGTAAGATGGAAGAATAGTAGGATAGCATACATGTAGAAAAGGGTAGACTAAAGTAAAATCTAAAATGATGCAAATGTACAGTCCTGCATACAGAGGTTGTATATATTTTCTTTGAGTTTTATCATGTAATAACATCTCAAACATTGCAACAATTTTTTAACACTGCTGGAGAATTACCCCTGGGACAACTTATCTCCTATACCTAGGACCTGTGAGAAAAATGTTCTCTAGACAACTTTGCCCCCCTCCCCTCTGAAGGCTAATAAAGTAGCTCCCCTGCAGGACAAATTGTCCTAGTTTTGGCACACAAGGTTGAAACAGAGGCCAATTTAAAAAGGGGAGGGGTGGGGGGGGGGGGGGTGTGCAGGAGTGCAGTCTTCCTAGAATAATAAAGTGCACTCAGAATACTATTGAAAATGTTCATTTTCGTTTTTAAAATCTTTATTTTTTTTCCTTTTTGTGTGTGTTTGTATCCTACTACAATGTCAAAACTATCTATACTTGAACATGAATCATTCACTTTTTTTCTTACAGTTGATAAGAACTTATAATAACCATTAACAATTAGTAATTATATTCATGAACAAAATCCTGATACTTACTCTGAGTGCAGTACACCGAGAATCTCAAAGATGATGAGCTCAAACAACGTGCAGGAAAGAGCAAAGGTCACAGAAAAGGTCAACTGCACACTCCCATGATGCACCTGCATACAAATCACACCAAAATGTCATTAAGCTTGGGCCAGTGGAATGATATAAATCGTCTAATTTGAGCCACAAAATCATTACCTTATTATACTTCATATACCTCACAAATGTGAAATGTTTTTGTTTGATTTAATAATGATAAATAATAGTGGGTTCTTGCACGGCTGCCATTACGGCGCTCTAGCATTTGAAGGAATTAATTCCTGCCAGGTACCCATCACATCACTTGGGTTGAGTGTTTAGCATTTAACTACCGGTAGTTGTTCTGTCATTTTTTGCAAGTTCTATACTTCTGTTCCTTGGCATATAACTAAGGTGCTTTTCTGTGCTTTTTTTGTTTTTTTTGTTCCACAAGTGCACCTTCAGAATTTGATTTCACTTACACAATCTCATAATGAGTCATATATTAATATTATTATCATTACTTCATTAGATTGAAAATGTATTTTGTTGGGGGTACGCGCTACATACATGTACATGTACCCCCAACAAAATAGTTTTTCCGTCTAATACTTCACATGCTTCACATTTAAACAGAGAGTTGTGAATATATAAAGATTAAATCTGGTTTACAGTCTATAAAATAGATTGTGTACATGTAAAAACACAAAAACACTTTGGTTAAAAATGATACAAGTATATGTACATGCACTTTATGAATCAATGGCAGAAAGTTTTGCAGGTACTTCTAAAGTGCTACAGAAAACATCAAATTTATAAAAATTGCAGGTTTACATATTTGCATATTGAATGCATGAATCATGAACAATTTATCAATCAAAATAATAAGTTTTGTAGTCACTTGAAAAAAAAACATATTAACATTTTTTTAAATTCTAGCTATTTAGGTATAGATATAGCATCAATTTCAAAACAGGTGTATTTTCAATTGTTCACATTGCTTTTTTTGTAACATCAAATGACAAACTTTGACTTGCTTTAAACAAGAGAAGGATGAATTAAACTGAAACCTGAAAGTCTATTTGAGTAAAATAAATTATAGTTAAATTTAGTATAAAGTAGCTCACCTCATAGTTCTTAAACAGCTTGCGCATGAAGAAAATCCAACCACCCAAGAAAAACAATATCTGCATACAATATGAAAAATATAAATATAAAAGAATGAGGATATTAACAATAATGATGATAACCAATGTTATCTAATACCTAGTAGAATCTAATTCATCTTGAGGTAGATCTAATCCTCAAGACTCAGCTCAGTCTGGCGTTCTAAAAAGATATTGTGAGATTTACGACAGGTTTGGATTCGCGGCAAGTCTCTTGTAGAGGAAATTATCATTTGCCATGCCCATGGCAAAGACGTTTTTTTTTCTGAAACACTGACTTAGAGGACAATTTGAGCGACAGCGTCAAGATGTTGTTGATCTTGTACTTATGACGGTTCATTAAAACGACCTCCAACTCTACCCCCCTCATCTACCTTCCGTCGAGTTGGTAGCGGAGCGAGGGCTAGTGTATTTCGGTATCCATTTTAGACCCGTAACTCCGGTGTGCAGATACCGGTACCCTACTAAAACATGCACAAATCAACTAGACCCTGGCCCTAGAGTCTAAATCTTTATCTCTCTCTGTGTTGTTGTCCCTCCGCTTTTTGGAGATCAGCGAGTCCATCCCTCAGGCGCAGCTCAGTCTGGCGTTCTAAAAAGATATTATGTTATGTTTCTTACCTTTTTCTTACGTGTATGAAATTAGTGACCGTAATAATGATCATCAAGTGAATTACTTAGTTACATGTACTGATGTAGACTATTAATGAGGATCTGAGATTACACTCGCTTACTTCACGCACACCCGCATCCCTTCGTCGGTACGGTAGGCAATTGTAAGGTACTTGTGCAGCAGTTTGCCCGCGAAACCTGTGTGAAAGTGTATTAGATCTATAATATCTTTGTTTTTAGGAATACTCCAAAAGAGATAAGAAAATTGACACGAAAACTGGTAAGAAAAATAACTACTTTTAATTCATTACCATTATTTGAACAATTGTTGAAGATTTATTTGATGTTTTGGTATATTTTAATAGGGTATCTCCACGCCGGAGTTACGGGTCAAAATGGATACGAAAGTACACTAGCGTCGCCGAGCCTTACCCTAAGGCCTAACCCCTGCCCTGCCCTTGGCCGACGCTGAACGGGAGCGCCCGGGGCAGTTAGCCCCCAGTGACAAGTCCAGTCGCCTCGGGCTCGGGTACACCGTTAAATAAGTTAGTTAGACCTAATTTCCAGACTGCAATAACATGAATAGGAATTGATTATACAATCACCTGGGTACTGAACATGACAAAAGAGTCAAGAAAAAATGCCATCGTTACAGAGTAGTTTCAGCCTCCAGTCGGAAGAAATCGCAAAGTTATATGCCACATAACATTTCTAAATTTTTACCAGGGCGCAGACATCTTGTTTTGACTAGCCTGCATTAATACTTTTTAGTTTATAACAAAGGATGTGACATATTTTCACATATTTTTCATACAATCACTGGAAGAAAATAAACTTGTTTATTATTCTTTAAACAGATGTTTACATCTAAATGAAATACATTGACAATGGCTTTATTAGTTTCCATACGTGTTCAAAGAGATTTCTAGGTGAAAAATCGTATAAATCAAATTTATTTACTTTATTACAGACTAGTTGACAATTTCTGCTGTTCTAAATTATGGAGCCCTCCCTTCATGCATAAGCAAATATGGTTTTAAAAAGAAGGAAATTAAGTAAAGAAATACAAAATATGTAAACAATACATTTCTTAATTATGAATAAATATATTTTGATCAAATTGGCTCACAAATATATTATATTGATGCATTTTGAGGGAAATATTCACATATTGTGTCTTTCTTTTGAAAAGGAGTGTGTTTTATTTAGTGCATGGTATTTCTTCAATTTAGCTTTACATGTGTAAGAATGCAAATTTGTTGTTGTGCGCTCTATTTTGGGGTATTTTCCCAGCAATGATAATATTGTGAATACTTGCACAAGTGACGGGAACCCCGAGCAAGATGACAGTCGAACAAAATGCAATTCGAAATCAGCAGCTTATAAAGGTAAGTGATCAGAAAAGAAGATATTTGACAGAATTTCAGAGTCTAAAATTGCAATACAGTCCCAAGTGTTGATATCCATGTCAAGTCTTTCATTTGATTTGCCTGTTGCATGTTGCACAAAACTTTCGAGTTATCTAGATCTACATGTATACTATAGTGAGCATTTTAAGATTTTAAGTGATTGCCATACTAAATGTAGTATTTAATGAGTGCAAGGAATGGTAATTACATTGAAAAGATTCTTATTTTCTTTCTCCATAAATAATTTGGCATTAATAAAATGGCAATCTGCAATCATGCAATGCAAAGACAAATGGAAGAAAGAGAGAGAGAGAGAGGAAGGAGATGACAAAGCACTGAGCTTCTTGTTCATGTTGTTTGATTGCTGATCTACAGTAAGGAGGAAAAAATGGAGGGAACTCACCAAGAAGAAAAGGTAGGACTAGGAGGAGGAGGAGGGTGAGAAGAAAAAGGAAGAGAAGAGGAAGAGGAAGTAGAAGAAAAGAAAGAAGAAGAGAAGATGAAGAAGAAGATAAGGTAGAAGAACAATAGGAAAATGAAGAAGAAGAAGAAGAAAGAAGGAGAAAGAAGAAGAAGAAGAGGAGGAGGAGGAGGAGGAGGAGGAGGAGGAGGAGGAGGAGGAGGAAGAGGAAGGAAGAAGAAGAAGAAGAAGAAGAAGAAGAAGAAGAAGAAGAAGAAGAAGAAGAAGAAGAAGAAGAAGAAGAAGAAGAAGAAGAAGAAGAAGAAGAAGAAGAAGAAGAAGAAGAAGAAGAAGAAGAAGAAGAAGAAAGAAGAAGAAGAAGAAGAAGAAGAAGAAGAAGAAGAAGAAGAAGGAGGAGGAGGAGGAGGAAGAAGAAGGAGGAAGAAGGAGGAAGAGTAAGAAGGAGGAAGAGGAAGAGGAAGAAGAAGACAACAAAGAAGAAGATAAAAAATAAAAGAGGGAGGAAAAAAAGTGGAATAAGAAGAACAAGAAGAAGTAGAACTAAAGTAGAAAGAAACATAATAAATGTAGTACTCCTGTATAGACTGGCGTATACTAATATGCTGCAACATGCTGCACTGAATCTGAAGATGTTTAGAGTAATAAAAAGTCCATTTTGAAGAGATGAGTGGAGGTGTTGTAAGATGACACATCTCATAACAATCAAACAGGTACATGTAGTGTAATATTAATAATAGTAGTAAACATTGATAATAGCTACATTTGTATTGCGCACACCAATTCCAAGGGATGCTTGATGTGCCTTCATGAGTTCATGTACACTGTACATAGTAGACTGGCTTTAGCCCAGCTGCCCTACGGCATTAACACATTTTGTACCCGGATGGAGACTGGCAAATGTAGATTAATGTCTTGCCAAAGGACATTAATGCCGCAACGACACGTTATCCGCGACCCATGCTATCCAAATTCTTTAGACATACCATAGCAACTGTACCGATGCTGTCAAGACCTGTGAATTATGTTTCAATATTGTCATTTGTTTTTTTGCGCCTTTGACTTCTATGATGCATGCTAAACGTCTTATGAGGAAACAATTTTTATCATATCATCCTCCTGAGATTGCTTCTAGGATCTGCTAAAAGTGATGATACAAAATTGTATGTGCACTGTACATGCAATTCTGATGATTCATGAAAATAGCAGATTACAGATACACAAATAAAAGATTGATGGTTTCTTCACTTTCTTGTCTCTTTGTTGTAGACGCTTCATTGTTACACTCCTTCTGTTTGTGGAGATGAAATAAAATGAAACAGGGATAAATGAACATTTGCAATTTTGTTGGAGTAGTCTTGCTTGATAAATCACTAATGAATTTTGTTGCTGCTTTCAATTTTTCTTAATTTTCAAAGTTATTCTGATATTTAACACATTCATGTACCTCTTCTTTTATCCACTTCTCAGGAATGATTGGGGGGGGGGGGGCAGGGTAGAAAAAAACAGTTAACATCTAGAAATAAAACCATTTTATATTATAGATATTGATTGATCGCAATGCATTAAATATTATTATTATTATTACTTATACCACGCTTTTCCTACATGGCCCAAAGTGCTTATGTAACAGTAAATGACAATTACATAAATAAATGTAATACAAAAAAAAATCTTACAACTACAAACTGCAAAGAAGATGTGTTTTCAAGGCCTTTCTGTAAGATAATAACTAATGAAGACTGTCCAATTCTAAGTGTTGGATCATTTCAGTACATTGTAAAGCAGATACAGTATTATGTCCTATCGCCGTCTAATGTGCGGGTAACTGCGAGACGGAGAGGATCACTGGCTGACCTCAATGCCCTGGTATACATGTAGGTGTATATAAATTCAAACAGGTATCTAAAATATTGTGGAGCTTGATTATTGAGTATTTTGTAGACAAACATGAGTAATTAAAAAATTGTTCTTTGATTCCATTTAAGCAAATAGAATGAAGAAGTTATAGTCCAAAAAAGAATGTCAGTATGGATATTTCAGGAGAAAAGCTACATGTACATTAGATGTTCAAAGAAAACAAGCTTTAGTGTGACACATGCCTATTCTTTTTTCTTTTTTCATCAGCATCACTTCCATTTTAAAATGGTTTAAAATATGTTCATGTTTAAAACTAGCAATCAAACTCTTATCATTGAGAAATAATTGCCCTGAAAATATGTTCATTTGTTGAAGGACATTGTCTGCACATGTACCGGGTATGCAGGAATGGCCTCTGATGTGACGTCACCAAAACAGTGATATTTTGATGACGTCACATCACATCAATTTTCAGCACATAGCAAATGGGAGAGGACTGGGTAGTCTAATCCCTCCTGGCCAAACTAGTACAGACGGCCTTAAAGTTGCACATCCTTTACATTCAGTTCAGTCTGCAGTGCTATCATGACTGATTCACACAACTTGTATTTAATCTTAATTGACTGAAGTGAATTACGTCTGTTATTTACACCGGAGGCTTGGCCCTGATTACTGTATATTTGTACACAATTTAAAGTTGAAATTGAAAGTTTGGATTTATAAGACCCTGCTCTGACCAGTGTTTTAAAGATATTCAGAAGCAGTGAACATTTTTAGCTCTTGGAAGTTACATGTACTAATATAACTATAAAAGAGCTCTGCTAAGAAATAATGAAATACATGATCAGATTGATGAAACCTCTTTGTAAAAGTATAGCCAACTCCTGTAATATCTGTTCACTGTTTTAATTTACCCATCCAATGTGAAAATTGTGAAATTGTGAAATTGTGAAGTACATGTATGTGTGTACGTACATTATACATCTAAGATACAGGATGTTTGCATGCACACATTAAAATATAATGGTCTCTCTATTTTAAAGTACAGTCTATTTCAAGGTATGATTCCAACAAAATGATCTGCCATGATCATTCAGAATACCAGATGTGATGACTATGTGTAGTCTTCTATTCTAGACCTGTTTTTTACCCCTAAATATACTCCATTTTGTACAAAAGTTTTCTGCATTATTTCTTTGAAGCGTTTTACTGTGTTATGTGAAACCCTACATGTACAAATGTACATTGATAATTGAAATCGCTAATTGGGGGGAGAATCATTACACATAAGAGTCTGATTTTTTAGACTATTGATCTGCTTGCATCAACGATTGAAGGGACTGTATACTGAGACTACATCTTGCCCTGTGAGATGCATGTGTCAGGCCTATTCAGATTCCTGAAATACCTTTCTCCATACATCCCAGTACTATCATCTCTGTACTAGCACAGCAAATGCTCTAGAGGGATGCGATATGTCAGTCAAAATGTTGTCCTGTAGACGCAACTTGGTCCAAGCACTTCAATAGCATCCCTTGTAAATTTGATGTATTCAATGTTTTCATAGCTCAATAATGAAAGGTTGAATTATGGCTTTGTTGAGTACTTCTAGATGTTACATACAGTACAAACTTCAATATGTCACATTCTCAAGAAACATAAATTGGGAAAAATTGATTTTTCACATACCGGGGCACTAAAACAATACAACACTTGGTAAGGGTAGGAATAATTTAGTTGTTAACATGTACAGTACATGTATATGCCACAAATCTAACACGTTTTTAGATTTTAGAGTCTTTATCGATTACAATTAAGTTTTGCATTATATGAAGGAGGACACAATTTCCTCATGGACTGCAATTGCTGAGACTCCTCCTCCTTATTATCTTGGACTTGCATCCTTATCAGATATACAGCCCTTCATCCATTACTCACTGTATGCAGTCCTTAAACGCAAACAGGATGAGAGCAAGCGTTTCCACGTGGGGCGGAGGAGATGGAGTTATGATCACATCCTTTAAGACTGGTCCTGGTCCTGCCCCGCCTCTTTGAATAAGAGTAATTTGTACTGGTATTCATGGAGCGGTGTTCTTATTGTGGACAGATATTGTGGACAGATATTGTGGATCTATGTTTTTCTTAGTGGACTGGAGGTTTGAAAAGATGCAGTTCTTCTTCTTAAAAAGGATGATAGAAAATGTTTCCATTTTGGAGGAGATGGAGTTATGATCGCATCCTTTAAGACTGGTCCTGGTCCTGCCCCTCCTCTTTGAATAAAGTGTAATTTGTACCGGTATTCATGGAGCAGAGTTCTTTTTGTGGACAGATATTGTGGATCTCTGTTTTTCTTAGTGGACTGGAGGTTTGAATAGATGCAGTCCTTCTTCTGAAAACGGGATGATAGAAAGTAATTCCATGCGGAAGGAGATGGAGTTATGATCGCATCCTTTAAGACTGGCCCTGGTCCTGCCCCTCCTCTGTGAATAAAGAGAAATTTGTACCGGTATTCATGGAGCAGTGTTCTTTTTGTGGACAGATACTTTGTGGATCTATATTTTTCTTAGTGGACTGGAAGTTTCAATAGATGCAGTCCTTCTTCTCAAACAGGATGATAGAAAATGTTTCCATGTTGGAGGAGATGGAGTTATGATCGCATCCTTTAAGACTGGTTCTGCTCTGCCTTACTAGATACAGAGTAATCTGTGTCTTTGGAGCTGTGTCCTTTTCGTGATTGGTCTATGCTTTTCTATGTGGAATGGAGTTTTAAACGGATGTAGTCTTGCACAAACAGGATGAGAGAAGGCGTTCCTGCTAAAAGGATGGATGATATTGAGATATGACTACATGTACATGGAAGACTGCATCCTTAGAAATCGTTCCTCCCTTGCCTTTGTGAATAGATGGTCATTTGTATCCTGGAAACCTTCAATGAATACTTTCTGTCTCTTTTAAGAATGATCCTTTTGCTTATACAATTAGGTGCTGATATATATATTTGGAAACATTTCATTATGTTTACATGAATGTACATGTACATGTACATGTACTGTACATGTAACTAAAAAGAATAACAATAGAAAAGAAAAGAAGCGAAACTTTTGTTTTTTCTTGTGTATCCAAGATATTGTGTTCCGGTCGCTCTTGAAAATTTATAAGCAGATTCCAGTAAGATATTCCCTCTCATTTTCTGCCAACATTACAATGAGAGGAAGTAATTAATAATTGTGTTGAGCTTCTGTCTGCAACATTTTTTACGGCGTTGTTGACTTGATATGCGGAAACAATCTGGCTTGTCTCTAGTTCTAATGTTTTTGGATCTTTGCTTCTTCATTTGCTTCAGTTTTGGAATTGTTTTTACAGGGAATTAGTATTGCTTTGTAACATGAATTATTGTAAATCCAATTGGCCTAAAATCCAATGAAAACTTAGTATCGGTAAAAGGTTTGGAATTGTGTCTTATAAGTCTAATTGTTATTTTTATTTGTTAAATTTTATTGTGATAGAGAAATATATGCTTTGGAGAACTGTGAGGTAGAATGTAATCAATTGATGATTGATTTTCAAATTTTAATAAGCTTCTTGACATGGGTGTCGATCTGTCATTGATACCTATTCATCAGGGGGGGATGAATGAATAGATCATCCCCCCCTGATGAATAGGTATTACGTAAGGATCGACACCCATGCTTCTTGATCAAGTCATTCAAGTTCGAGACTTTTAAAAACAGAAATCCCTTTATCAAAACATCTCATAAAGAGGTACATGAAGAGAGACAGAGTGAGGGAGAGAGAGGGAGAGAGAGTTGGCTCAGTCGGTAAAGCGTCTGCCTGTCGAACCAAAGATCCCGGGTTCGACTCCCACCCAGGCGGATGACTGAAGTCTGCGTTGTGTGTTAACGTGCCCCTTCCCTTGTTCATAGACGCAGGTTATGTCAAGTGGAAAACACTCCGTCCCTCGGATAGGCCGTTAAATGGAGGCCCCGTGTCAGGAGAGTCACCACCCTTGCACGTTAAGAACCCATTGCACTATTCGTACAAGAGTAGGGGGAAACCCCGGTGTAATGGTCCACCTGCACACCCCAATCAGGCCGAGTACATGTATACGGCATCTGCAAGAATCTTCAGTATTGAAGGAGGCAGATTATCTTGAAGAAGAAGAAGAAGAAGAAGAGAGAGAGAGACAGAGCGTGAGTGAGGGAGGGAGAGAGAGAGAGAGAGAAAGAGAGAGAGAGAGAGAGAGAGAGAGAGGGGGGGGGGGGGGCCTTTGAAGATTCCAGTTTTTGATTTGTGAATGAATTTTTGACTAGGATAAAATTTCATTTTTTAAATTGCACTTCGGCATATTCTCCTTATAAGCATGATGTTAATGTACCCTGTACTCTCTGCCCCCTCAAAAGAGTAGAAATGAGCATTTAAAGATGAAGTTGAGTTCTGGTTAGGCGATTGCATTGTAAAAGAAACGGTGTGGAATCGACCAGAAAAGGTTGATCATCTAGCATATAAGAATTTGTGTGTATTGCAAGGTTCTGGAATTATCAAAATGATATGAAATTGGCCATGTCTTGGTAAAGTTACAAACACTGTACACAGAAAGATGTATACAGGACTACACGAACACATGGCGTAAAAACCTACCCCCGAGTTTTACGATGTTACATGACATATTTAGAATATGAAGGCATTTGAAGAGCCATGCTTTTCAGGGAACATGTCTTATCTGATGTTCTTCCACACTTGCATAATAAGAATGAAAAAGTTCACAAATTATTTTTCACCTCTTCCCAGAACTCAACCTTCCCCTTTAAGGCTTCCTCCTCTTCATATTTCCGACATAATGCAATTAGTTAATTGGCAAAAGTGTTCATGGTCCTTTCACTTTCTACATCATACTTTTCATTGGTCAACTTTTCTGGGTATGGCTTCTCACTATTAGGGCCCCATTTCACAAAACTTGTCATCAGTGACAAATGTTTGTTATAAGCTAGTAAAATCCTTGCTTCTGATTGGTTATCGGCAGATTTGTCACTGATTTTTGTCATTTGTCATTGAAAAAAGACTTTGTGAAACAGGTCCCAGGATATCCTTCCTCCTGCAGGATAAAAGGTCCAGTACATTTCTATTTTCACTTTCTAGTCTACATTTGGATTAAAGGGATTTGGTATCTTTGTCTCAGATTCTAAATGAAATCCTGGATTTAGCTCATGCTGAAGCCATAATTATAAACCTTTAGGTCAGTCAGGAATCCCATGATGCTTACAAGCTGATCGCCCGTCTGATTATCAAGATATTTTTTATTGGAAAATGGGAATTTCAAAAACTGTTTTCCCAGCAGTTTTTATAACACTATAAAGTCTATTGGGGAAAATGAGTATGGTATAACCGGTCACTCTAGGATTGATACTTTTTTGTGAAGCACTTCATGATCATTTTGAATCACAATTTTTGTTAGGGCTTCAATATTTCACCATATATCAACGACACTGATAACACGTAGGGCCATGCATCTCAAATTCGGCATTGTTAAACAATGCCTTTAAGATTACATTGACTGGGTATCAATTGAACATGTACTTCAAGGAAAAGTTTACATTATTTTGTCTGATTCTTGCAGAGCCTTGCATTTCTGAAGCAGTGGAGGTTGGCCTTTCTCATTTCTTGCATGTTTTCCTTTTTTTGGTAGCATCTGTAGTGAAGGTGATCATTGTTACTCTCTTCCTGTCCAAATTGTTTTTCTTCTTGATGATAATTGCACATTTGATTATCCTCGGTGTACAGGACTGCTTCGCTCAATGAATTTAAACAGCACGATGAGTCTACTCCTCTAGTTATGCTTGTGTTGGAAGAGGATCTTCAATGAGTTACCGGAATATCATCAGATTAAAGTAGTGTACCATCCGGAGTTTTCTTTGTTGAAGCTTTGTTTTTGTGAGGATGTTCATAGTGTACAACTCAGTCTGGGAATGCCATCATCTGTTTAAACACATGCTGTCTAAAGGCTCGTTCAGATATGATGTGGCAAAACCGCGATGTTTTGTTACGATGACATAAAGTGTGATACGTTTTACATTTCTGAATCTTATAACACAGAGTTCAGTGAATACCGGACCGTCTGTGTTGCACACAGTTGCCATTCATTTTACACATAAAAAAAAAAACATGACAGATTTTTTTTGCAGCGGTTTGCTGTGCCATATCTGAACGAGCCTTTATTCCAATGATCCAGATAATGCTGCTTGAAGAACTACTTTGGTTTTCTGTGGATGCCTCAAAGTGAACAGTCTGTGAACTTCTGACTGCTGGTCACCAATTGTCATACCTGTACATGTACATGCTCATAAAGCTATGCCTGTGTGGTAGGATATCCTGCCTCCTTCACTGGACCGGGCCTGTGTAGTGACTCAAGAAAAAGAAGACCTGTATTTAATATGGTGAATGAGTTGTTGGAATTCCTCATTCTGTGAACTTGTGAAAACTGGTCAACTTCACCATGTACATGTATGTACACATGGCCATGGACATGTAACATACTCATCAACTGGATTATCAATCTCAAATAAGTTATCAGGTTTCCTCTTCCCTGGCAACTTGTGAATAGTAGTCAACAAGTTTCATACAAGTCCATCATCTAGACTCTAGAAGAAGAAGAAGATCTGTTTGAGTTGTTGGAATTCCTCATTCTGTGAACTTTTACTACATGGACATGCAACATCAACTGGATTACAGTATATATTTCTTGAATAAGTTATCAGGTTTCCTTTTCTCTGGCAACTTGTGAATAGTATTCAACAAATTTCATACAAGTCCATCATCTAGACTGTAATCTAGACTAATTGAGTAATTGGATTTAAGACTATTGGATCAGTGGACTTGTTGAAGTCGTTTGAAAGCACAATGACAGTTCGCGAGCTCCTACTTGATAAGAATGGGGCTGCTGCTGCAGGGGAAGAGAATTCAACATTTTCCCTGAGGAGAAAGTTTCGCTCCATGAACATGGTAGGTACGACAGCCCCGACAAACCCGGTCTCCTCCACCTGCCCCCTGCCTAAAAGATAAGGAAAATGGGGGCTGAGGTTACCTTTGTATCAATATTCCTGTTTAATCATTGCACTGTATGTTCAATGACGAAAATCTTTTTTAAGCAGTGTCCTTTTTTCCCCCTTTATTTTATAATAGTAGCTCTTGGATTTTGAGAGTTTAGGGCACCACCTTCAAAGCTCTCACTGACATGTACAGCGTGTACATGTACTTGTTTCACGTTGTGTAAAAGGCTTCATAGTTACTGAAGGCTTTTGCAAGGCATATAATGATTGCATGGATTACGATTTGATTTCGGTATAGTGCACATTTCCCATAAATTCTAGCCCAAGTTACTACAGTCTTGGTATTCAGCACTGCACTTGTTTGGCCAGGAGGGATTAGACCTCCATGCATGGTCACTGACCGGTGGTTATCTCATCAACTCAGCTCTCAATTAACATAAGAAAAAGGGCATCATGGGGGACGAATGGTCACTGATTAGGCATTGTTTCCTATATAGAGGGCGCAAGTAGCTATAATTGGGCTTTAACACTTTACCGTTTGTTCTTCTCTGTGTTTTCGCAAGAATCAGGAGACCGCCCTCAACCAGCTGAAGGAGATCACCGGAGTCCAGGACCTGGCCGCTCTGAGGCACGCCTACGAGGCCAGCAACGGCGACATCACCCAGGCCATCACCTTCCTGACCGAGGGCCACGAGGCCACCACAGCAGCAGCCGGAGCAGGGGCAGCAGGAGCAGCGGGGGCGGCCCAGGGGAACCCAAGGCACCATGCTGCCCACCAACCAGTGGCAGTCGCGACTGCAGCAACTGCAGCAGCACAGCCAGCCAATGCTCCGGCCAGCGTGCATGGTCCAAGAAACAGGCCTCAAGGTATGTCAATAGCAGTTCTGGTAAAGTGTTATAAAACAATTTTAAGAAATAGCTTATAGATGATTACCATTACCTTTCATGTATGTACCTTTCCTTTTGCACTTTTGTCATGTACAGTCTATTTAATCTTTTGCACAAGCTGCACTTTGAGCATTTGATTGTCAAATGGATTTGGCGCCTTAGAAATCTTATGTATTATTATTATTAAATTAATGTGAGACCCCAAAAATAGATTGCTAATTACTGTATGGCTGTCTTCACAGAAATAAACTTTGGAAAATTGCCAAATTTCACTTTTGAACCTGTTTATTAAGTTACAGGGTTTTCAAGGTTTTGCTGCACCCATGGTTCAACTTTAATTAAAATGTTACCAAAAAATTTAGGGTGACAGTGAAATTAGCGGTTGATCAAACTTAATAGCAAGTGCTTTGCAATCTATGTCTTGAGGGTGAATCTACTTTTGAAATCAAATCAGACTTTATTTATCATTGATTTCATGCCTTAAGACGTAAACAGACATTTTTTCCACATCTGCTTTATTTTAAAGTTAGCCTTTATCTCTTTTTCTCATTTTCACTGATTTTTCAGGAGAGGACGGTAAGTCGGGTGATGTGATCGACCTGACTCAGGATCGAGACGAGAAAGAGGACCTACAAAGAGCCATAGCACTCAGCCTGCAGGAGACCACACAGGCCAGCATCGGAGTATCGGCAGAGGAGCAAGATATCAGCAGGTAATAACCATTGATATTATAGTCATAGACGTGTAACTTCAGCCATTTTGTCTACAACAGTTTGACACTATGTCATAAACAGGTATGTCAGCTAGAAGGAGAGGCCTCAAACTAACATATGACTATTGAATGAGGAGCAAGATATTAACAGGTAGTATCCATTGATATTGTAGTCATAGACATGTAACTTCAGCCATTTTGTGTGCAACAGTTCAAAAGCATGTCAAATATCTCAGCTAGAAGGAGACAACTCAAACTCACATTCGAGTATCGGCTGAGGACCAAGATATTAACTGGTAATATACATTGCTATTATAGTCATAGACTTGTAACTTCAGCCATATTGTCTGCAACAAGTTGAATGTATGTCATAGATCAAATAGGAGGAGACGACTAAATCCAGCATCAGAGTATCTGTTGAGGAACAAGAGATTAGCAGGTAGTAACCATTGATATTATATTCATAGATGTGTACAACTTCAGACATTTTGTCTGCAACGATCAGAAGAAAATGCCGACAGCCATATCGTCGCACGGCTGGCAGAAGGGCGTTAGCGCGCAAGCGACTTAAAAACTACTTTTCAAATTATTCGCATTTAAAGATTTGTTTTATATTTAAACTGATTTCCATCTCAAAAATGGTTTTAAAAACTTAAAAGACTAATAGAAATGTTTTAACAGAACACGGCCACAAATTTTCTTCGGAAATAAGTCAGTTTTATTAAAGTTTGAGGCAATATAGTGCTATAACGCCCTTCTGCTTAGCGCTTCATTTTTTACCTGAGATCCGAGCTAACGCCCTTCTGCCAGCCAGGCGAGGATATATCTCAGCTTGCAGAAGATGACACAAACTAACATTGGAGTATCAGCTAAGGAGTAAGATATTTAGGGAGTAGTAACCACAGACTTAGTAATAACCTATAGACCTGTAACAAGGTCAAATGCACCATTTTGTCTGCATCAATTAGAATGGAGTAAGGCAAATGTTGCTCTCATCCTAGCATTTGTGTATTGGTAGAAGGGGCAAGATTTCAGCAGGAAATGCAGTAGGAATGACCCTTGCGTAGGTACATGTCTTTGGTCATTTTATTGTGCATTAATGATACATGTATTTCCCTTGATATCTGGTCTGGGCCGTGTTTCATAAAACTTGTTATCAATAACAAATGCTAGTAAATTTCTATTACAAATTTGCTGTTGGCCAATCAAATGCAACAAGCTTGTACCAGTTATGGTACCTTGTTAATGATTTCAAGTTTTATGAGACAAGAATATTTTTAATATCAACTGTAATACAATGTAGAGTGTATGATGGGTTTTGGGTTTGGGGGAGGGGACTACACTGTAGTTTGTCCTGAAAGCCAGTCTGTAGTCTAGGTGTACAGTAGCAAAGGAATTATGACTTGTTGACCCGGTCTAGTCTGTGTGCGATCGGGTCTGGTTTCAGTTAGTCTGGCTTCCAGTCAAAACAATTTATTTCCTCTCCTTTCAATGAACTATGTGACATTGGGTATAGGGTAGGGAGAATATATTTTCATTTTTTGATATCTTTTTAAAATTAATTTTAATAAATTTTCCTGATTTTAGATGGATGGCATTTACTAAACTTTTTAAACATGTGCCAAAAAGTCAGTCTAAAAGGCTGTTCGAAGCAGGATTGCATGTGTACATGTTTGTGATGACAGTGATATAACATTCCTTTGAAATATATCTTCTAGTTTTATGACGTCCTGTCCTCTGATTTTAACCCTTTGAATACCTCGTAACATTATTAGCAGAAACCCATAGAATATGTATAGAGAACTGTACTAAAGAAATTCCATTATGTATTCTCTTATCAGATTTTGGTATACTCTTTTTGTAAGGCAAATGTAATTTTAAAAATACTGGACTTTGCTGAGCAGTGATGTATTTTTATACATTCTGACATACATGTGTGTAAATTAATACAATATTCAACTTTTTTTCTGACCCTGTCAATGTCAACATATTGAAAAGCAAGAGAATACATGCTTAGTCTACAGAGGAAACAAAATGTCGCTTTCCCTTGGAGTCAGACTACCTTCTCGGCTATCTTGTAAAGAATTTGTTTAATGTAGTTCACAAGAGGGTTAAGGTATGCATGTCGTGAAAGTCGATGACACCACACGTGTAACCTTTGCATGATATGAACTATGAAGTAAAAATACTACATCTACTCACGACGTGTCTGCACTAATACCGGTGGAAGCAGTCATTATGCAATCTACGTCTTGTGAAGTGCAGGATGGCAGTTGCAGTGCATGGAAATGCTGTAGTTTTTATTCTTAGAGTGCACAAGACATGGTCCAGTGAAACAAAGATGATATATTTTTAAACATTATTCAGGTCAACCGCCCTCTTGGATACAGTATGGACCAGTGTGCAATGGACAGGTATCGTGTACAAACTGACGAATTGTGATTTTGATAACTTTGTTCAGCATTGCTGTATTCCTTCTCTGCGTCTAGGACTTTGTATTGCATTTTAAACACCTACAATTGACGTATTTTCATGATTATATTGTTTTCTTTTTCCCTGAAGAGTCCAGGGACCCGTTTCACAAAGCCTTTTTTCAATGACAAATGACACAAATCAGTGACAAATCTGCTGATAACCAATCAGAAACAAGGATTTCAGTAGCTTATAACAAAAACTGTCATTTATCACTCATGACAAGTTTTGTGAAATGGGCCCTGGAGAAGAGCATCTGTGATGTTGGCGATTCCTGATTTTTTGTTTCATTGTTTCATTATTTCCTCCATCTTCATAGTTTTAGAATACAGCATTCATTATTATTTAACTACTTATAAAGTTTCAATCATTGTTTTGATCTCTCCTTCATAATGCTAGTGTGGAGCAGAGCACCTCAGGTGTGAACAGATGAATAATACATGATTGCGTTTTATTCATCGTCTTTTTCTCTACTTCAGAGATCGTGAGCTGAGTATACATGATGCAAGACAAGGCAGGAGTAACACAAGATTTATAGATCTCTCAAAGCCCATGATCGGCAGAGGGAAGAATCAGATAGGACAATGTTCTTATCTTCGATTGGTTCTCTCTTCTGCAAAGTTTATAGCAGAGATTGTGCGATGTGAACGGAGGAATTATATTATAACGTTTCAATCATTGTTTTGTTCCCTCTTACAGAGTTCTTGAGCAGAGTATCCGTGATGCAGGGCAAGGCAGGAGTAACACATGGTTTGTCGATCCTCTCAACCCCCACGATCGGCAGAGGGAAAGCGGCTGGCCAGTGGGACTCAAGAATGTGGGCAATACGTGCTGGTTCTCTGCAGTTATACAGGTAAAAAAAACGAAGCCCTTGTTCCGTATGTGTATATCTGTGTTTGTCGGACAACCATTCTACACAAAGCGTTAATCATTCACTTAGTTATCATTGTCAAGTATTTGAATCTTTGCCTTTTAATAGCGTGATACTATGTCCTTTGCCAATTAATTTAATTGACTACTGTCTTTGTCAACATACATGTAGACCGTAGGAGTGTTCTCCTATAGTAAAATTTATTCTGTGCGATACACTTTTTATCTTTGCTTAAGATGGTTTTAGACTGAATTGCCATGGTGCCATTGCTTGTAACTCCAAAGAGAGTATTGTATTTTGCTGATAGTACTGATGAACAGTATTGAATGAAAATTATTTAGAAGACCTTTTAAATGGTGAATGAAGAAAAAAAAAAAAAAAGCAGATACCAAATATTGAAGGTTAATTGAGGACTATATTCTGAACTTTGCCCTGCTGTCATTAATTCTGGCTTTATTTTGGTTGAAGATGGGTGCATTAGAGTTTTAGGTAAGATTTAAGGTTTATTTTATATTTAGTGATTGGTCCATGGACAATAGTGTAGGAAATAATGGTAATAATAATGTCAACTTTTAGAGGGCGCATATCCATTCTAAAAGACTGCTCTAGGCGCTCGGTACAATATCAAAATAATTATACAATACAGAGGACTTCTATTCACTGTAAATAAGACAGGCCCCAAAACAGATCCTTGGGGAACAGCATAATCTTGATACACAGGTTTGAGATTGAGCTACCGATACGGATATACTGGATATTCCTCTTATTGGAGTATGGTCAACATGAAGATTTACTTGTGAATTCCTCATTACATTTGTCTTCATTGTTTTCTTCTTTTACCTTCAGTCGTTATTCCATCTTCCTGCCTTTCGTCAGCTGGTGCTTAACTTCAGTCCTCCACCTGCCAAGGGAACGGGGACAGGAGATGCCAAAAACCATGTAAGTTTTAAATTGCAATAGGTATGAGTCTGCAGTACTTTTTGAGCCATCTTTGCCATCACTTTTTATTTTTGCTCACACTTTTCTATCTTTTCATTTCCCCCCTCTCTCTCTTTCTCTATTCACTTCCAATCTCCTCACACTCTGTCTATTTTTTTTGGGGGGGGGGGGGAGGGGGGAGGGGCCTTCCCCTCTTCCATCCCTCTTTTCCTCCAATCTTCTCTCTTTCTCTCTATCTCTCTCACAATCTTCTCTCTCTCACATTCTCCCAGTCTTTTTTTAACCTGTGTCTCTCAACCTCCCTTTGCACCCCTCTCCCTTTCTCTCTTTCCCTCTCTGCCACTCCATTTATTTCACATATCTTTTCTCTGTATTTTTTTTATACAAATACCTGTTAAAGCTACACATGTTTATTCAACATGTTAATGCATTTGACCCTTTTTCCTTTCATAAATGAGAGACTGTATTAAAATGTATTTTTAAGAATATTTTTGTTAAAGCAGCGATCAAATTTTAAATAATTTTCTGTTCTTTGCTACCCACACCCTCTCTCTTTCATTCTCCCTCCTTGTTTCTCTTTCACTCTCATCCTCCACACAGGTGCATAGGAATCTCTTGTTCATGTCAGAGCTCCGGTCTCTCTTCGCTCTCATGCTGGGTACCAGGAGAAAGTACGTTGACCCTTCCAAGTCCGTCCAGATTCTCAAGGCAGCTTTCAGCGGTGGGGGTGCTGACAACCAACAGGTAATGTCCTAGTAGTTCTACTTTAATATTAGGATGAATATCCACCTGGAATATCACCCCCACCCTCAAAATTAATCCCCTCTTTACAATTATCCCTCTTTGTTCTTATGCTTGGCACCAAGAGAAAGTATGTTGACCCTTCCAAGTCCGTCCAGATTCTCAGGGCAGCTTTCAGTGGCGGGGGTGCTAATAACCAACAGGTAACGCCCAGAAGTTTTACTTACACTGTATCAGGATGAATACCCACCTGGAATATCAGTCCCACCCTAAAAAATTAACCCCTCTCTTTGCAATAACCTCTCTTTGCTTTCGTGCTGGGTACTCAGAGAAAGTCCGTTGACCCTTCCAAGTCCATCCAGATTCTCAGGGCAGCTCTCAGTGGCGGGGGGTGCCAAGGTAGATTTTGTTCACATATGAGGACAACTAATCCCTGGATTATCACCCTAATCCGACCCCCTGCCCCCACAACTCAATCACTGCCTGTGTGGGACAGCTAACCCCCTCACATCCCCTAGACAAATGGCCTCCACCACCTACCCCTTGGACAGTTATTCACTGGACGATTCTATTGTGAAAATAACCCTGAGACAACTCGTTAGGGAATGATTACATTACAGGTAATTGGTCTTGGGTAGGTAGTTTTACCTAGGATATAAGTTGTCAGGGCTAGGTTTATCAATTTTAGATCAATCGCAAGTCCTCCCATCAATTGCAAGTTTGCAGTTTCCTATCTCTTATGTACATGGTTGCAATTGATAACAACTCTTTGTGAGATGGGGCCCTGGTATTAGTCTGCAGGTACAGACCCTAATTAGACACTTTATCAACAAAAAAATCATTGTGCCTTGAGAGAAGTCTAGCCCAGCTACCTACTGGTTGTGTCAGGAGCAGCTACAGTACATGGCCTACGGTAGTCTTATAGTGCAGACTCACTCTTACGACTGACCAGGGTTTGTGCTTGCAGACTACCCTGGTGTCTGGCAAGTCATTCAACTGCTTACTTGTAGTCTAATTGTAAGCAATAATGCTCCTCAGAATTTGTCGCTATTCTTTTCTAAAATATAAAGTATATAAAATATATCTTCGTTATAAAGTGAAAGTGAAAGACATATATCACTATAAAAAATATGAAAACCAGTGGACCCTGTCTTCAAAGGACTTTGACATTAATCATCTTCAATTGCAATTGATAATCAAGTTGGTATAGATTTAAAACGATCAACACTATTAATAAGATGGGCCTTGATTTTATCAATCCTTCAGGAACCTGTCTTAATGTTATTGTTTGTCTTTCTTTCTCTCTTTTCCAGGATGTCAGTGAATTCACGCACAAGCTTCTCGAATGGTTAGAAGATGCCTTCATATTAGACACATCTGGGCATCCCTCACAAGAGGAAGGGTGAGTTACCCCTGTTGACCTGAATGGTTTGATCATGTTCATGTAGAAACTCTACCTGAAATCATCATCATTCAAAAACTGATACAAAGGGTCATATTTTATTTCAGAACTTTCATGAAAGTTGTACGTCTTAAAATTATTTATATACTTCTTTTGTTGGTACAGTGTACTAGAATTTCTGATGTTTTATAGCCCATCACAACATTTGCTTTTGTTTTTTGTGCCAGTTTTCTAGTTTTTGACAACATAAAGGTAGATTTGACAATGTAAAGGTTTTTTTTTTTCCAGTACAGATTCAAATTAGTAGCCAATAGTCTGTATTGAATATATTTGGAATTAAACTGCACATGTCTATATTCATTATGGCAAGTTCATTTCAAGTCCTTTGTGTATTTTGGGGGATTTTTAAGCAATACTTCATCATTCACCGTCATGGTTATTTGCTGTTTATCTCCCGCAGCGCTGACGGAGGATCAAACGTAGCCAAGAACCCCATGCTCGATCTCTTTTACGGCCAGTACAAAGCAGAGGGCATCAACGAGGGCAAAGTATTCAGCAATCTGGAGACCTTTGGACAGTGCCCTCTCCAGATCAACGGCTACCATGATCTTCATCAGAGCCTGGAAGCTTCCATGTCCAAGGCGGAGATCGAGACGGTCAACGGAGATGCAACTTATCTGTCGGCACAAGAGGTCAGAAGGTCATTCAATTAATAATGATACATTATTTGTATGAAGCGCTTAAAGAGAAGATTGAGTTCTGGGAAAAGGTGAAAAATAATTTGTGAGCGTTATCATTGGTATTACCGTATGCAAATATGGAGGAACATCAGATAAACCATGTTCCCTGAAAACATGGCTCTTCATATGCTTTCATATTCTAAATATGACATGTAACATTGTAAAAATTGGGACGGATTTTTTCGCCACGTGTTCGTGTAGTCCCATATACATCTTTCTGTGTACAGTGTTTGTAACTTTACCAAGACTTGACCAAATTTCTTATCATTTCGATGATTCCAGAACCTTGCAATACACACGAATACTTATATGCTAGATGATCAACCTTTTCTGATCGATTCAACACATTTTTTTCACAATGCAATCGCATGACCAGAACTCAACTTTATCTTTAATACTGATGTTTCTAAGCGCAAGAAAAAGAAGAAAGGAAAAGTGAGAGATACCAAAGAAACATGTTAAAAATATTGAATTACAAGTAAACAGCAAAGAAGAATATGACATTACACATAATAATGACTACATCAGAATTAATTAGAATTATGGATAAACCAGATATGGACTCAGAATTATAATATACAACATGAAATATGTGAATGCAACTTACAATAAGCTGGTGTATAAATTATTTTATTCAATATTATAATTATGCATATAAAAATGCATATTATACAAGATTATACAATAGAAATTACACTATATTATTAAACTGTTAGGTAGTATAATTACGCTCAATACATTTAACTTCGGGAGGGGGAGGGTAATCACTGATATGGAAAGAGGTGGGGTTCCAAGAGTGACTTAAATGATTCTAGTGATGGGGCTTCTTGTATATAAATGGGGAGATTATTCCATAACTTGGGGGCAATAACTGTGAATGAGCGGTCTCCGTAGCGTGTCTTGGTGCGAGGTCAGGCAGAAGTTGAAGGTCGGCAGTAGCATGGGAGCGTAGACGTCGAGATTCAGAGGAAGTTGAAGAGGATCAGAGGGGGATGAGGTTCTGTATGTATGAGGGGGCTTGGTTGTGGATAGCTTTGTAGACAAGGAGGAGGATTTTGAAGACAATGTGTTCCTGTATCAGTAGCCAGTGAAGCAACTGGATTTTTGGGGTAATGTTTCAGATTTCTTGGTACGTGTGACTAGTATGGCGGCAGTATTCTGGATGCGTTGAAGGGGTGCAATATGGGATTGGGGTAGACCGGCTAGAAGACAATTACAATAATCGAGGTGAGATGACACAAATACATGGATAAGTTTTTGCGTAGCAGGAATGTCGAGGTAAATTCAGATTCTGCCAATCCTAGCTAATCCCCAAGAAGCTGTCCCGCACTTGTCGCGTATATGTTGAGCAAGGGAGAGGTGGTTGTTGAAAGTCGCACCAACATCTTGTACACATTCAGACTTTTGCAAACATGCTCCAGAAAGATCCAGAGGGGGAAAATCATCAGACTGCTGCCTGAACCTAGAAGATATATAAGTTTCAAGTTGTTGGTTGAAGACCAAGTCTTGACATCACATAAACAATCTGTAAATCTACTAATGGCATCTCTTCTTGCGCCGACATCAGCAAGGTAAAGCTGGGTATCATCTGCGTACATGGCGTGCTGGATGCCATGGTTCGAACTGATCACATTGCAAAGAGGACTAGTATAGAGGATAAATAACACGGGGCCCACTACCGACCCCTGAGGCACTCCCCAAGGGAGAGGAAAGGATTGTGACAGTGACCCCCTCACTGTTACTCTCTGGAAACGACCACTAAGATATGACTTTATCCAATCCAGAGCAGATCCCTTTATGCCGTAGCAGTCTTCGAGCTGGTTGAAGAGAGTTGTGTGGTGCAGGCAATCAAATGCAGTCAGTTCAATCAATTGCTGTGATATGAAAGGATTGCCTCATTCTTCTTTGATGTAGCCTGCTGCAGTAGTTGTCTTTTGTAGTCACTTCTTCCTTGTGCACAGGATTGTCAATTAGACATGCTATTCCAAACAGTGACATCCAGTAATCTTGCACACAAGTTGTTATCAATATTTTAAAATTATAGATAAGTTGACAAATTGGAATGTAAAATAAACATGTTAAGTAATTTTCCTTGATGTATATATTTTGTACAGTCCAGTGGGAAACATGACAGCTTGATATTTGTTTAATTCACAAACACACAATTTCCCTATGAATGCATTTGAATTAAAAAATATATTGTGTGAAATTGCTACTTTGACCCATACATTAGAGACCACTTCTCATATTAAGTAAATATCTGATATCTGTATGAAGTTAATAGTGTAGGCCCCTTTTCACAAAACTTGTCATCAGTGACAAATGACAGTTTTTGTGTTAAGCTAGTGAAGTCCTTGCTGCTGATTGGTTGTCAGCAATTTGTCACTGATTTTTTTCATTTGTCATTGAAAAAAGGCTTTATGAAATGGGTCCCAGAACAAATATGTATTTGGTATTTTGGTATTTATTAACATTTATTTCCTTCTCCACAGTACAATATGAAACACAATGTATATATATATATACATGATATATGTAACAATTATTTCAACATAGAGTATACAGTAAATAAATCAGATACGGAAGGAGGCGAAAACCCGGAAAGCATAGCTTGAGTTGGGAACGCCCATAATAAATTAACACAGTTACCGAAAGAACATTATAGATATAATTATGAAAATTACATTTTATTTAACAGAAAGTTGATAGGAAAGAACAAAAATAGTAAATGGAACAGAGAGAAGAAAAAAAAAAATGAGGAGAGAATTAAGTATAGGAAGGCATGTTCACTTATAAAGAGAAAGTTACCTCAATTGGGCTGTGCATGTGTCTGTGATTACATAATAAAAATAACGAAGTACTACAATTTTAAAATAGACAGCGGGTACATATCATTACAAACAAGCAAAATCATCAAACAAACAACAGCTTTATCCGACAGCATTGTCCTGGGAATATACATATATGGTACTAGCAATAGATACCAATAGACTGAAAACCTTGGCCTTCCCCAAATGATGTAAATATATTCATGTTTGTTCAGGGCCCCATGGAAGACCACTACTTATTGGTGAATGGGCTACCCTGACAAAAGATTAGAAATAAATGAAATGAATAATTTTTTTTCTTCTGTTTTCTTTGTTCTTTTTACTGCAGCACTGGTTTACTAGGTTACCCCATGTTCTCATCTTCGAGCTTTCAAGATTTCAGTTCAACCAGGAGCTTGGAAGGCCTGAGAAGATACACAACCAATTCAAGTTCCCTGCAACACTTTATATGGATAGGTACTTCTTTTATAGTCCGACATGTGTGAAATAGACCACTTTCGTAATGTAACCAAATTTAATAATGTCTTTGTGAAGTGCCTCAATACAAATATTTCATTCACCTGTAATGATTAATTATATTTCAATAGTCAGAATCGAAAATGCATATAATAAGTGTTGTTAGGTAGGGCAAGCAAAGGTTGTTCTACCTTGCAACAACTCATGTATGCAGTTCGCATGCTGACTATTGAAATACAATTATTTGTAACAGATTAATGCAATAATTGGTGTCAAGGCACTCACAAAGACCTATGCATTAGATTTGGTAGCATTACTAAAACCATCTATTACATTTGAGTTTGATAAAAAAGGTGGAAACTTGCAAGACATATATTGCATTCTAAGGTCTCGTTCAGATAGGAAGTGGGAATCAGCGGCAGCTGACCCGCACATAAAGACCACTTTTCATGTTTTACTTGAGCAGTCTTAAAATACAGAAGTTACTGTAGTTACATGAATAGGTAGGAACAGTATTTCAGTTCTGTCTTATTACACTTGAAATGATTCTTAATATGTTAAGATTTTGTCACTCTCTAATCGCCATCTGATTCCTTCCAAAATGTAGTTCCTGATTCTTTACATGTTTTCCTTTTCCTTTTTCTTTGCAGATATATGGATGCTAACCGAGAGATTGTAAGAAAAAAGCGTGAAGAAGTTGCCGTGCTACGTCAGCAGTATAGTGAACTGCAATCTAGACTAGAAAGGTACGACCCAAACTTTATGACTTTAAAGGTATAGACCAGTTTTAGAACCCCACCCCCCCCCCCTCTCAAAAAATAAAATGGAAGCTTTTATTACCAATCATGTGAAAGAATATGTTTTGACTAATACGTGATGATACAAATTTTGCCTGGAAACCGCCTACTAATTGATATATTTGGTAAATTATCATATCTATCCGGCCTGGATAGATATTGCGTAGTCCCATATACATCTTTCTGTGTACAGTGCTTGTAACTTTACCAAGACTGGGCCAAATTTCTTATCATTTTGATAACTCCAGAACCTTGCAGTACACACCAATACCTATATGCTAGATGATCAACCTTTTCTGGATGATTCCACAATTCAATTCAATTCAAATCAATTCAATTCATTTCAGTTCAATTTGATTCCTTTCAATTCAATTCAATTCAATTCAGTTCCAAGTCAATTCAAACTGTAATGGTGGTGCGGGCAGCCATCATCGTATACCAGTGGATACTTGTGCAATAAGAACCCAAAATGTGACTCCTTCATTTCATCCAATCACCTTCTTTTCCATTATCACCCTCCTTTTTATTGGCTCCTGAATAGATTTTTATGCTACGGATCTGGTGCTAAGCGGATGCCTTTACATGACCTTAGAATATATGCAATTAGTAGATCTCCCAAGCAGAGACACTTGGTTAAGTTAAGAAGAGCAAGTCTTGAGGCCTAATAAATACATCTCTGTTCTTCTCCTGGCATCACACCATGCATAATTCTACTCCTCTCTTCTTTCCTGAATAGATTTTTATGCTACGGATCTGGTACTAAGCGGATGCCTCTACACGACGTCCTTCAATACACGTTAGAATATGCAAACAGGGAATCCCCCAAGCAGAGACACTTGGTTAAGATGACCAAGTCTTGAGGCCTAATAAATACATCTCTCTGCTTTTCCTACCATCACACCATATATAATTCCACTTCTTGCCTCTTTCTTCCTGAATAGATTTTTATGCTACGGATCTGGTGCTAAGCGGATGCCTTTACACGACGTCCTCCAATACACGTTAGAATATGCAAACAGCGGGTGCCCTGAGCGGAGGCATCTGGATGGGATGGGGAGTCCCCCTCAAGGAATCTGCAATAACACCTCCGCCTGCGAGGATGTGGAGATGGCGTCGCCTTGTGGATCAGCTAGTAACAGTCCTAGACCTGGGTAAAAGGAAAAGGTTGACCATCTGTAATGAACTATAGCTACTCTCAATGAATATAATTTCTGTCTTTGTTGAACAGATTCAGGGGGATTTACTGTATCTGCCTCAAAATACTGGAGTGATGTACCACTTAGAATTAGGCAGTCTCCATCAGTTATTACCTTCAGAAAGGCATTATAAACACATTTTTTTTGTGCAGTTTGTAGTTGTAAATTTTTTTTTTTTATCATACGTATTTATATAATTTTTATTTTTATTCACTAAGCACTTCGGGCCTTATGGGAAAAGGGTGGTATAAGTAATAATAATAATAATAATTACCAACAATTTGTGTTTTGTGCTCTATAAATTCTGGTTCAGAGTCCTTTATGAATAATTTGATGCATGAGCTGAAAGTACAGCGATTTGTAAATTGTCCTTGGTTTGTTTTTCTGTTATTGGTCATATAGTGTCAATAGATATTAAAATCCTTAATTTGGCAACTTGCAGGAAAGTTCAAAATCCCTTTCTGCCCCTACAACCTCACTGAAAGAAGAGTTTCTATTGATATATAAAATAATGCTTTTCAGATAGACATACATGCCTTTTAATCTGTAGGTGTAGCCAAAAAAGGAAAATGCCAGTGTTGGGCTATTGAAACAATCTACTAAATCCTGTCCTGAATTCAGCTGAATGTTTGTGGGGTAGCAGTATTTATCATCTATGGTTCCAACTTCTCTTTCCTAGCTCATCGCCAAACCTCCAACCCATGGAGCAGCCCTTTGCGCCGCCAAGCCCCACCTCCCTCTCCCTCTCCACATCACCAACAGTGTCTTCCAAGCTACCAAGGTACCAGAAACCGCCTCCGCTCAACCTTCTGGACAAGCCCCCACTAGGTCACGGCGCCGGTGGTGGTACCGCTGGTCACGGCGGCGCTGGGGGTTCCGGTGGCCTGGGTGCCGGTGTGGGGCCTGCAATAAAGGGTGAACTGCCCTCTCCCAAACCTGGACACATCACAGACACAGAGCTAAATATCTTACAAGGGTGCTTGAAGAGGTGGAGGACAGAGGTCATGAGTGAGGTCACAGGTCAGTGATAATTTGCATATCGGTCACAGGTCAGTGCTTATTTGCATATCAGTTGATCTGATGTCAATTCAAGTGTAAGAGTAGGGGAAACCCGGTGTAGTGGTCCACCTGTACATCCCAGTAAGTTATCCCAGGGGGAGGTGCACCAACTACTTAATACTACTACTACTACTACCACTACTACTACTGCTAATGAGAATAATAATGATAATGATAATGATAAGGATATTGTCAGGTATACTACTACTACTACTACTACTACTACTACTACTACTACTACTGTACCACTACTACTTCCACTACCACTACCACCACCACACTACCACTACTACTACTACTACTACTACTACTACTACTACTACTACTACCACTACTACTTCCACTACCACTACTACTTCCACTACCACTACCACCACACTACCACTACTACTACTACTACTACTACTACTACTACTACTACTACTACTACTACTACCACTACTACTTCCACTACCACTACTACTTCCACTACCACCACACTACCACTACCACTACTACTACTACTACTACTACTACTACTACTACTACTACTACTACTACCACTACTACTACCACTACCACTACCACCACCACCACACTACCACTACTACCACTACTACTACTACTACTACTACTACTACTACTACTACTACTACCACTACCACCACACTACCACTACTACCACTACCACTACTACTACTTCTAAAACCCTAACAGTATGTGCCATGGATTACAAAATCATCACTCACAAATTTAAAGAAGAGTCATATTAACTTTTTGTATGGTATTCCTGTAACCCCCCCCCCCCCAGGTCTTTCTTTCTCAATATTACTTTGATTTTTTTTTGAACAAACATAGTGCTTCATTATTATTATGAAAATTTGTTTGTCACTGTATTCATTCTCAATGCATTCTTCAATTTGATTTCATCTTTTCTTCCTGATATCCAGAATTACACCAAGAGATTGCCAAAGTAGATGAAAAGATTCACACGACGTATGAAGAAGTGGAACTCAAATATGTAAGTCTTCTATTTACCCCAGGCCTCTAATACAACTGTCAGATTGGCCGGAAAATCATATGTATCAAAGGGGACTTCATGCTGGTGTACTACAGGTTCATTTATATTGAAGTATCAGCTTCAATTATTAATTCTGTAGAGAGTAATTGCAAGACAGTGCAAATATACTATGTAAATAGAAATATGTAGACTAATTGATGTGCTTTTACATGCATACACAGGCAAGGAGGTTCACTTTGAGATAACTGCCTTGCAGCCTTACTTCTGTACAGCCTCAATACTTCCCCCAATGCTCCTTAATCCTTTACCAATATTTTGTCCGTTTTGGAGCCAGGAGGATGTTGAATCATATACAAGTCAGAGTTAACGCCCTTCTGAATCAGAAGAGAAGATTTATTCAGGAATGATTTTAACCCGTAGGCTACTGAAATGTCTCGCTCCTGTACGCTTACTACAGGAACGACCTGCTCCCCATAGGCTATGGGTTAGTTCTTATAACTAAACATACATTTCTGTGTATGGTAAATAGACAGGTTTACTAACATATTAAAAAATTATGCATACATAAACAAAGGTCGTTCTTGATAACCCGAAAGCTTGCTTAAGGCTTACCCGACATAGCAACAAGTAATGTATCCAGACTGGATTCAAAGTATTGTAATTTCATTTTGATAACAGTTTAATGTAATATAACTCGCCACTATGTCCCCAAGAAAGAGACATCCATAAATTTGAATTTATTTAGTAAACTGGTTTATTGTCAATTATTGTACATTCTATTACTTACGCCCTCCATCACAGCACAAGTACCGCCTTCACGCTGTCCTGGTCCATGAAGGTCAAGCCTTGGCTGGTCACTACTGGTCCTACATCCTCAACCACAAGAGGAACGTCTGGATTAAGTTCAACGACATCGCCGTCACCGAGGTTACGTTTGAGGAGCTAGAGAGAGTGTCGTTAGGAGGGGACGGTAACGCTAGTGCCTATTGCGTCATGTATGTGGAGTCGGGCAACAGAGCGCTCTTTGAAGGTAAGACAGGCATGACAGGCATGACAGTAGTTTAGAAAGACCACATGTTGGTTCATTTCTCGTATTATTTTTCAACAACTTTTCTTCTTAAACTGTGTTGAAGAATGGGCCTTTCCTTGTTTTCCTTGAGTGGTCTTTGTATACAGCTTTCACTATATTGAATTATGAATTGTTGAATTGAATTGGTTTTGTTTATTGCAAAAACACTTCAAAATAAGCAGCTCTCAGGCTGAAAATGTTCAATTAACAAACAAATTTAGAATATAGAGAGAGATAAAAACGTATACAAAAGTAAAATACATATATTATTGTAAGTCAACTTTTGCAGAAATTATTTAGCATTGGTAAGATGAATTCGAAATTGCAAAACAAAGTTATAAATTGAATGTAATAATACACTTTAATGTTGAAAGGAGAGACACTTGTAGATAGATTTCCCCAATAAGCACCAACTATTTTAATCTGTCAATTGTCATTGACCAACAAATTTGTAACTTTACAAATGAGACAGACATTAGGGTTTTCCTCATAGAGATCTCCATACTGAAACAGGTTCAGAATACATGTAATCTCTCAGTGTTTATTGATCACATGATTGGCAACTTTTTCATACAAGGTTTAAAGTGACTCAGTAACATTGTCTCAGATTCTGAAACAAAATCCTGGATTTAGCTCATGCTGCAATCATAATTATAAACCTTTAGGTCAGTCAGGAATCACATGACTTTTACAAGCCGATCGCCTGTCTGATTATCAGATATTTATGATTGGAAATCAAAATTTCGTTTTTTATAACACTTTAGCCTATTGGGGAAAATGAGTATGGTAAGACCGTTCGCTCAAAGATTTTTACTCTATTGAGGCACTTCATGATCATTTTGTAGGGCTTCAATATTACACCATATCACAGAAATTGATAATAATTAGGGCCATGCATCTCAGATTTAAAGCGGACATTGTTTGCTTTGCAGAGGTGCATGCAGAAACGGGTCTCATCAACCTGGAGGATCTGGGAAATGACCTCGGGCAACTGATCGTCGACGACAACCAGAAGTTTGAGGAGGAGCTGAAGCAGTGGGACGAGCAGGTACAGCAACGCCGACAGCAACAACTGCAACTTCAGCTGAAACAGGTAATGGTGGTGGTGGTGATGGTGGCGGTGGTAGTGGTGGTGGTGGGGGTGGTGGTGTTGATGTTGGTGGTGGTGGTGGTGGGGGTGGTGGCGGTGGTGGTGATGATGATGATGATGATATTGATTGTGATGATGGTGGTGGAGATGATGGGTATGATGAGATGAAAATGATGAGGATATTTATCGTGATGGTGATGGTGGGGATGATAATGATTGAATATTAAAAATGGTGATGGGAGTGATGGTACATGTAGTAATAAAGGTGGTGTTATTAGTGATAAATTTAACGATGATGATGACGATGGTGATAAAAATTGTAATGGTGATTAAGTCGATGACCGAGATAGTGATGACAATGGTGACTTCTTCTTCTTCTTCTGTACATGTCGACAGACTTGTTAGTCCATATAAAGGCACGGAAACGAAGCACATGGTCATGGAATAGAGCAATCTTTTAGGAATTGTAGCGCGTGGGACCTAAAGGAATCAATTGATCCTGTGTTGATAACACTATAACACTATCAATTGATGATGATGGTAGTCTTTATCATGCTGCAATTCATCTATGCAGAAGTGATGCAAATGTTAACAACTATGATATCAGTGAAGCCAAAATGATCTTAAATCCTAAAACCATCAACGATTGATGATGGAGCGAGGTTTTGTCACGAGCGATTGGTGATACTAATAACAACCTCTTCCCTCTCTATCAACCCCACCATCACCATCATAATCAATATCATCACCATCATCACCATCATCACCATCATCACCACTACCATCATCATCTTTATCACCACTACCACCACTACCATCATCACAGACAATATCATCATCAAAATTATCATCATTATCATCATCATCATCTCATCATTATCACCATAATCATCATCATCATCCACATCATCACCAGTGGAGGCCAATTTTCTATGTTTTGGATATGAATCAATAAAAGAATCTATCCATTTTTATTTTGGCAGGGAGAGAGAGGGCAGGCCGATGGAGGGGCCAGAGAGAGGGTCACATCGAGGGGAGCCAGCACCACTAACGAGGAGGTCATTGCCGTCGATGATGTTCCTATGAAGGATGAAGAGGAAGCCATGTCGCCGAGACGAGTGCCACCGCTTGCCAACCAGGACAGCATGGAGACAAGTCGTAAGTATATCTGTATTTCAGCATTACGCATGTAGAATGTTAAACTTAAATCTGTACATGTAGAAGTGAACTCTAGGGGTGTTTCACAAAGATCCTAAGTGAAACTTAATTCTAAGTTGGACTTAAACATTATGGAGAGCCATTCGTAGCCTTTAAGTTAAATATAGTCAAAAGCGAAAATTCAAGTATTTTAGACATTTTATAAATTCCACTTTAAAAAAACACAAAATCTCCTTGATAGTAAAAAATATGAATGATTTGAATCACCATTTTATGCCTTTTAAAATAACATTCATGAAATAATTTCATAGATGCTAATGGCTTTCCATAATTGTTAAGTCCAACTTAGAGATAAGTTCAACTCAGGATCTTTGTGAAACACCCCCATATGTCACACAAAGACCCAGACAAACTTTACAATTGACTTCTTCCGTTGATTGAAATGACTGCAGATTACACATGAATAGTTGCTGTTGGGATGATACTACTGAATGGTGACAGTTTTATTAAAGGCACCTGCACAGAAAATGGCTCCACAGTCCATTTTTCACTCCAAAGCTTGAACCAACACTATACCTAAACCTAACCAGGAACATATCCTCAAACCTAATAACAACGTTCACTTTTTTACCTGTAGATTTGATGAAATATATCCAAGAAGCATATGCTGGATCTCAATATGTTTCTTTTAATATGATTTTTGGGAGTAAATTCCTTATCCAAAGAGGGCATAGATTTTGCTTAGTATTGCAAAGTATTGTTATATACAAATGTCTATGTTTGTTTTATAAGATCTCTTCAGTTGGATCATATCCTCATAACTTTACAAAAATCAAACTACTTTTTGTATATAGATCCTGAGACAAGGCCCAAGACTCCAAAGAGTCCTAGAACTCCCAAGAGCCCGGTCTCCGCTGCACCATTCTTTGGTGAAGGAGGTCCAGAGGCTGCTGTGCAGCAGGTGAGTTGACCTTTGACCCTTGATCCTTGATCCTCTTAAGTTTGGTCATACAACACATTTTCTGAAACAATAAATCTGTAATCGATTAACGCCATACCTACCCTAACGCTTACTTTTAACCTGAACTTGAACATGAAAATCAATTGCGTTCCCTTGCATATTGTTTCATGTCTTAATTAAGAGAAGATTTAGTTCTAGTAAGAGTGATTTTCTTTTTGAGCTGTATCATTTCTTGAAATCCATGATGATTTTGATGCTTTGCTGTGACCATCATTGTTGTCCACTTTATAATACAATTTTTACTGAAGACTTGGAGCAATATTTTCACGAGAGATCATTATGAAAGAAAGTAAACATCAATGAATATTGCCAATATACATGTTGGGGGGGGGGGGGGGTTCCATCCCGCCCATGCCCTTATTGGGTTAATGCGTTCTTTATATCAGGGCTCAACTAAAATGGAGAGTCACTGTAAATTTGAATCGATAATAATAATAATAATATTGGGTACTTGTGTAGCTCTCATATCTGTCAGACTTGGCACTCCTGGTGCTCCTGATTATTACCCTGGCTTTAGCACGGCTGCCATTACGGCGCTCTAGTATTGCAAGGAATTAATTCCTGCCAAATACCCATTTATATCACCTGAATTGAGTGTGGCAAATGTAGATCAATGTCTTGCCAAAGGACATTAGTGCCACTGCGGGACTTGAACCGCAGACCTTGAGATTCACAGGTGATGTATCTACTCGACCACGACACCTCTACAAACATCAAACATCCACCTTGTTAAGATCTTGTTTCTTGTGTATCAGTGTTTTTGTGTAGTGTGGTGATCAGTGATGGGTCAAGCTTTGGAGGTAGGAATAGATTTTCTTTTTCCTTACTAGTATTGACTTTTTCTTTTTCATTTTTCCTACAGCGCGTAGAGATTTTAACAAATGTATTATGCGTTTTATAAGAACTGTACTATTATTATTATTATTATTGTTCTTGCAGATGTATGCTCATGAATTGAAGAAGTGCCAGGAGGTGGCCGTGGCTGAGGACCCTCCTGGAACGGATTCAAGGTTAGAGTCCTTTGCCATCTACCTGCTGAGAAACAACGCTGCCAACGGGCTGATGCAGCAGAGCATACTGATACAACTCAAGGAAATGGGACTGGCTTCTGATGATCTTAGGTGAGTCAGCCATAAGGCCTAAAAAAAAAGATGTTGTATTGCCCTTTAGGTGCCAAAACATGGGTCGGTCGGTAAGGATTTTTAATTTTTTTTTACTCCCTCTTTGGGCTGATATTTCTCAGTTTTGAATGCTTTAATTTTTTTTTTTCCTAAAAAAAACGGTTAAAAAGTAAAAAAATTGAAGAGCCGACTGTAGATTTCAATATTTTTGGGTCGGTCGCAAAGGGCGATACAACATCTTTTTGTTAGGCCTACTATTCGGACGGAATGGGATGATGCCCATATTGTTGGTTTTTAAACACACTTCTGGGAAGTGTTTCACAAAGGCTCAGATCAATTTTAAGTTGGACTTAACTATGGCAGGCTGTTTAATGCCACTGGTTGCTCTCACCATCGGTCTCTCAATTATGATCTTTAGAATGTAAATCGTGTAGATTTTTGACAACAATTGGTACTTCCCTTGAGAAACCAATGCCAGGAATGGTTAGAGGAATTAGTGGCATAAATGGCCTGCCATAGTTAAGTCTAACCTAAAGTCGATCTTAGTCTTTGTGAAACCCCCCCCCCCCCTCCCCCTCCCCCCCCCCCCCCTCCCCCCCTCCCTGGGGACATAAAGGGGAAGTAAAGGATTGATCATGAGGATCAATCCTTTACTTAATTACATCTGTTTTTTCACTGTCACTTATCGTCACTCCAGGGATCTCAAGGCAGACAGGAAATAGAATGTTCGCATGTGAATATATTTATTTTAAGGCTACAAATGGCTCTCCATAATTTTTAAGTCCAACTTAGAGTTAAGTTCAACTTAGGATCTTTGTTCAACATCCCCCTGGTCTACCAATTTCTCAGGAGAAAGTGTTGATGGGAGCAAACGCAAAATTGAAAATTTAGAGTTCTTCCTTTTTCTTTGCTTCTTACAGGAGTCAAGCGATAGGGAAGATTGCCCAGAGGAAGCTGGAGAGCGATCAGGCGTATCGGAACGTCCACTCCTTGTTGAAGGCCTGGCAAAGCGATTACAGCACCTTCATCAGGACGGCCTCGTTCTTCAATCAAGGCATTTTGTTATGCCTCCAACAGGGATTGTAAGTAGTCTTCTACTGGAATTTATTTGAGGTCATTGCTGGCATGATGTAGTATGACCGAATAGGCCAATCCTGAAAAAAAACAGAGGCTTGCATGTTTTCATCAAGGAAAGCCTTGAAAGGGTGGGGCAGCTACAGGCAGCAGCAGCCTTCCACTGCCTTGCCTCACCTCCAAATAATCCTCCAAGTTCTCTAATGATGATTACAGTACAGATTTATAGATACCATATGTTTTTTCTGAGAAAGTATAGAGTCCTGAATACTATTATATCCCTGGCTTTAGCTTAGCTTCACAGAGGTTCATTGTCAAACAAAACTTATTCGCGCATATTTACAAAGTATAAAGGTGAAAAGATGAAAATTTCCCCCTATTTGTTTACCAATTATTGGTATTATTATGGTTATCGTTATCATCATTATCATCATCATCATCATCATTATCATCATTTTTTTATTTAAAAAATTATTATTATCATTATTATTATTAATAGTAGTAGTAGTAGGAGGAGTTGAAGTAGTAGTAGTGGTGGTAGTAGTAGTATCATTATCATCAATATTATAGTAGTAGTAGTAGTAGTAGTAGTAGTAGAAGTAGAAATAGTAGGTAGTAGTAGTATTAAGAGTGTTATTATTTTTCTATTATTATATTTGTTATTATTATTACTATTATTGTTCTTGTTATTATTGTCGTTGATATTATTATTATCATTATTATTATTGTTATTATTATTATTATTATTATTATTATCATTGTCATTCCTCTCTAGGTATCAAGAAGCCTTACCCTACTTTGTCCATGCCTGTAAGCTCAACGAAACATTTGATCCGCCAGACACCAGCAAGAGAATGGACAGCAAGCTACTAGAATACTTCAGGAGACATTGTTTAATAGTAAGTCATATGAAAGTATTTCGATCACCAAAATATATTGTACTCTGTATGTTGTTGTTCTTGGTAATAGTTTTATGGCGTTCATACAGTACTGAATATATACACCATATCTTCAGTTATATAAAAAAAAAAATCAGTTATCAGTAAAGAAAACTTAATATAAAAACTAGGAATAATATAATTAATTAACCAATATCGCAATTTATTATGAGTCTCTACATGGTTTACAACTTCGTATGTGCTCTGTTTGTAAAGGATTTCATGTCTTTACACTATATTCTAAATATAAACTTCAAATGTTAATTCTGTAAGGAAGTATGGTAAGTTAAAACATACTCTAAATAAACATAAAATTGAGTTGTATGAGTATGACCAGTCGATATTCCCTATCACGGGATCGCATAGAGTAACCCATTTCATTTGATTTCATTTGTCCATTTATTTCCATCTTCACATAAAAACAAACTTAGGTCATTAAAACATTACACATTTTAAAAAAAATACATGCAATCATACAAATTCATGCAAATATAATACATGTGAGAAGTTTTTAAAAAAAAGTTTCAAAGAGACCAAATTTGTAAAAATATATATTTTATACATTCTAGCAATACATTTATTGATTCTTTCAGCAAATTGGTACACTTGAACATTCCAGTTCTGCAGTAACTTAGGGACAAGTAAATAAGAAAATTATTTCTTGTATTTTTTAGAACTTTCTGTCTCAAAACTTGTCTTCATCTTAGATGTGAAGGAAATAAGGGAGCAGACGGTGTTGTGTCATTATAATACACCACTACATATAGAGGTTTTAATATAATTCATAATGAATGCAGACCTTGGTAAGACTACTTCTTAACCATCATTTTAGAGGTACTGAGACTAATTTTTACTTTGTCGTGCAAAGTACTACAAAGTACCATACTCTGTATGTAATCTTTCAGCAACTCAACGAGCAGTGCGCCACAACCTTTGACGCCGGCGAAGAACAGGAAGCCAGCACTAGCCTGCAGGTGATGAGCGAGCTGGTTGTACCCTGCACAAGTCTGCTGGGATCCAACCCCGGCGACGATGCGCAGGCTGTGGAGGAGATCAGGGGGAGATGGTGCTCGTATCTTGGACATGACCTACCTGGTAAATGCCATGCATATGGTTTTGGTGTGGAATGGGGGAGGGACAGGGAGGAGGAAGGGGGCATGGGGCAGGGGACAGGGGGGAGCTGTAAAAAAAGGGGTAGGGAAAGTCAATATTTGAGTGGCAAGGTTTCATCACCACACTGACAGTATACATGTAATGATAAAGTGGGCTGCAGTCAAACAACTTCAGGGTGGGTTGGGGGGGGGGATAAGGGAATGTGTCCAATTATGCTTATATATTAACTTTTCGACAGATCTTGTGGGAAAAATAACCTGAAGTTCTCTTGCATTTCTGTCCTGCTTCTCATGGATAACATTCTCTGTGTCTTACAGGTAAACTGCAGGACAAGCTCCAAGACCTCTTGTCGCGGCTCCTGGACGGCTCCTCGGACGGTCTGACGGTCAAAACCCCGCCCCTCATCCGCGCCCAACGAACGGTCAACCACAGTCAGCAGTTTAGAAAAAGCATGCAACTCATCAAGAGCTTTGAAGAAGCGGGCCAGGGAGAAGACTCATCATAGCACAGAGCCATCACCAGGGACCCGTTTCACAAAGCCTTTTATCAATGAGAAATGACAAAAGTCAGTGACGAATCTGCTGATGACCAATCAGAAGCAAGCATTTCAGTAGCTTATAACAAAAACTGTCATATGTCACTGATGACAAGTTTCGTGAAACGCCCCCAGGTTCATATATGACGAGTCTGCCAGGGAATTCTTGGTGAATTGTAGATCAATGCAGAACTCTTTTTGATACAGAGCATCCAAGCAGCAGGCAACGGTAGGAGTTGGCACGACAGTGAGTCAAGAAGTTATCCTTGAGTACTTTGCCAGGGAACGCTTGGTGAATTGCAGATCGATGGAGAACTTGTTCTGATACTCAGTATCAAACAAAGCCGAAAGCTATAGGACGGAGCACAGAGCAATGAGGTTTATATTTGACAACTCTGCCAGGGAATTCTTGGTGTATTGTAGATCAATGCAGAACTCTTTGTGATACAGAGCATCGAAGCTGCAAACAAGGGAAGGAGTTGTCAAACAGTGAGCCATGAAGGTTATATTTGACGACTCTGCCAGGGAATTCTTGGTGAATTGTAGATCAATGCAGAACTCTTTGTGATACAGAGCATAGAAGCTGCAAACAAGGGAAGGAGTTGTCAAACAGTGAGCCATGAAGTTTATATTTGACGACTCTGCCAGGGAATTCTTGGTGTATTGTAGATCAATGCAGAACTCTTTGTGATACAGAGCATCGAAGCTGCAAACAAGGGAAGGAGTTGTCAAACAGTGAGCCATGAAGTTTATATTTGACGACTCTGCCAGGGAATTCTTGGTGAATCGTACTATTAAGCACAACAGAGTATCTAAGAAGGCAGGCCAGGAAAGGCATCGTCATAACAAGGAGCCTTCAGGTTCATATTTGACTGGTCTGTAACATAACTGTTGGTCAATCCATTGCTTACAAGAAGTAGGTGATTCCCTTTAAAGCCTGTCTGTACTAGTTTGGCCAGGGGGATTAAACCTCCCTGCAAGGTCATTGGAGAGGTGGTTATCTCATCAAATCAGCTCTCAATTAACACCGATTAGGCATTGTTTGCTATATAGAGGGCGCAAGTGGCTATAAGTAGTGCAGTGGGGATTTAAACTTTTTGGAATAGCAAGAACTAAGCAGTCAACAGGTCTGAATTTTGAAGTTTGAATCCAGGGACCCATTTCACAAAGCCTTTTTTCAATGACAAATGACAAAAAACAGTGACAAATCGGCTTATAACCAATCAGAAGCAAGGATTCAGTAGCTTATAACAAAAACTGTCATTTTTCATTGATGGCAAGTTTTGTGAAACGCCCCCCAGGCAGAGTTCTTTTCAGTACAATGGTATCAGACAAACGAGCAGCAAAATAAACCTTTCAGGGTGAACTCAAGCAAGTTTGTTTCTAGATTGTTATATCTTGAGAGATTTCCAAATGTGTCCTAGGTAAATTTTGGGTCAAGGTTAAACCATTGTTAAGACCAAGCGTTAGAGCAACAAACAGGGAAAGGCCTTGTAAGTAAGAGCCTTTGAGCAGAACCATTTTCCTAAGATAATGAGTTTCAGGTAATGTACATTTTGAGTTCATTCGGTTTGTTGCTTTCTTCTCACTTGGAAAGGACTTTTAATTTCTTTATGATTCTGTTTTTAAAACATTAATGTCAAGAATATGATGATTATATGAAGAGATGCGAAGGCATTTGGATTTGATAGGACCCCATACCAAACTTATCGCCAATTAGTTCAACAGCATTATTGAGCATGGTGCCAACGACCTTCAGGAAATCCATTCTAGGGACATTTCAATAACTTATTGGTTTGCTTATAGAAATGACGTCTGGAATATATGTGAGGTGATTATAAGGATCTCATTTCAATTGTATGAAGATTTTAATTCCAAAAGGAGCTAAATCTATTTTTGACCATTCAGAGAAAAAAGAAATTGTTTACCAGATATTTTGTACAGGCGTCTAAAGGAAAAGTGATATTCGTAATTGCTCCCAAAATTAGCAAAATAATTTTGTTGAAAGACGGTAAAGTGAACAATGTTCTGATATCAATAACTAAATTTTCATCAAAAGTGGATTTAGCTCCTCTCGGAATTAAGCTCTTCATATGTTGCCCTAGGTTATTGAAATTGTCCTTGAGGTGATTTCTATTTATGAAAGTTTTACAGTCATGTTATTGGTGTCAAACAATTCGTATAAAGAGCCAAGAAAAACCAATTTATAAATACAGCTATGTTTCGAATATCACAGCAATGAAGAAATGTGTAATGCGACCTGTTTTCATGTTATAGAGATATCAACTGCTACGAGAGGACTGGCTGTTTTTATACGCTCAAGGGAAATTGACCTCCGCTGCTATCACCCCTCGGCGCGCCACCCACCCAGGCGCGCCTCGGGGTGATAGCAGCGGAGGCAAATTTCCTGAGAGCCAGTACAGAAACAGCCTGTCCTTGAGTATTAAAGCAGTCGATATCCCTTTTATATGCCGAATTCAAAGAAAAATCTACCAAGAATTCTTACCTTATTCTTTTATTGAGTAAAGATTGGTTAAAACATCACAGAAAATCTGATAAACTGTGTGTTTATCACCGCCCCAAAAATGACTGAAATTTTGTTCAGTTGGGAATCACAGACAAAAAGCACTGTATGATGTCCGCGCTTGCTCAAAGAACAGTTTTACACGTAAACCAATGGGTATCGCAGCAAGATTTTATTATTTTCCCGGTAACTGGAATTTTGTCAGTATTTTACTCTTGGACTATTAAAAATGGTTTTGGCATTTTTTGTTCCTTTACGGGAATGGCTAAAATCACGACTGCAATTTCGACCAATCAGATGGCTGGATTTCTTAAGTGAGGTTTATAATAAACAACAACAACACAACAATTGCTACTACCATTTTTTACGACAACAATAACAGAGAAAGGTAGTTGAGATGACAATGTAGGGGCTGATGTTTTTACCAACATGTTTTGTTTGATTAATATGGTGGACTAATGAATATTAATGAGTCAGAATGAATCAGGAGAGCTTAGGTATTTATTCTAGTTCATCGTGACTGTGCCATGGACCAGTGATGGCCTAGTGGTAGAGTCGCTGCCCGGCAAGCAGTAGATGCAGGTTCAAGTCCCGCTGGTTCCAAGATTTTTTCTGACTTGTTTTTCAATGCAGTGCGATCAATCGATCTTATTTACTGGGCGTAAGCCACAAATATGTTTAAATAATTGAAATTTCTCCCAGGAAGCATTACATTTATAAAAAAAAATGTTTGTACTGTAAAATTCAGAATTGTGCCCTTTTCAACAAAATCATACTTAGCTCATCGAATTAGGGTTATTTGGAAATTCTATTCATTGACTACAAAACACTGTAATAAGAATGATTGATTTCTTGGCGGATATAGGAGCATGGCCATGACATATGTTTATAATAGTTTAAAAAACCTGAGTCATTGGTCAAATTTTGAAGCCAATTGAAGTCTTATGCACAATCATAAACCTTGAATGTGTTTATTTTAGTACATACATGTTTTGTAATGATGTCTGGTGCACATGTCTTGTTGTTATTTATTTCTCTATTTATTTCATGTGAGATAACTTCTCGGGTAGCTGGCAGAAGGGCGTTAGCATTCAGGTATGCCATGAAGCCAATTTCTGGTAACTTGCTTCAAGGTTTTTAATCAATCTAAATACATGTTGTACCATTTTGAATCGACAGGGATATCTATATTTATCGACTACCAGTACCAGTAATGAAAAAGTGAAGATATATGGTAACTACCCTAATTTGAGTACTTTTGAATCAAATAAGCAATTAAAAAAAAAAAGTTACAGGCATCTAAATGATAATGACCCAACAGTGCATGTTTGTAGTTGGCAGAACGGCTCAAAACATTTTCTGCCTACGCTCAACAAATTATCTCCCAGGAGTGTATGCGAGCTATTATGTAACATCGTTTCTGCATTGTATTCCACCCAAAATGAACATTTATGTTATTGTATTTTCTACTACACTAATGTCCTTTGGCAAGACATTAATCCCCATTTCCCACTCCCCATTCGAAATGCCAGAGTGCTACATATTTCCCAAAAGCTATGACTGGGGGTAAAAATGATGAAACACCAGGAACGTCACAGCGTGACGGACATGTATGCTAGACCAATAGGCACCCTCAGCAAACAAAATAGTTTGCACTCTTTATTGTTAACATATTTCACATAAACTGTCAATGAAATATAAATCTTAAATAAAATAAAATAATTATTACACTACGATCATCAATTAAGTTTTGAACTTTTCACGCTTGGATGGGTACATTTATTTCACCGTTAGAAGGTCTGATAAAGGCCATTTCCTTTTATACTTGGTCTGATGTGAGCTCTAGAAGGGCTATTAACTTAAAGGTCCTTTTGACATCATTACCCTGATTTCCTTCTGATTGTCATGCCAGGCAACAACACAATAGGCCTGTTTTCATCAGCTCGAGATTACCAAATAACCCGCTATTTTCAGACTCTGGATATTTTCCCTTTGCTCGAAATTGCGTCTTCACCAGACCGATATGTTCATCACAAACTAGCTCAGACGGCACAAATTGGCCCGCTATTTCCTATATGGTGGGATATTTAAAAACACTCCCCAAAACCAAGATTTCTGTGGATTTTTTCTCGACCAAATATCCTACTAATTGCAACTTCGGGCTGATGAGGACGCAAATTAACTAGTAAATTTGCGATCAGGATAGTTGAAGTAGCGGGTTACTTGGCAAACTCGAGCTGATGAGGACAGGCCTAATGCTCTCATAAATGAATTAGACTCTCTCTATCATATTCATTATGACTTTGTTTAGGTCATACTGCTTGAATGAACATCAGTTGACGTTAAGACAGTACAAAAGTGTGTTATGAGGAGTTTAATTTATGAGCGTATAGTAGATATTTCTTCATTAATGATCATAATACTTCAGGTTTATAGGACTATAGAGAATACCAAAACCACATTTGTCACAGTAAATCGTGCATAGTAAGCGATATGGAAATCAGTTCCCTTGCTCCTAGGTGCAACATTATAATAATGATGATAGAGACAAAGGCCAAGGGGTCAGTAACACAAAGACGTAACTCCTTTTTCGCCATTTTGAGAAAAAGTGGTTATGTGTCACAGAGCACTTGAGCCTTAAGGAATTAAGTCTATGTTTCACTAGCCATCGACTTTAATTGGGTTTGGATGGAGTTAAGTCTTTGTGTTTCCTGGAAAGCCCACATTTTTCTGAACATGTTGATATCAAATACTCATTTTGGCAAAATTTGGAGTCGCGTCTTTGTGTCACTGAACCCTCGATATATTATGCTTATAAAGTCTGAGGTTAAGTGTTATGTTAAATTCAAAAGAAATTTATGAACAGAAGCACATTGTTTGTCGTTGACAGGAAGGAGGCACTTCAAATTCACTTCCCCTACGTGATCATAATCTGTAGCAGGGTGTGCAAAAATTAAATGCATTGCATTATTATAGATTTAAAGAGAAGGTTGAGTTCTGGGAAGAGGTGAAAAATAATTTGTGAGCGTTATCATTCTTATTATGCAAGTGTGGAAGAACATCAGATAAGACATGTTCCCTGAAAAGCATGGCTCTTCAAATGCCTTCATATTCTAAATATGTCATGTAACATCGTAAAACTCGGGGGTGGGATTATTATGCCACGTGTTCGTGTAGTCCCATATACATCTTTCTGTGTACAGTGTTTGTAACTTTACCAAGACTTGGCCAAATTTCTTATCATTTTGATGATTCCAGAACCTTGCAATACACACAAATTCTTATATGCTAGATGATCAACCTTTTCTGGTCGATTCCACACCGTTTCTTTCACAATCGCACAACCAGAACTCAACTTCATCTTTAAGAGAAACACTTTCTCTAATTGTAAGAAGGGTTAGCAAGGATGAATTGCTTTGTAAAAGACTTGAGTGAAACACTAAGCAAAGCGGGTGGAAAATTGTATTAAGCCAATACATTATTTCTTTGCATCTAAGTACAGTGCTGTTGCCAAACACAAGTGACAAGATACAAGCTTTCATGTTTTCGTCTGATACCATGTCCTTTAACTTCTTTGTTTATGGCTTTTACTAGCCTACATGCTTAATAATCAAAAGAATACATAAGGCCCAAATAATCACTTCAGAGAAAGCACTTTTATAAATGACCCCAAAATATCCACAGATCTTGTACACATGGAGACGTCCCACTTTGTGCATTTTAGAACAATCACCACGAAAGGATAGGTGCTCCATGAATACCCTTTCGTTCCACTTGTCTATAATGGAATTAACTGCGGGTGCATCAATTCATTAATGATTACATAACCTTCATGAAAACGCATCCAGCAATTGTCTTGATGGGTTTTACAGTTTCGCACAAATGTCCTTTATCTGCCCATGTGCTGATACAGTGTCGTATCTGAATTGGTTAATATGTTTTGGGTATCATTTCATCCCTTTAAATTTTTTTGAAAGAAACTTTGATACTCCAATTAGTGTTAAAGGAAAGAAAATGCATTACTTGCTTGGAGAGTTGGCCTTTTCGCTAGTGATTAAAGAGAGGCTTATTAATACTTTTATACATCGCGTGTAGATAAGTTTAACGTATTCTTATTTCATAAAATGACATGTGGATGTTTTCTATGTAAAGAATTAGTTATAAAAGATGTATGAATGTAATGAATTTTTGGAGAAGATAAAGAATATGTTCTATCCAATTTGTTTCTTTTTGAATAAAACTAAATTGAACTTTATATGTGAATTTTACATTTTATTTAATTTGTGTGAAATTGGCATGAAACCTGGTGATATTATAAATATTTATTCATTGATATTCTGTTTTCATGATTTTTGTTTGCAAATAATCTTAAGGTTGTCAAAGTCTGTATGTATCCTTGATATGGAGATTTCATATTGAAAGAAAGTATGACTTTATTTTGTATTATAATTATAAGCAATTGGATTATATTTGAAACCAGTTCTCAAATAATATCCCCCACTCTTGTTGTAACTAAGACAATGTCCTACTTAAAGTCTATCTGAACTAGTTTAACCAGGAGGGATTATACCTCCCTGTAAGGTCACTGGCAGATGGTTAATACATGTATCTCATCAAATCAGCTCTCAATTAACATAAGAAAAAGGGGACCATGGGAGACCAACGGTCACCGCTTAGGCATTATTTGCTATATAGAGGGCGCACGTAGCTATAAGTAGTGCAGTGGGGCTTTAACGACAACTCAATATTTGTAATTTGACTTCATTTGTTTGCATGTGATAATTACTTTAGAAAGCAATTCAAAGTCCCAATCAAAGACTTCTAAGTGGTTGTAATTTGATTTCATTTGTTTACAATTGATAATTACTTTAGAAACCAAGACAGTCCAATTTAAAGATGAGTTAATAATTGTCATTTGATTACTCTCGTTTACGCGAGGTAATGATGTTAGTTTCCTGCTCTGATGCATACACGAAATGAAGTTTTTTAGTTTAAGTTACGTCATTTCTGAAACCATATAATTATGTTTAGATTTAGAATGCAACTGAATCAAAATGACTGCATGAAATTTTTACCCTATGAGGTTGTACTTAAATATGAAACGATGAGGTACTTGTAGTTTTCCACAAAATGAAAAGAAAAGAAAACAAAGATTATACCGAAACAAAAAACAACAGATATCAATAATATGAATATGAAACCATGTAATTATGTTTATATTTATAATACACTGAATCAAAATGACGATGCATGATATTTTTACCCTATCAGGTTTAACTATAATACGAAACGATGAGGTACTTGTACTCTTTCACAAAATGAAGAAGAGAAAAAAGTAAACCGAAAACAAAATTTACAATAATAAGAATATAACAAAGTAGTAATAGATAATGGGAAATGAAACAACATAATGTAGTTCGGAATAAGAATTGATTTATTTTTGAAATAAATTTTCAACATGAGCCTTTTATGAGTTCGTCCGGCCAGCCCCCCCCCCCCCCCCCCCCTGGATCCGACACTGGGTCCGGCTAAGAGTTTATAGTGATTTCAAGATGTACATTTGCAAACATTCAACCCAAGTGATGTAAATGGGTACCTGTCAGAAATTAATCCCTTGAAATGCTAGAGCGCCGCATTGGCCGCCTTGCTAAAGCCAGGAAATAATCGGGGCAGCGCCTGGAGCGTACGCGTCACGACGTGACGGACATGTGCGCTATATAAAATGTGGTTTAATAACATTTGGAGTGGACTATTAGGCTATTATTATTATATACAGGGGCGTACGCAGGGGGGGGGGGGGGTTCAAACCCCCCTTTGGTATTTTTATGTATGTAACCCCCCTAAAAAAAAAAAACCTAAACCCCCCCCCCCCCCCTCCTTTGGTTTTTTTTTTTTTTTTTTTTTTTTTTTTAAATTATACCCACGGCTAACCTAAATAAGGTGACCTTACCCCCCCCCCCCCCCAACGAAGAAAAATGTCAAATCTTGAAATTTCGAGACCAAAAAAAAAAAAAAAAAGTGTCCGCTTACCCCCCCCCCCCCCCCCCCCCCCCCCGGTTTGGATTTGGTCTGGTGGTATGACCGGGGTATAAGAGTACGTTTGCCAACGCAAGCGTAAAATATCGTCGTATTAAGCGGTGATGTCATTTGATAAAACAGACCATAAAGCTCTCCACAGGTATGAACATTTCAAAATATTTATTGGAGGGGATTTCTTTCGAGACACATTGTAAAGACCAATTTTAAAAGATGTTTACAGTATATCGTTCATACTTTTAAACTAAGTTCTTGGGATATATATTCAAAGCTTTTCAAGGTAAAGAACTGTTCTTGATGCTACATGCTTGGTTAAAGATTGACTAACATAGCAACAATTTATGCATGAAAGGTGAATTTCTTCCATATATTTTAGGAATAACGACATGAAAGAGTGTTTATCCAATTTTACCTTTTGGATCAAATACGAAGCATTGCTAAAAATCCAATATTGAATTTTTAATGGAAGTGAACAAAAAACTCAGATCTACAACAAGAGCTCAAGTTGCTGTGGTATAGTTTATTATTTATCACAGCTCATTTGATTTTCCATTGTATAGAAGAGTGCCAGGTGCGACCATCATCACCACAAAAATGAACCGATTGCCCAACGGGAAAGGACATTGAATAAAAGTGTGTTAAACAACTGTCGGGAATGATGTTTATTTTCCACTACCACCTAAAGTAGTACTTTGTCGCTATTGCAAAAGCATGGTCGATGGGGGCGCTCCATGTGCATGTGTTGAAGGAATCAATGATTGGAACATAAAAAGCTCCTGTTTAAAATGTCAACGCTGGATGACAATTACCTCACCCGTCCTTTTGTTTATCATCTGGGGTGTTTCACAAAGACTAACATCGAATTTAGGTTGGACTTAGTTATGGCAAGCGATTCACGCCACTGTTTGCTCTCACCATTTACTGGTATCTCAATTGGCCTCTCAAGGAACGTACATAATCATGGTCACAAATCTACAGAGCAACAAGCAGCATTAATGGCCTGCCATAGTTATAATCCGACTTAGTCTTTGTGAAACTCTCCCCTGATCTCTTACGGATTAATATAACATGATATGGTAATTGGTGATAATTAGCGACAAAATGCTATTTTCACTATATAATGGAAAATCGATGATGTTTAAATGCCTAATTGTTGCTTACCAAGGCTTTCCTTTTCCTACCACGATATTCTAAGCAAGTAAATGCTAGCAATTAGGAGAAGCGGCAACTTGTGCATGTTGTACTTGCTGACTCCCATGCGTCAGGTACTAGGGTGGTCTATGGGGCACGACGTCAGAGACACAGCATCGCACAAAAATAGATGGAAAACGAACCAGTGCAAAAATTGAGTTGAATAACTCGCGTATGGGTAGCTCCCTCTTGTTTAATTAGCGCAGACAATAACGCAACGTAAATGACACCTCGTGTGTATCGGACGTCAATCCCAATTCATGTCCTACCCCTTGCATAATAATCAACCAAAATACCAAGAACAGTTTTTTTTCCACTTCATGCTTTCATAACCATGCATGTCACCAGAACTATTTCATTCTAATCATCGACATTTCATCATTTTCTTTGCCGCATTCCTTAACGGCACATTGGTGACGACGTAAACGATGATATTCGACCAACATGCGCATATGTCCACTCCAAGCGCAAAGAAGTAGAACTCCTGCGAGACCCGTGCAGACCTGCCGGTAGATTGGAGGATGAAGTAGGTGGTGATTGGCAACCAGGAGACGTAGTACGCTATCGTCATGGCAACAATAGTGCGCAGCGTCTTTAGTTGTGCGGAACGACGTGACAGCGCCGATGCTGCTTTGGCTCTAGCACTGTCACGTGACAGTTGGACGATGCTGCTGCCGGATGACGTTGCAGTATCGGAGCGAAGTCGCGACGGAGTGATCAAGTGGGCGTCAAGTCGTGAGGAAATTGTGGATATCGCGTCCAAAGCTAGGTGGGGTGATCGGCAATCACATGCGACGTTGGAACGGGAACTCTGTAAGCTGTTTCCGCCTGACGTCAAGGTATCGGTTCGAACTCGCGACGGACTTGTCATCTGGGCGTCAATAGTCAGATGCGAAAGCGTTATATCGTCTCGGACACTCATAGGAGACCCATCCAGGCTGCTCCCACGTGACATTATCATATTGGCGTGAAGTCCTTTAGGATGTGTTGAATGTTTGTCCAAAACTTCACTAGAAGGTAGCGAATCACATGTTATGTTGACCCGTGGACTTCGGACACTGCTTGAACATAATGTTGTGGTTCCCACATGAAGTATCGGGGGACCGGTCGACACTTCGTCCGGATTTAGATCACAAGGTGTCAAAGCGTGGTTGATGCTGGAACAAGATGTTTGGACACTGCTTCCACGTGAGCCTGGTGCATTCACGCAAAGCTTTGATCCATCTTTGTGTATGGTACCCAAAGATACGCCAAGCGGTAAATAACATTCTATGGTTTCACGAGAATGCCGAATGCTACTCCCGCAAGATGCTGTAGTATTGGAACGAGGTCGCGACGGACTTGATAAAACTGCGTCAACGGTCGTCTGAGAGGGTGCCAATTGACCCTTAGGATCTACACGCCGACGTTGGCGGAGGGCTGCACGCATCATGCAAGCATTTGCCGTCGTCGACATCAGCAGAGGTACTGCAATGAAGGTAAATAAAACACCGACCCAGGCCAGATCAGAGCCGCGAATTTGAAACGGATTTCCTGCGCATCGCTCGGTATTGGAATGGAACAACGGGAAGCCTTGGATAGGCAGGATAGGAACCATTGGAAGTATGGACAGCACGAGGATGATAGCCAAACCAATCTTCGCCCGTTGAGGTGTCACAATGGTCGGGTAGCGCAGTGGCCAGTTGACCATGAGGCACCGGTCGACGCTGATGCTGCAGAGGATCCAGGCTGATTGGTAGAGGAAGAGGAAATGCCCTCGCAGGAGGACTGCGCATGAGACCTGGTCCAGCGGCCATACACTGCTCGGGCCCATGATGATGCCGTATACTGCACCGCATACCCCAGCAAACATGTTGACAACAGCAAGAGCTTGATAGAAGAACACTGTGGTCATGTCATAAAGATCTTTATTACGTTTGAGAAGAACCAGGATGAATGTATTGCACGACACGACCAGGAACGCCAAAATGACATAGGCCATACACTGGACGACTCGGCGAGCTAAAAGATCCCTCGGCATAGGCTCATCGGTTGTTCCCGTTGTCATCATCGCCATTGTTGAGTTGGAAAATGAAATGTCTTCCATCAAGTCGAATCTCGAAGAGCCTCCTCTGTACATTATATAAAAACTTCAATCAAAACAAATAAGAAGATTTTGTTAACACTTTGTGTCATGCATCTGACCTCCGAGCGTTACGTGTATATCACTTCGCGTGGGGTAATCATACGAAGAGATTCAAGATTATTTGAAATCTTCGCAAAGCTTTTTTGTGTTGCACAAAGCAATCCTTCTGTTAGAACATTACTATTGTATTGTTTCGATCAGCCCGCCTGGCAAACGAGAGACTGTATAATTAAGCACTCGTGACAAAGGAAAGGTTAATTTTATGACTACTAATCAACATACATATCATTGTTTTCTCTCATATGACAGGTTTGCGACCATTCATCATCCCCGAGAAACATCTAATAGAAGATAATGGTTTCACAAACGATGCAAAAATTGTTCCATGAAGTGTCTTTGACGACGATTTGAGTATTCAAATATTCCAAAATTCAGATATTTGTTAATTCCGAGATGTAATTTTTGTTTACTTGTTATACAGAAGGCTGAAAACCCGTGCATCTTAAAAGAACGAATCATACGTCACAATGATTTTCTTTCAGTTACACTCTTGTAACTTATCTATAAGGGCATCATTGCAAAACGAAAAACTCTTCGAAATCAACAAGTGTAGATTACATTCCACAGAAGGGTAGTATTCCCAGAAAGAGCAACTGATCTTCGATGAGACAAAGTACAGTCACTGCATTGCATGTCCTCTGAATAATATGTTAGACATTACATTTTCGCTTGTCTTCAAACTCTCAACGGTAAGAAATGTAAATCCGTACAAGATGCTTTGGTAGAGTGTGAGATGGAGATAGTGAGTTCTTAGGTGTCATTAAAGTCGTCTTGATTAAGGCGCCAGCAGAAAACAAATATAAATCTCACATAATTATGTTTGCTCTCTCGCGCGGGCAAAACAAATCAATCAATACATATTAACACCCGTTTGCCCCGTAGCTTGAGCGCAAAAAACTCTAATCGATTATGTAAACGCTCACCTTTAATCAAAGAAGGTAGTGACATTGATTCTAGACGAAGAAATACAAATTATTCTGTCTCACGAGAAGGGAGTTTTTCAGGATTCATACTTACCGAGCACTCTCTCCCCTATTTAACGCCAAATTATGGGCAATATATGGAGCATTGAACACCATTCATTAGTATTTTTTAAGTTGGCTTTTTAACTCCGGAGCCGTCATTTCGGCGATTCTATTAAGCCCACGTGGTCTTCCTTAATCCCTTACTCTATCTCTCTCTCTCTCTCTCTGTCTCTCTCTCTGTCTCTCGCTCTCTGTCTTCCTCTCCCTCTCTCTCTCTCTCTTTCTCGCCCTCTCTATTTCTTTCTCGTCTCTTCTCTTTGCCATGTAAGGAGTTTTTTTAATGAAAGAACAAAAAAGTATTTATTCCAGGTATTTTTAGTCAGCATTAAACACACACACACATGCAGACACACACGATCCAGAAATATGATACCGTATAATAGTATAATCACACGGCCCATTAACCTCAAATGACAATTCTACTTTCTGTTCTTTTTATCTTGTGATTAATGACCAAAGAAATTAAAGCCTCTCCAAAGTGTTGTGAGCACCAACAATTTGATGGCAAAGTTTCACCTAAATTGTATAATTATAATAAAGAGGATGTCATTTAAGTGATTTGAAAACAAATATATTTGGAGATAAATATTGATGAAAGAATACAAAACTGTCATTTTCTGCATACAGCGCAATACCCCGCAATACCCCCAATATGTTATTCTGTCATCAATATCCATCGTCAAACATATTTTTTTTGAAAACCATTGCAGAAGTGTTTGTTGAATGACATCTTCTTTCAAATTATTACACAATTTAAGTGACATTTTGGCCATAATATTTTTGGCAAATTTGGGGCTCTCAACACTTTAGAAGGACTTTAAGAACAACCGCGATGGTGATCATGTGCTGAGGAAAAGGAAGTGAAACTTCAAACGACATATCCCCTACGTTGTCCTAGCGAGAAGTTTCTCTCTTGTAAATTTGTCATTTTTATACAAATCTGCAGTATCATCAACAAGTTTTAACTTTCCACCATTTGGAAGGCGATAATTATAATCTCTCTCTCATCGAATCGATTTTGTTTCTAACTTGTGCTTAAAGATGTTGAAGTGCGTCTTAAAAACCTTTCTGTGCTTCGTCTTCCTCCATATTTTAGGTAAGAATGATAATCTCTTTTTTTTAACTTTAATGGTAGTATAATGGTTATTATCATTATTATTATTATTATTATTATTATTATTTTTATTATCATTAGAAACGGTATTATAAGTAGTATTATTAGCAGTAGTAGTAGTAGTAGTAGTAGTAGTAGTAGAAGTAGTAGTAAAAGTAGATCTAGAAGTACTAGAAGAAGTAGTAGCAGTAGCAGTAGCTGTAGTAGTAGCAGTAGGAGTAGTAGTAATAGCATTAGTAGTATAAAAATAGTAGGAGTAGGAGTAGTAGTAGTAGTAGTAGTAGTATAAGTAGTAGTAGCATTCATAGTAGTAGGCTAGTAGTATAGTCGTTTTAGTAAGAGGAGAATATTCCTAGTAGCAGAAGTAGTAGGCCTACATAATCTATTTAGTAATATGATAATACAAATAAATAGGAATGATCTGACTAAAATGGAATTGGAAGTGTTGCACTTAAAATAATGAACAATTTCCTATTTAGGCCAACAAAATGAATAGTGGATTTCTTAGCCAGTCCTGTAACTTAATTGTTTCATTGATTTTTGTTAAGTCCTAAAGAAATGTACATTTCCCGCCCCTTCCCCCCCCCCTACTCCGAGAATGGACGGACCCCATGCGTGTTACCAAAATGTCCGGTAAAGGGGTACTTTTCGTGCGACAAAGTCCGGTCCGAGAATTGTAAAACAAAAAGGGGTGTATTAACTTATCACCCGGAGATTGCTTTAAAAAAAAAAGGGGGGGGGGGGTTCTTTTTTTTCTCTCATCTCTTTGGACTCCTGAGAAATTATTTTGAATTTAGGGGGGTACATTGAGCATTTTTCATGATTTAGGGGGGGTCTCCAAGACAGGAAAAGCCCGCGAAAGGGGGTTCGGAAATGTTGGCAGTCCTCAGATAGGGGGTGCTTTTAAAAAGAGGGAACTAGCATATGCGTACCCTAAATAACACTAAGTGGGGGGCCGGGGTACATTTACGTTCGTGAAATTTAGAATTTCATTTACATTTCGTTACTGCTGTTGTTTACCTTGTCGTTTGTTTAAAGGAAGTAACGGCGTAGTTTGTGAACCCGACGTGTTGGTCCAATCAAATGGCGGCGGGACAGCCAGGCTCCAATGCCGCTTTTTAACGACGTCTCTGCTTGGGGGGCGTGTTTCGTGGACGAAAGACGGTCGAGAGAAGATCGTGAACGTAACGGACTGCGGCGCCGGTGACGCCATAACTACATGTCAGGTTCACCGGTCCTCTGGCGGGAAGTACACAGTAGAGGGTTCCAGGTCTGTTGGCGTTACTCTGATAATATTGAACGTGGCACTCGAAGACGATGGCGTGTATGATTGTAAGGCAGTTCTCGTGGACGGTATCATAGAAAAAAGCTTCAGACTCGCTGTCACATGTAAGTTTCTTTGTTCAGCATAACTTGATGGGGTCTACTCGGTATTTATAAGGACCGCTATTGATAAAAGATCGCTATTCATTTAGTCACGCGTTTAGCGTTATGGATAGCGGTCCTTATGAATAGTTTTCCTTATGAATGGCGGTCCTTATGAATAGCAAGGTAAATTGTCTATGGTTTTCTCGCTTATTATAGGGATCGCTATTGATAAAAGACCGCTATCAATTTAGTAAGACGTTGCGGATAGCGGTCCTTATGAATAATGGTCCTTAAGAATGGCGGTCCTTATGAATAGCGAGGTAAATTGTTTGCTCGCCATTTATAAGGGCCACTATTCATGAAAGACCGCTGACCTTACGGATAGCGGTCCTTATGAAAAGTGGTCCTTATGAATGACGGTCATTATGAATAGCAAGGTAAATTGTCAAAGGTTTGCTCGCTATTTATAAGGGCCGCTATTGATAAAAGACCGCTGTTCATTTTGTCACGCGTTATGGATAGCGTTCCTTATGAATAATGGTCCTTACAAAATCTGACATGCTATACAAATAATACACAGCAGTGAGGGCATTAGTACGAATTATCCACACAAAGTACCTTTTGAACGGTCTAAAACGCCAAAGGCGATAGCCGAGGGTGTTTGGACTCTTTCGAAGATACCGAGTGTGGGTAATTTACTAAAAGATCGAACAAAATGATGTATATTATTTGCTTGATAAGATGATGTTTTATTTGTTGTATAAAATAATGATTTATAACATGATTTTACTAATGATCGGTCATTAGTATTTGCTAATGACTGGTCAATAATAAGATTACGTGTTGGTCAAAATAAATGCCTGGTCACGTGTACGCTCTCAACCAATCATTTGATTAGGATCCGTTTCATCACCTTATAATACAGAATAACCTTTCTAGTAACTCTGGTGTATGATGAGCGGTTGCGTATGTTTTTCTATCAGATGTACCCAATGAAATCGCCATCACTGACGTCGTAAAAGCTGTGGAGGTTTCCAATATGAGCACACTCTACGCTGTCGTCGACCGTCCCTACGTCCTGAACTGCACCGTGCCATCCCCTTGCAACCCGCCCGCCAACATAACCTGGTCCTATGGTGACGTCACTGCTGTCGTCTCTGAACAGGCCAATCACAGTAGCGCTCGGGATTCCCCTTTGATGACGTCATCGAAGTCCGTGGAGCTCACCGCAAGCGAGGAAAACACGGCGAAGACGATTTCTTGCATTGCAATGCATTATGGGTTGGCGGCGCCCCTCCAGACGAATGTTATTTTAGAAGTAGGCAGTAAGTATTCACCGTTTGAATTTCGAATTCATGAATTTCAATACTAATCATCCAATAAGTACCATTTATTTCAATGATTCCATCTAAAGCATTAATTATTATCAGTTCACCCTGATATTATGATGGTTTTAATGGAAGCCCAACAATTAAAGAAACAGGTCAGTGAAAGTTTGACCAAACAAACCCGATTAATCAATTCAAATTTGCAACTCTATGACGTATTTTTGCGTTGTCCCCTCCCAATTTTGCTTTGTACTAAAACAAAATAAATTAAATAATTCAATTTTCCGAATTTGTTTGATTATTCATTCACACTAGAAATAATTATTACAAATATGTTTTATTAATCCCCTGATATTATCTCTTCCGTCATCAATAACTATGAAAATTAGATAGATGGAACCCCTTTTCAACAGATCATCCATCCATCCATCCATGATCATAAAAAGGTCAACATTTTCCGAATGCCAATGAGCAGTTGCAACTTTTTTCAATTTCAAATGATCGTTATTTATTAACATGTCACCGCTCATCGACAATGACAAGCCAGGTACAACAAATAACAGGAGAATAAATTTGCACTCTGAACTTTTCTTTCATTATCTATAGGAGAAATTAAAATAAATGTTTTCCTTTTTACTCAATATACAAACCCTCAAGAAAGATTACCGAGAGTCCTTTTCAGGACTCCTCAATCCTCCCTCTCTCTCTCTCTCTCTCTCTCATGGTGCACCCGCAAGCCTACTGTATATCTACATCACCATGCAAGCCGACACTTACAAACAGCATCTATACTGGGATTATACCTTTTTTTTTTTTATAAAGTGTACATAATGGACATTATATTTGACCTCAATGGGGCTCTAGACCTACAATACGCCATTTAAACTGCAATTAAAATGATCTCTAGAATGGTCGCGTTATTAATCGCACTCGACAAAGACTTTCGTCTAGACAGATACGAACAAAGGTCGGCTCTTTAAGTACGCATTAATTATTCTTGTCACTTTAACATTTATGGCCTGTTTACATATGGCGCGGTAAAACAATACCAAAAAAAGGACAGATCCAAGGTGAAATTGATATAAATTAGAACTCATGAATAAGTTTGTGATTCGTATTTCAGAGAAAATAACAAAACTAACGAACAATTACTATCACAACTCAAAGATTCATTAAGGTAAAGGCATAATCGTATTACCAAGGAATTTAAAACAAAAGTAGATATAACCCCCCTTTTTTTAGATTTTCGAAAAGATACAAGAGAAAGAAAGGAACTGTAGTTTTAAAGAAAAGAATTGACCCTGATTCGACAGGTCTGGGTTCTATCATCATCATCTATTATCATTTGATAAGGTCAATTTCTGAAGTATCATTGCATAAGTATTACTAAAGAGTTTTCATATACCGTTATAAAAGGTATTTATATTACATGTATTCGTACTATTAGCAAATGACAGTTTCTATTGTGGTTTCATTATAATAACGACTGGGTATTATGCACGGCTTTCATCTCCTCGACATGAGTGCGTCCAGACAGTAGGAGTGTGTCCATACAGTAGATTATTACCCATTTAGATCTGCCCTTAAAGGTAAAGACCAGTTTTGGAAACGCCCCCTCTCAAAAAATGAAATGGAAGCTCTTATTACCAATCCTGTGAAAGAATATGTTTTGACTAATACGTGATCATACAAATTTTGCCGAGAAACCGCCTACCAATTGATATACTTGGTAAATTATTATATCTATTTGGACCTGATAGATATAAAGCACGTGTGTGGGGGTAGTCCCATGTACATCTTTAGGTGTACAGTGCTTGTAACTTTATCAAGACTTGGCCAAATTCCTTATCATGTTGATGATTCCAGAACACACCAATACTTATATGCTAGATGATCAACCTTTCCTGATCAATTTCTTTCACAATGCAATAGCATGACCATAACTGGTCTTTATCTTTAATGACAACGGTTTCCGTAATAATACCCAATAGATAATTATACAGTTTCGTCTTGTCGATTGTAGTATTTCCAGACAGTAAAATTCTCCTCCGATTCAAATCTGCCTCAAAGGACAGTGTCTATTGGCTTTTAACGTGATGCAAAATTGGCAAATATACACGGCTTATATTTCCTCGAATTTGAGTACGTCCATACAATGGAAATACCCATTTTAAGAAGAGTGCAGTACATGTGATCTTCCGCAATCTTGGATCAATTCACTTTCATTTTGATCATTCAGAATCCTAATGTATCCATCAATTCATATGAACTACATAATCAGGCGCGTTTCTAAACAATTTCTTTCACAATATGAAAGTGAAATTGCCCCGTTTGTCCTTTGATTCAAATGTGATTGATTAGCATTCACAGATTTGTATCCCCCTTCGATTTGATTTGATTTGATTGATAGATTAGTTTCTATAACATGTTCATGTGCATTAGTGTGACATTTACACTTTTCCAATACATAACAACACATTATATAAAAAATGTAAACAAATGAAAAAAGATGATTAAATTAAACGTTTAAAGCACAATCAATAAGAATTACATAAACAAGGTAAAGCAGGGCTACAGTGTAAGCATATTGCTTGATGTTCTTGCAGCCCTTAGTTTATTGATATATTTGGTAATTGACTTGGGGGTGCTTGTATTGCATCTTTTATACTTTTCGAGTGCGTTTGCAGACAAAAATCCATTTGATTCTATGTTAGATTTTCCATGGTTAATGTTACTTTATAATGTTTAGTATCGCAACATATTGAAAGATCAAGACATGTTGTGTAAATATTCAAAAACTGTCACGTTTGAGCAAGCGAGAGGGAGAGAATGAGAGAGAGAGAGAGATAAAGAGGAAGAAAGAGACAGAGAGAGGGAGAGCGAGAGAGAGAGAGAGAGAGAGAGAGAGAGAGATGTGTGTTTGTGTGTGTGTTATGTTTGGGTTGGGATGGGGTGAGGGGAGGGGGTAGCTAAATATAATAGATTATAAGGGACGAAACACACCCAACATGGCTATTTATTCGTATGTTAACAAAATGGAACTATTGGCATAGAAGTATTTAGATCCACCCTCTTGTTCTTTATATTTTCCTTTTTAATATTCATCTGTTCCTTCTTCTTCTTATTCTTCTACTTCCTCTTCTTCTATTTATTCAACTTTTACTATTGCTACTATATTACTACTATTATTTACTACACTGTCATAAGGTCTACACTGTCTACACTGCTCATAAAGGTCGAATATTTTTTTTTTATCCCAATTTACGTAATTATTTTAAAAATAATTTTAAAATAATAGATCTAGATAATAGTATACATTCTCAGATTTTATTGAATAATAATTTGCCAATGTCTGTTTTGCGATACTTTGTTTTGTGATACTATGCTTATCAACTAGGGGAACTACGCCCTTAAGTCATAAATGACAGTAATGAGGATTAATGCCCCACAAAAGGGCACTAATATAGCACATCGACACGGTTTTGATCATGTGGCCTCACAGTTACGAGGCCATTGATTTGTCACTGAACCATGACTGTACGCAGCGGGGGCTGGGGTAGGGGTCAGTTTCTATAAATAATTTAAAAAAAAACAGAAAATGCAATCAATTTTCAATAATTCATTGCATTTTACCCCGGTTCCCAGCATAAAAAAAATCTTCTGTATACCCATGCCTTGAGCTATAATGCATGGATTATCATTCATATTATTATTGTTATCATTAGTGATAATAATTACCATCACTATAATTGTCATTGTAATTATCATCACTATAATTGTCATTGTAATTATCATCACTATGATTGTTATTGTTTTGTTATCATTATTGTTATCATTATAATGATAGTGATAATTATTATTATTATTGATATCATTACTATTGTTTATTATCATTTCCACTCAAACAGGGTTACCAGATAGTCCTTTGAATGCTGAGGACTGGATATCATCCGTGACCGTTGACTCATTTACCGTCACGTGGTCACATAGGTCCTCAGGGGGGAAACCCCAAAGATTCACCGTGACATACTGCGAGGTCGTTAGACCCGAAGAGTGCTCGGAGATTTCCCGGATCGTACAGACTCGTACCAGGATCGAGAATCTTCGGCCATTCACCCTCTACCGCGTCACAGTTAAGAGCCATACCGTATATGGATTCAGCGAAGACAACGAGTTCATTGAAAGATCAACAATACGTAAGCAATATTATTATTCTCTTCCATTCAAATTGGTTATTACTTCACTTTAATTTCTCTGACAATCTTGATTTTATTTATATTTTACATACGTAAGGTTAGGTAGGCGTTGTGCTCACAATATTTGCTGACGCGTAGGCCGATTCATCTGTTGAATTAAATAATTCACATAGGGAAGTTAAATCCCATCTCCGTCTGCCTATTTGTCCCCCACTCCTCTTCCTGCCCCTCTCTCTCTCTCTCTCTCTCTACCCGTCTTTATAGATCTTGCTCTCTTACTGCCTCATCTCCTTCCTTGCCCTCTCCCTCCTACCCACCCCTCTCCCTCCTCTCTCTAACTGTATCACTTATTTCTCTAGCGTACTCTCTTCAATACGCGTCTCCCTGTACCCCATTCTTCCCCTCTCTCTCTCTCTCTCTCTCTCTCCCCCCTCTCTCTCTCTCCCCCCTCTCTCTCTCTCTCTCTCTCTCTTCCTCTCTTTTTATGTATACATGTATTCATGCGTAGTCCATTATCTATAATAAAACAATTCAAACATTTTGTTTAATATTTGTATGAACCACTGTGACTAAATCCTCGTCAAAGGATAGAATTGCCATCGATAAAAACAATTTTGTTTCCATTTGAAATACAAAACTCTCTGAAATTTAACAGGTACAGAAAGGCAAACAGAAAAGGACCCACCCACTCTCCCCCCCCCCCCCCTCTCTCTCTCTCTCTCTCTCTCTCTCAGTCACCGGTTATTGACGAAATTCTACAAATGATCATCACATCCCCAAAACAATTACAAGTCACATGTATCTGAAATGTCGCTGAGACTGAAACTATTTTGTATTTATTGAAAGGAAATAGTCAATTATTGACTTCCTGGCAGAAACCAAATAAAATCGCCCAATAACCGTTAAATATTGTTTCTCTTTCTGTTTTAGCAATGTCTCCTAAAGAACTAGGTAAGTCAGTTGTTTATTGTCTCCTTATAACAATACATAATTTAATCGATTCTCCATGTTTGTGCCAAAGCTATTAAACTGTGGTTATTTGGACTGAAAGTAATGGCAATTATATATGACCTTTATAATTGTCCTTTCGAAGGAAAAGTTGAGGTCTTTCTCGTGTGAAGATGATCATATGATCATGTTACCAGTGTCATATGAAAAAAAAAGAATCCTCTGGAAATGCCCTCATTTTTCGATAAGAATAATAATTTTTTTAAGCCGCGAGCGTGAGTGTGTATGGTCAGGGTACACACATGACGCGGTCAACCTAGTCGTCACGGTAACGATATTTATATTTAAACAGAAAACAAAAATCAAACGCCGCATATTAAAGTGACTCTGGAACATTGTTGAAGGTCGATGAAAAAAAATGCGTAATTTTGTATGAAATGTTACTTATTATATTCCTTCTACTGTACTAACACTCTAACATGCAGACAAAAAACTGAAATACCCTCAAACCACAAAGATATTTATGGTGTTCTTTGAAGGCGTCACTGCGAGACACTCTTACAGTGAATGCTCCCAAACCATTTTTGAATTTTCCCAACCGTACATAAGACAAGCTTTCAAAAATCCTTCGAGACGTTAATGTAAGGATGCTATAAAGAGCCAATGCTTTGTGACGTTTTACATTCACCTAAAATGTATTTAAACTGTTGTAATATAGTTGGGAGAATTGGGGAATTGATCAGTTTTCCCCGATTTTTATCATTAATAATGTTCTTTTTTCACGCGAACTTTCAGATCATCTTTAATTGTATATACATCTAGCATTAAAGCCCCACTGTCCTACTTGTAGCTAATTGCTCCCTCTACATAGAAAACTTCCCCCATCGGTGCCTGTTCGTCCCCCATGATCCTCTTTTTCTTATGTTAGTTGAGAGCTGAGTTAATGAGATAGCCACCTGTCAGTGACCTCGTTGTGTGGTCTAATCCCTTCTAGCCCAGTAGTGTTGACGGTCTTTAAAGTCACTACCTTAGCACCATTTTCTCTCATCTGAAAAATGTTACCAAGTCCCTTTAAGGCTTCGTATCTGAACGAGACGTCAATGTTAATTGACTTTTCGAAAAATGTTTGCTATACCGTGTGAGTCAAAAAAAAGTTTACACCTAGAAAATTGCTAATTATTTTAAAAATCATCTATGAACAGTAAATTATTATACATCTCATGAAAGAGTGTTTTATCCCAAATCATTAGGTATCATTTTTGTGTGATGCCGATACAGTATGTATTATGTTGGGATTAGCGGAGTGTGAGAATGAATTGCATGTATCAAATGAAAAGCATTGCATATGCTTTTTGCTTTTTGCACACATACACGCGCGCACAAATGTTCGTTGATATTTGATATTCGATATTTGATATGTGTGGAAAGATTTTAATTTTGTTAGGGATGTTATTTGGATCGGCAAAGACCGAAGTAATACCCAAATCCCAGTTGTTTTATTCAAACATCACATAAGCAATTTTGGAGCAAGTCGATTTTTGCACTCTAACAAACAATACCTCCTGTTCATCCAAGGGTGAACACATACCACACAAAATGATACTAAATGATTCAGGATAAAACACTCTTTCATAAGATGTATAATAATTTACTGTTCATAGATGATTTTTAAAATAATTAGCAATTTTCTAGGTGTAAACTGTTTTTTTTACTCACACTGTAGTGTAAGGAATATAACCCATTTTATTGCAGGAGTTGAAGGTGTGTACAACAGCCAGCTCGGCCGGGCAGACATCGTCCGAGTAACCAACATCAGCGGCCCGGTTCCCGATGGACTCTGCTTTCAGCTCGTCGACCAGGGCTTCGAACCCTCGGCTGATGCAGCCGACGCAGCGGGCCAGGACTGCGTCAACGTGGGTCAGTACATCGTTTGGCCGCAAGGAAAGTATTGGACGCAGATGGCGCTTGTAGCCTACGGGAACAGCGTGTTCAGCGCAACTTCAAAGATGACTGGAATGGAAGCAGGTAATGATCAGGGACGTTGCGAGGTCATCTTATGCTACGGTCACAAAGGTTCGTACGAACGATAATTTCGTACGAATCTCCCTGTTTTTCCATTGTCTTCCCGAATTTCCATTGTCTGAAAATCGTTCGTACGGCATTCGTAGCAGTACGTAATGTCATTTGTGACCGAGGCTTTAAAGGTACTATGTCCCATTTGCAGGCCAAAAATTGAAAAAGTTAAATTCCAACTGGATTTGAAAGATAATACTAATTTAGAACTTCCCTAAAAAAGGTGGGGCTTGAAAATGTCTTCAAGTGGGAAAATAACGACTATTAGTTGTCAAATCGACTTTAGGGCTATAGAGCCCAAAAGTAATAGTCTTGATTTTCAGACAGTTGTACCGAATGGTCATACGTTTTATGCTGCGCAAAGTTTCAATCAGTTTACTCTTGGCCATCACAAGAAGTGGGTTATTGATGTAGACAAGTGCTCATGTACCCTTTACAACTCTTTTCATGTTATTACCAAAGAAGAAAAAAAGCCAGTCAGTCACTCAGTAGTGTCTGACAGTGAAGTCTAGCAAGTAAACGGGTTTCCTTTCATAATTTGAATGTGAGGACACTGCTAACGTTTAAATTTCACAGATAGGACATAAATGACATATTCATAATTCCTGCAAAGTTCTACAGAATTTGAGGTTGGCTGCAAAAGGGACATAGTACCTTTAAAGATATTCATGCGTGGGTATAATAGTCGTTCATGAAGTGGGCAATTTGGCAATCAGTCCCGATCACTACATAACACTGAGCCAACGGGTATTACGTTCCCGGGCGGACGTCCGTGTGCTGCCCTCCTGTGTGCCCACGCTTGAGCAAAATTATATCACGGGCCAAAGGATTTGTAGCGAGTTAGCTGCAAATTTCATACAACCAAAAAAGAAAAAGAAAACGTGATTACCTAGCTATTTCAATATGCCAATACGACTTTTAATATTTTGTATAATGTTGCTTTTTGTAAAAAACCAGATACGTCATGAATTGTCTTCATAATACACCATTTGTAAGTAAAGAAAACCTCGAAGTTAATTAGAATCATAAAAACGCTTCGAATTTCAGTTAACTTATCAACCAATATAATGAATACATCCACCGTGGTTTCAGGGAAGAGGGGGAGGGGGGAGGGGGGGGGGGGCTTCCCTCTTTTAAATGGAATGTTGGAAACCATATACTTAATATAAACCCTTTTTTCATACAAAATTTGATTGTTGCTGTTGGGCATAAGGGGGGGGGGGTGGACTTACGTCCGTTTATTTAAAAAAAAATAAAAAAATATCCAATTTGACCCGCCCCTTGTTAAAACGTTTCAGCTTGTAGGCTTTCAGTCGTACATGAATATTAGGGGGGGGGGGGGGGGGGGGGGCTTCCCTATTTTAAATGGAATGTTGGAAACCATATACTTAACATAAACCCTTTTTTCATACAAAATTTGATTGTTGCTGTTGGGCATAAGGGGGGGGGGGTGGACTTACGTCCGTTTATTTATTTAAAAAAAAAAAAAATTATCCAATTTAACCCGCCCCTTGTTAAAACGTTTCAGCTTGTAGGCTTTCAGTCGTACATGAATGTTAAAGGGGTGTATCATATGGCAAATACTGGTTAACGCCATCTACGACTTATTTTGGAGAACTGCACGTAAATGAATGGACTTGCGGTCAGCACGCGCTAGCGTTCGCGAAACAGGCCGAAGTTCTCCTCACGCTCCTGCTTCGCGTTTGTTGCACGCACGTGAAAGCTGCGGTCGCGTCGTATATCCGATTTGCCCCGGCGAATCGGGCCAGGGGAAGACACGTGGTCTCATCATGCAGCTACACCTCCTTTAAGAGAAGGTTGAGTTCTGGGAAGAAGTGAAATATTCCCTGAAATGTATCGCTCTTCAAATGCCTTCATATTCTAAATATCATTATGGCATTGTAACATCGTAAAAAAAGGGACGGGATTTTACGCCACGTGTTCGTGTAGTCCCATACACATCTTTATGTGTACAGTGCTTGTAACTTTACCAAGACTAATGGGCCAAATATCTTATCCTTTTGATGATTCAAGAACCTTGCAATACACACCAATACTTATATGCTAGATGATCGACCTTTTCTGATCGATTCCACACCGTTTCTTTCACAATACAATTGCATGACCAGAACTCGACTTTATCTTTAAACACAGACAAAACGGAAAGTTCTCTCAGTATATTATATAGGCATATCCCTTCTCTCTCTCTCTCTCTCTCTCTCTCTCTATCTCTCTCTCTCTCCATCCTTCCCACACACTCTTGGTTCTATATTTGTGTTTACAGGAGTCGGTCTCCCAGTCATCATCGGGGCGTCTGTAGGAGGTTCGGTACTTCTCATCATAATACTGGTCATCATATACATCAGAACAAAGGGTACACTTTACCATTTTTATCACCATTCACTTTTATGCTCCACTGTCGCCGGTCGGCGGCTCATTTTGTTGACGCTTAATAATAAAGTCGAGAGACAGACGACAGAGCCTGACAACTGTTTCGTACTCATGGATTGTCGTAAACTTTATCGTAAATGCTAATTTAGTAATAAATAAGTTTTGTTATCTCATTAAGATATTGTTATTTCTTTTAATTCAACATCGAATTTAGTTATAAATAAGTTTTATTATCTCATTAAGATATTGTTATTTCTTTTAATTCAACATCGAATTTAGTAAAAAATACTTTTTATTAAGTCATTAAGATATTTTTTATTTCTTTTAATTCAACATCGAATAGGTAGTTTTCTTTAGAACACGTCCTGTTTATGATAAGCGTAGTTTTGTATAAGTTGAGTTAAAAACTATTATACACTTTTCCACACCCTAACAGTGTTCAAAGTAATCCAAGTAGTGACTTTTTGTTTCTTTCCTACTTTGTTTCTTTTTTTCCTTCTATTTCTTCTGTTTCCCTTTAACAATTCTCCTTCTTTTATGTCTTCCTATTCCACGTTTTCTTTTTTTCCTTCGTCCTTTTTTTGAGGTGGGGGGTGGGGGGGGGGGGGCTGAGGGAGGGGTTAAATTCTTTCCCCAATTTCCTTTCTTCTTCTTGTTCTCTTTTTTCTTCTTCTTCTTCTTCTTTTTCTTCTTCTTCTTCTTCTTCTTCTTCTTCTTCTTCTTCTTCTATCATGTTTCTCCTTCTCCCTACGCTCCTTCTTACCACGATTTAATTTTGACTTTGTTGTGTGTGGGAGGGGGGAGGAGGGGTTCAGCCCCCTCCCCTCTATCTAGAACTGCCACCGATCATAGTATTATTATATGCTCATTTCAGTTCTTAAAGGGATCCGGTAACTTTGTCTCAGATTCTGAAACAAAATTCTGGATTTAGTTCATGCTGCAATGATAACTATAAACCTTTAGGTCAGTCAGGAACCCCCTTAATTTCACAAGCCGATCGCCTGTCTTATTATCAAGATATTTATGATTGGAATTACAAATTTTCAAAACCGTTTGCCAAACGGTTTTCATAACACTACAGTCTATTGGGGGAAATCGAGTATGGTAAAACCGGTCACTCAAACATTTTTACTTTTTTGAAGCACTTCTTTAGGGCCTCAATATTACACCATATCACATACACTAATAACACGTAGGGCCGTGTATCTCAGATTTAACATTATCAAACGATCCCTTTAAGGGTTGTTCAATATTTTTTCAAAATTTGTCCTCTCCCATTCATAGAATATTATTGGCAGCTTTTGACATCTGTTTAAATATTCGTTGAATCGGATTAATTTTTCCATCAATTTTTAGGTCGCTCTTCTGGAAATGCTAGGGCAAATCGACGACTTCCGGCCCAACCACAGCAGACCCGCCAGCAGCCTGGGCGTGGCCAAAACGTACCCGACGATGAACCACCACCGGTAAATTTATACAATGTACTAAGGGGGAGGGGTTCCCCATATTGAGAAATAGAGAGAGAGAGAAAGAGAGAGAGAGAGAGAGAGAGAGAGAGAAATCCAGATGTATATATATATAGAGAGAGAGAGAGAGAGTGAGAGAGAGAGAGATAAAGAGAGAGAGAGAGAGAGAAATCCAGATGTATATATATATATATATATCTATATAAATATATATATAGAGAGAGAGAGAGAGTTCAAATTCGTCATGTTTTTCAGATATCTCATGGAGATTTTGTGACCCATAACGTTTTAATAACTTTTAATACCTCTTTTTATAAAATGATTGTGACTGTAAAGGTCTATTTTCGATACAGAAGGTTGTGATCTTTCATCACTTTATCATGAAATATTTTAGATTGTTCATTAAACTTCTATGAAGATAGCAACTTTATTCCTTCCAACCAACCTAAATATATTTTGTTTAAATTTTCACTGCTCTATGCCCTCTCTCTACAAAATTGAATGCAAAGGTCAAAATCTTTTCAGTACTCTATTAATCAATCTGCATTATTCTTACAGTGTTTATTAAACTTCTGAGAAATTATTCACTTTATTCATTCAAACCTAAGTATTTTTTAAAAACTTGTTTAGTTCTGTTCACTCTCTGTACAGAATTGAAAGAAAAGGTTGATATCTTCTCAGCACTTTATTAATCAATATGTATAATTCTGTAGATTGTTCATGAAGGAGAGATAAGCTTCATTCATTCCAACTTAAATATATTTCTTTTAAATTCTATTTTCTATGTACTCTCTGTACACAATTGAAAGAAAATACTTCCACGGACCATTTTACAAAAGCACTAAAAAGGACATTACTACCAAAGAATGTAGAATGGATACATAAATCAATGTTTGTGGAGATTGTATATTAAAAAGTATATAGCATAACTTTCACCATACCTACCTAGAACAGATAAGCATGTATGTAGCAATAAGGAGAAAGTAATTGGGGTTATATTTGTTTGTTAAATGAACCGGATGTTGCTCATTATGTTTTTCTTTGTGATACAATATTTTGAAATTCGTATGTTTCGAATGGGTAGTATCATGTAGCTATTGTACTTTTATTTCTTTGTAATTGTTTGAATGGAGATTTAAACTTTGACCTATGAACCTTGATGGGATCTCGCATCTGTCCTCTTTCGTATACAGACATACAGCGGGGTCAAGTACCAAGAGGTGACAGACCCGACTAGAAGCGCCGGCCCTCTGGGGGAGCTCTACACCACGCATCACTCCTACCACCAGGCTCAGGCTCCGCAGGAAGTATCTGGTATCCCGACGCCAGGCTACGGCAACGGACAGTACTATAGCCGTAGCATCACCATGGACAAGAAGACCGCGGCGGCAGAGTTCAGCGACAGATACGGTTACATGGATCCTATTCCGTAGATCCTTCCTTGGAACCACCCGGTCATACCCTTGGTTACCCCGTCACCGTATCTAGGCACCTACCCCCTGGACAACCACACTCGGATAACCACCCCTTAGGATAACCACCCTCTGGACAACTACCCTCTGGATAACTACCCCTAGGACAACTACCCCCCTAGGCAACCACCCTCTAGGACGATTACCGCTCTAGGAAAACATCCTAGAGGGTAGTTGGCCTAGGCGATAGTTGTCCAAGAGGATGGTTATCCTAGGGGTGGTTATCCTAGGGGTGGTTATCCGGAGGGTTGTTGTCCAGGGGGCAGGTGCCCAAGAACCCCCCCCCCCCAGTCACACAAACGGGACATGTCACCGGAGAAATTTCTTTAATATCTTATAAATGGATATTTTCTGCTGAGAAGACAAATGCTTCAACAAGATAAAGGCTCAGATGCTTAAAACTTCTGACAATTCTAAATGTGAACGAAAATATGTAAAAAGTTAGTCTGCATGATTGTAAATGTATGATTCCATTTCTCTTGGCCTGTAGAGAAGATGATTTGGGGGTGATTACCCCCTCCCCTTTTGAACATATGTGTCCTGTGATGAAAAAAAGTAAAATAGCTTTAAACAAATAATGATTGATTAGATAAACTCTGTGGAATCGAATTGTGCCCACACTTTCATTGTCATTTAAGTCTATCTATACAGGAATGATAATGATGAATACAAAATATGAGTACAGTTTATACACTTGGTGCGAGTAAAGCATATTTTAAGTAAATAGTAGATAGTAGGATTATACAGTTATGACAGTGTTGGTATTTTGATAACAAATCGATTATATAAGGCGTAAGATTATGTTTAAAATTTGCCTATGTAATATGTCTAAGGATAATGGGGTTCAAATCACCAATCATTATTAGCACTATATCTTAGAAATCACATTTAATACTCTGCATGTGAAGACACAGGAAGTTACCATGGCAATTTATCACCTTGCAAAGATATGATAATGCTAGGCAGTAAGTTATCTTTATTTTCATTCCTTCTATAAAGCCGAATATTTCTTATTTCTTCGGTTTTATTTTTCTTTAAATTTGAATTTGGCAGTTGTATGACTAATGTGGTTACATACTTTGTATGTGAGCAGCAAGCAGCAATTTTCGTCTATCTGTCTACCTCTCTCTATCTCTCTCTCTCTCTAACACACACAACACACTCACACGCACCTTCTTATAACACTTATTATGACAAAAAATAACTCGAGCCTCGTATCAATGGTTTAGTGAGAAAATGGAACTTAAGGAAATGTCACTTAATGAGTTTCTCTTGGTTTTGGATGACAGGTGCTAAAAGAACGAAATTGAATAAATAAAAGGGCTAAAATATAAATGACGTGTTAGCTATAGAGTATCTGTAATATGTAAAGCTGTGATAAATAACAATAACAACAGCAACAACAATAATAATAATATTAATAGTGGAGCCATGCATAGCGCTCGTGTATGGCATTCCATTATTTATACCCTGGCTTTAGCACATCTGCCTCACAGCACTCGAGCATTTTAAAGAATTTCGATTAAATGTTACCCATTTATCTCAACTGGGTAGAGTGTGGCAAATGTAGATTGATGTTTATGATTCAATCTGTTTAACTTAAAGGAATGCAGTATATTTTGAATAAGTCGATTTGTAGATCTTTTTACGGCATGCGAAAATAAATACAAATGCACATATTTTCCCAACACCCCTCGATATTTTGTTGTATTTCGTTAGTGTGTTGACTCGGAGAGTGTGAATATGAAGTTGTGCGTCTGTATTACCGTGTAGACATAGGACACAAACATAACACATACAAAGGAGATTAAGTGAAAGAAAGAAATTATAATTTGATTCATGCAATTTAAAAGCAAACCGGGTTTAACAAGATATATGATTCAGAGATGCTGTAGAAGAATTGGAGGGGGTAGACATATGGACATGAAACAAATAGAAAAAACGAACAAAAATACTTAAAGGCATCGTTTAACTATGTTCAAGTTTTACAAATTTGAGATGCATGGCCCTACGTGTTATCAGTGTCTGTGGTATTGTGTAATATTGAAGCCCTAACAAACTTGCGCTTCAAAATGATCATGAGGTGCCTCAAAAAGTTAAAATCTTTGAGTGACCGGCTTTACCATATTCATTTCCCCCACTAGACTGTAGTGTTGTAAAAACCGTTGGGAAAACGGTTTTTGAAATTTCGATTTCCAATCATATATTTCTTGATAATCAGACAGGCGATCGGCTTGTAAAAGACATGGGATTCCTGACTGACCTGAATGTTTATAATTATGATTGCAGCATGAGCTAACCCCAGGCTTTTGTTTAGAATCCGAGGCAAAGATACCCGTTCCCTTTAAGACAACTTAAACAAAAAATGCAATTATTTTATATTTATTGTCGGTCACATAGTTCACGTCATGCACGATTTTCTTAAGGGAGTAAAACATACTCCTTTTAAATATTCACATCATATTTAGTTAGGTGTAATAGTATTGGACCTTCGTTAAGCAATTCCAGATCCACAGCTACAGCGTATGCAGATTAAAAATAAAAGACGTTTAAATGGGACATACCACCCTTGCCCCTGACTTCAGTGCCTACAAAGGAGATCACTAAGTCCATGCAAATCTCAAATTGGCAGTTTGGTCACTGGATTATGACATCGTCGCGGATGATAACTCTCCCGTTTGTTGTGTACACAAATATAAGTACTTTCTCCTTTTCTCGTAAGCGCATTCTTCCTTGGGGCACTAAGGAAAGCTATATTATGGAAAGCATGTTATTATGGGTCCTCTATAGAGAAAAGCCCTCCTGAGACTAATGGGAAAGTTGTCAGCCACTACAAAACAGAAACATTACCGATTCAGCAAATTTGAAGAGCCATTTTAGTGATTACAACTTTCGAAAGTTTATAACTTTCTTATCCTGTGTTCGATTTCATTAAATTTTTTACCAGTGTACCCCTCTGATTTTTTTTCTTTCCTCTAGAGCAGTTTGCAATTAAGGTAGGATTTACCTTTAAAGAGAAGGTTGAGTTCTGGGAAGAGGTGAGAAATAATTTGTGAGCGTTGTCATTGTTATTATGCAAGTGTGGAAGAACATCAGATAATACATGTTACCTGAAAAGCATGGCTCTTCAAATGCCTTCATATTCTAATTATGGCATGTAACATCGTAAAAACGGGACGGATTTTTACGCCACGTGTTCGTGTAGTCCCATATACATCTTTCTGTGTACAGTGCTTGTAACTTCACCAAGACTTGGCCAAATTTCCTTACATTTTGATGATTCCAGAACCCTGCAATACACACGAATACTTATATGCTAGATGTTCAACCTTTTCTGGTCGTTTCCAAACCGTTTCTTTCACAATGCAATCGCATGACCAGAACTCGACTTGATCTTTAATGATCAATGAAAAGTAAAGGGCATATTTAAGGTACTAGAACATATATCATAGCCCTCAAGCCCGTCCAAAGTTAGATTGTTAATGCTGACAGAAAGCATAATATGATGAAACTTTTTTCTTCTTCTTCAGAATCTACCTCCGTCCCTGTTTGTTTGAAAAAAAGCATACAACAAAAAGCCTTCGTACACGTACAGGTAATTTGGCAAAGAATGCTGTAATACACAAGGCACATCGTTTTATTAAATTTGTCTTTTTTGGCATTTTGCATGCGGGGTGTACATGATAGAATCCAAATTCACGCATACTTTTCTTTTTTTACGATACACACTGTGGCGGTAAGGCGCCACGAAAAGTGCTTTTTAAAATCATGATATTCCTAAATTATATCAAATGCTATTAATTTTAGTATCCCCAATTTTTTTTTTGGAGGGGGGGGGGGGGGGAGACAAAATAAGAATCCGCATAACCACCACTCTTACATGCTACATGCATGCCCCGCGGGGGGGGGGGGGGGGTGGTGTGCTCAAGTATTAAGAAGAGCGTACATTGGTGTAGGGTCCAGGGGCAAAGCCCCGGCGGGGGTCAAGGTGTGGAGCCCCTTAAAGCTCAGAGTTATTCGGCATTTAATTACGGTCAGATGAGCATCCAGGTGCCCGTCTCAGGGCTCTTGGTGGTGTACAGGGGACGGAGCCCCAGGAGGCTCAGGGATTTTGGCATTTAAATACGGTCAGTTGAGCGAATCACTGGTATCGAATTCGAAATAAACCCGTTTGAATTTTATTTGGAGACAGAAGGGGGGGGGGGGACTGCCTCAAGCCCTCCTATCAGTACGCTACAGATGGTAGTGCTAAAAATGGAGCAACTTAACCAAAGCAAGGTTTCCGATTGTCTTTATTCATCTCTTCGTCGCTATTTTCTAAGCAAGTAAAAGAATACTCCTTTACGACGCAGATAAAACCATGTCATTGTACTTCAAAAGCGCATTTTAAGCTATTGTCCACATAGGGTGACACGACATTTGCTCCTGCGACAATTGCTCCGGGCTTTATTTCGTCTAAGATGTAGGGTTAGGGTTAGGGTTTCAATAGGGTTTTATGTTAGGTTTAGGGTTAGGTTTAGGGTAGGGTATAGTGTTGAATCAAGGGTTGAAGTTAGCCATTCGATTAGTGTATGAAATTTACAGCGGAGCAATTGTCGCCGGAGCAAATGTCATGGAATCCCACATAGATGTTTCTAAGCAAGAAAAAGAATACTCCTTTACGACGCAGATAAAACCATGTCATTGTACTTCAAAAGCGCATTTTAAGCTATTTAGGACCTATCCATGATAATTAGCTCCGTGCTTGTTGCGGGTCGTAAACCCCACGTGAATTTGATATAAGACATTGTAAGGGGAAGATTTTCTGTTTGATATTGCAGTTCTTCTTCTACATATTTGTCTCCAGTCATGATGGATCGTGCATCTCTTGTTTTCCAAACGGCTTGGCTTCTTGTACTCTGTTGTTTTCACGGTAATGTAACTATTCGAATATTTGTCAAGGTTCTTTCTGCTTAAAGGTACTATGTCCCACTTGCAGGCCAAAAAATGAAAAGGTTAAAATTCCAACGTCATTTAAAAAACAATACTAATTTAGAATATCCCTGAAAAAGGGGCCTTGAAAATGTCTT